TCCATCAGGCCCCATCAACAATTTGTCTTTACTTTTTTGACAGTTGAAATAGAACCTCTTCCTCTGTAAACTCACATGTAACAAATTACTAATTTGTCCTTTTTCCTAACTGAGGACCCTTTCCTACATTTTCATCTGTAAATACTGAATCAAAATATTAATTGAGGCAGTCAGCTAGACCTTTATCCTCTTCTACATACTTTCCTTCGTTTTTTTTTTTTTTTTTAAAGGCATGTTAGAGGCAGCGCTCGTTGTACAGGAAACAATGCATAGGTGAATAAAGCTGTGAGCTGTGCGCTTGCCATATATGTTATGCTAGACCTGGATGTCAGGAGTTAAGAGTCAAGCTAGTATGGTGGGACAAGTAGTAGTTTGTCATATGTAGTAGACTAGGCAGAGCAAAGAAGCTAGGCAGTTAAGTACACGAGGTGCCATAAGTTACTGAGCAAGATACAGATTGAAACATAGATTAGTATAGTTCAACTCTGTGGGAGACACCCCTGTGGGGGCCAAGGGGTAACCAATACTCTGTGTGTTGGCCACTGGTCAATAGTCATAGGAGTTGGAGTCGGAGTCTGACCCAGAGTGTAGTGCTGGCAGGGTATTGTCCCATGAGACCATTAGGTCTGTGGAGTTCCTGCTGTCTGTCAGCCGGGTGCTTTAGCCGATACCTGCGGATGGAGCATGTCTGCCCCTAAGTGTGGTAGTGTAAGGCAGTGGGTGTTGCCAGTGGGCCTTTGATTGTTCCATGCTCTCTCACCCTCTCCAACCTGGATCATGCTGGGGTCCTATGCTGTTCTTGGAGGGGTCCGCCGTGGGGTGTAAGTCCCATGGTCTTGGGCGGCGGTGTATCCTCCGCTTACGCTTTCTACAGGCTGATGTTCGGGGCCACTTGATCCTCCGCTTGGGAGTAGGGTGCCGTGCCAGAGCTCTGCCTGTCTGTTGCGTCTTGGGAGCAGGTATAGTCGGTTGCCGACTCCGCACCTCCACTCTCCTCCAGAACTGCTGGCAGATGTCATCAAATGTCTTCAGGAACCAAGTTTCCCAGTCCAGGGCGAGTACCCCTTCACCCCGCTGAGTGACTGGGTTGTTGGGTGCCATCTTGGACCGCGTGGGTGCTGCTTAAACCAAGCGAGTTTGTGTGGTGAGTTTAAATAAGTAAAAAAAGAATCCTAATAGATAGGAGTCTAGAGTGTGTCCATAGACCCCTATAGGGGATAACCCTTGTAATTGGATACAGAACAGAGAAACGAAACGGATGATCCCAAATGCACAAAGGCTATGGGAGCACCCGAAAGAAGGGATCTAAGGGTCTGCACTTAAAAAATGCTAGAAATAAAAATGCTTTATTATAGGGTAGAAAAATCCCTCAAAAAGGAAACTTACAAAAACAACACTTCAAAACTTAAACACACAGGAGGGGATTCGGACTAGAGGCAGTATAGTAATGATATGAAATCTCTATAGACTCAGGGAATCCAAGTAAAGGTAGAAGGATATATATGATTAGTTAATAATTAGAGTAATATAACAGTAACTCTCTTGGTATATAACCCTGAGTATACGTAATATCAAGAAAAAAAGGATAATTCTAGAGTAATGAAATAGCTCCACTATGTATAACCCAAGAGGAAATCTCCATGGAGAATTTATGCAATCAAAAAACAAGATTGCTCATCTTGTGGGTAAAAAATAAAAGGAGCCATAAAAAGCCTTTTGGAACGCAGCAAAGTCTCAGTATAGTGAAGCTAAAACTACAAAGATAGAATCCTAACTGCACATAAAAGGAAGTCTACATTAGTAACTCCCTACACCTAGCCGAATCTCACTCTCCCACCCCGTGAGCACATAACTCAGTGCTGTGATTAAAAATAAAAAAGCAGCATGAAACCTAACGTCCGTTTCGGCGCTAGCAAAGCGCCCACTATGGGAGGAGCCACATGACGCTATGCCGGCAGTGATGGCCCCTCCCCTAGGGGAGGAGCCACATGACGCTATGCCGGCAGTACACGCCACTCACATAGATGCCTGAAATCTTGGCGGGAAAAGAGTAAGTACACCCACATTCGGCGATTGGCTAATAACGAAGCATAGCCCGATATATATTTAGCCTCCTTCAGTGCCCTCTTTACCTTTGACAAAGGCGCTTTGCTAGCGCCGAAACGGACGTTAGGTTTCATGCTGCTTTTTTATTTTTAATCACAGCACTGAGTTATGTGCTCACGGGGTGGGAGAGTGAGATTCGGCTAGGTGTAGGGAGTTACTAATGTAGACTTCCTTTTATGTGCAGTTAGGATTCTATCTTTGTAGTTTTAGCTTCACTATACTGAGACTTTGCTGCGTTCCAAAAGGCTTTTTATTGCTAGGATTTTCAGCAATAGATTAATTTATGGCTCTTTTGATGGGGTTTTGTTGGTGTTAACCTGCCTAATTAAGCTACGCTCAGCTACAGTTGCTTTTTTGCACAAACACAAACTGAACCATTTTTGTCCAGTACATTGTTGCAATCCAGCCTACACATTAGTGTGTTTACTGTTTATTGTAACAAGGGCTCCTCATTGTATTTTTTACCCACAAGATGAGCAATCTTGTTTTTTGATTGCATAAATTCTCCATGGAGATTTCCTCTTGGGTTATACATAGTGGAGCTATTTCATTACTCTAGAATTATCCTTTTTTTCTTGATATTACGTATACTCAGGGTTATATACCAAGAGAGTTACTGTTATATTACTCTAATTATTAACTAATCATATATATCCTTCTACCTTTACTTGGATTCCCTGAGTCTATAGAGATTTCATATCATTACTATACTGCCTCTAGTCCGAATCCCCTCCTGTGTGTTTAAGTTTTGAAGTGTTGTTTTTGTAAGTTTCCTTTTTGAGGGATTTTTCTACCCTATAATAAAGCATTTTTATTTCCAGCATTTTTTAAGTGCAGACCCTTAGATCCCTTCTTTCGGGTGCTCCCATAGCCTTTGTGCATTTGGGATCATCCGTTTCGTTTCTCTGGTGAGTTTATGTTTGTCTCCGTGTGGACCGGGATAACCCGCACTGGTCTGGGGGCAGGGGGGGGGAGAACGGGTGCCCTTTCTGAGAGTCTTCGTTGATTGCAGTGGCAGGAGAGCTTGCCGCCTCTCCCGCGCTGGCCAGGCTTGTAGGCCGCGTGGTAGGAGCTGGCAAGAAATTTGTTGTGTTTGGCATGAGTGGGTAGCTTATGCTATCCCCTGGTTCCCGGTAGCAGGCTTTGGGTCAATGGGAGCTTGTTTCGGTCGGTAAGTGGGTAAAAACTGCCCCCGGGAGCAGGAGCTGTGATACCTCGCCCTCCTTCCTTCGTTTTTAATCTAACTAATCCTTATCATAACATAATAAATCCTTATCATAACATAAATCCTTCTCATTTATGTATCTAAAAAATGTTTTGTCCCCCTTTTTTTTACTGACTGTGCTATTTTCTCTTCTGTGTGTGATTTGGAAGCTCTTATAACTTGCTTAGCCTCTTTCTGGATAATCTTATAGATCTGTCTATCTTCCTCACTCTGGGTTTTTTTTATTACTTAATGCTAACATTTAGTTTTTTATTATTTTGGCCACTTCTGTGGAGTACCACAGTGGTTTATTAATTTTTTTGCTCTTACTGACAAGCTACTCTACACTGTATATATGTATTTATACATATATAAAATAGTTTACAGTGGAGTTTGGTGCGCAGCATTGACGGAAGCTTGGGCACAACATTGGGTGAGCTTAAGGTAAAATAGTGGGTCTGCTAAATATTTCTTGGGGCTGAAGCTCCTGTTGTTTTGGACAGTTATCAACCCTAGATAAAATTTAATAAAAAAGTATTAATTCAAAATAATAGTACACAGTTTTGAGGTTATAAATCCATTGTGATACATTTTGTAATCTATGATTGATATCACCCTATTAGAGACATGTAGATGTTATACCTGATATCTGTACATATTTCAGATGTATTCCAGTAAACTGTGCATGTTTTTCATTGGTGATGCAGTCTAAGGTCATTTTTCATTATTTATTTTCCATATGTCTTGCCAACATGTAGAGAGCGAGAGAACATAATCTGTGCTAGTAAAGATAAATTCCTAAATAAATTTTACACATAAAATATAATGTTTAATCAGTATTGTTAAAAAATGAATAAATATCCTAAAGACACAGAAATACAAGGGGTTAAAGAAATATATACAGGGGATAAATATATACAGGAAGAGTAGTAACAAAAGATTTGTAAAAATTTAGTATGTAAAGGAGATTCATGTTAGGTGTCTACCAGGATGTAACAAAAAATTGTTACAGTTGTATTGACTCCTGGTTAAATGAATTAGTTGCTTTTCATAACAACAAATGGCTGAAGAAAAGCAGCTATCAGAGATTATACTAATATCTGAAACAATGTTAAATAAAGGTAAGTATCTATAAATGAGTAGAACTACCAGAGAGGAAAAGGGGAATGTCGCCTAAATGTCTAGTTGGAAAAAACAGACTTAAAGGACCACTATAGTATGTTTAAAGGACCACTACGAGTATGTTTTCCTGGCACTATAGTGCCCTGAGGGTGCCCCCACCCTCAGGGTCCCCCTCCCGCCCGGCTCTGGAAGGGGAAAAGGGGGAAAAACTTACCTTTTTCCAGCGCTGGGCGGGGAGCTCTCTGCCTCCTCTCCTCCTCCTCTCCTCCCCGTCGGCTGAATGCGCACGCGCATTCAGCCGGTCACATAGGAAAGCATACATAATGCTTTCCTATGGACGCTGGCGTGCTCTCACTGTGAAAATCACAGTGAGAAGCACGCAAGCGCCTCTAGCGGCTGTCAATGAGACAGCCGCTAGAGGAAGTAGGGGAAGGCTTAACCCATTCATAAACATAGCAGTTTCTGCTATGTTTATGAAAAAATGGGTTAACCCTAGCTGGACCAGGCACCCAGACCACTTCATTAAGCTGAAGTGGTCTGGGTGCCTAGAGTGGTCCTTTAAGTTAAGTTCCTGTCTCAATCCTAAAAAAATAAATGAAACAAAATAGTAGTACATATAGTGATTGGATATAATCTATAGTATGAACTGGGCTGGAAGTTTGTTGGTTAACTGAAACGACAAGTGACTAGTGCTGATTAGTAAATATTTATAGAAGTCCCGATCGGTATAACGGTAATCTATAGTGTCCGTTTTATCAGTGTCTTTAAATGAAGAAATTCCGTTACCTGTCAGTATTAGCTAAACCCTGCGTCTGTGCCTTCAAGGACACCTAGTATAATTACTAAACTATCAATTTCCCAGAATTGTAATTACTATAAATACACTAGCTGAACTATTCCCTAGCGATCCCTCAACAATCTTGTCTATCTATAACATCCAATAATCATGTGTAAGGAGAGAATTTCAGGTAAGTATAGTAACGGATGAGAGTAGGGAAGGGATGAATATTGGCTATGGAAGAGAAAAAGTTACAGCAGAGCCCGGACGCGCGTTTCTTGCCAACATATTACACTCTGCAGTCACATGGGATAAACTATGCTATGCTGATTGTTCTGTAATGAATAAATTATGTTGTTTGGTACTTTTTGATGCTCACTGTGATACTATGCTTCTTAACCCCTTAATGACACATGACAGAAATATTCCGTCATGATTCCCTTTTATTCCAGAAGTTGTGTCCTTAAGGAGTTAAGCCTAATGTAGGCCACACAACAGTCCTGCTTTTGGCAGGACAATCCTGTTTTCCTACCCTGTCCGATTCTCCTCTCCCAATTGTTGAGAGATATGCTAATACAGGCCTTACAATAATCATATTTATAATCATTTGTGGATATAAGTAAAAATTTTATATTTAGTTTGTCCCTCATATTGCTCCAATGCCTTGCCCTAATAGGTGTTTTTTTGCAGAAGGAGGATGACAAAAGGAGTCAGAAGGAGTCACTAGTATACAGGGTTTGTGGGCTGCAGCCTCACAGCATCATTCATGTGTTGAGTAAAAGCAAAGGGAGGTGTGTCTGTAAACAGAATACTACAGCACTTTGTGTGTTTGTGCATGGGCTGATGATCCACAATCGTAATTCTCATAAGGAAGCAAATAACCAACAAAGTGCAAAAAAACACACAAATTAAAGTGCACCCTCCAAATCCAAACAAGATATAAGTTGTATGGAAAATATATATATAAAATATAGATGACAAGTAGATGTCAGCAATGCCTAAAAAATAGCAAATAGCAGATAGTGTGTACTGTAAATAAAAAGAAATTATGAATAATAAATGGTTGCACTCACAAATTCCAGAGCCATCCCAGGCTCTGTATAATAAGCCCAAAGGTGCCTATACAGGCTAACGGAAAATGTCCATGGACCCCTGCAGTAGATGGATCACGGAAATGAGTATGTCGACAGCAGCAGGTAAAAGATACAAAAATTTACTGTAGTGATAAAAACACTAATCATCAAAAAAAAAAATAATTGTTAATAAAAGCAAATAAAATCCTTCTGGATGTTATAGAGTTCAAACACATTTCGACAGTTCAGTCTTTGTCAATGTATCTAAAGATTCCTGTGTGCTGTGCTGTTTAAAATCCCACTGGACTGATTATTCTCTCCACCTGTGTGGGTTCCAGTACGTGCGTATGACGTCATTTTCGGTCCACAAGATACAATATCATATCCTCTTTGCAAAATCGTATCCGTGAATTTCCAGATGATCTCATACTTCTGATGAAGGCCAAGCCCGGGCGAAATGCTTAAAGTAAGGGATTGGAAGATGGTTTTTATAATATTTTATTATTTGTGTTAATAAAAATTACTACCTTTTTTCCAAAGCCCCTTTTTTTGGTTTTCAACTTTCCTTTTAGTGCAACTGGATTCCTGCTTATCCTTTATATCCCCTGGTGGGGATTATACCACCACAAGCTATCAACACCAGAGCAAGTTGTTGCTCTGGAAATTGTAAGTAGGATACCTGCTTTTTCTTGTTTCCAATTATACTTGAAATACTGTACTATTGGATTTTTATTCAGTTTTCCACATATATGGCTGCTGAGAATTGGATATCCAACACAGTTTTTACCCACATATCCTAAAACAGGGATTATACCGTTCAGGCGCTATACAGCAGAGCTCTTAATAGCTCTGCAAATTGTGAGTTAGTCTTCTATCTGGTTTTACATATATATGTGTGCAAAAATTATTTATTTGATATACTGCACTATTATTTTGTTCTGTTTTTATCTCTTTTGAGGGTCGTACAATTTGCTACATTGTCAGGATTACTTATATGTATGTGTAAAATATTATCTTATTATATCCACTTTGATTAATCTTTGGCGCGGTTCACCATTTTGTTTATTTTCTACTTTGGATTACCACAAGCAGATACTGGGAAGTCCTGCTGGTTCACTGCTGCTTTTTATTTTTGTTGTTCAAGTGAGCGTCTAAACCTCTGTTTTTCAACTTATCTCCTTGCTGTTGGTGCTGTCAGGTGGAGTGGGGAAGCCCTCCAGGTGGCTGTCTGCTCCCCAATGCAATGGATAGCTGAAAAATGTGTGTGACAGTGGCCGGCTTGCTCTCAGACCTGCTAGGGCCGCTACCAGAACAGCTAGGGAATCTTGGGGAAAGGGTTGCAGTAGTCACAGCCTCCTGACTGCATCAGAGGGGCCAGCTTACTCCGCTGCCGCCTTGGAGCCCAGTGTCGACTTATGGAAGTCTAGGATGCTGGGGCAAGTATTTTAAACATTTTACTCACTATTTGGGGATTTGTATTTTTCCACCCCACCTGCTTTCGGGGCTGCTTTGAAGCATTGTAAAAGCACCGGTCTTGCTTCTGAGCTAGTGTAATCTGTGAGGCCTCAACGAGGGCCGCCCCTCTGCAGGGATGGGTGCAGCACACCTCTTGCACTCGCCAAGAGCCTGCCCTGGCGACTATCCACACAGATATGGGCATCTAGTTTGTACGAATGTTGCCAGCCCTTTGCTGTTTTTGTAATTAGAAAATACTTCTCACTACGTAAACAGTTTCAGTAACTTTTTTTTCACAAGAAAAAAACCAATCCATGCTACATTTTCTTTTATACTGTAAGTTGCAATATACAGATGTGTTTCCTTCTCGCATTGACACCATTTTGGGCTTAAAGGCAGAACCTTTGATACTTATTTTATCTAATACAAGTGTTGCCATGTCTATTATTGTGTGCATTCCTCTGATGTCATATGTACTCAATGTACAATGCCTTGCAAAAGTATTCAGCCCCTTGGCATTTTTCGTGTTTTGTTGCCTCACAACCTGGAATTAACATGGATTGTTTGAGGATTTGCATCATTTAAATTACAGAACATGCCCACAACTTTGAAGATGTTTTTTTTTATTTTTTTCATTGTGAAGCAAACAACAGATAGGACAAAATAACAGAAAAAGTCAATGTGCATAACTATTCACCCCCCTAAAGTCAATACTTTGTAGAGCCACCTTTTGCAGCAATCACAGCTCCAAGCCGCTTTGGATAAGTCACTATGAGCTGGCCACATCTTACCACTGGGATTTTTGCCCATTCCTCCTTGAAAAACTGCTTCAGCTCCTTCAAGTTGGATGGTTAGCGCTTGTGAACAGCAATCTTCAAGTCTGACCACAGATTTTCTATTGGATTGAGATCTGGGCTTTGACTAGGCCATTCCAACACATCTACATGTTTCCCCTGAAACCACTCAAGTGTTACTTTAGCAGTGTGTTTGGGGTCATTGTCCTGCTGGAAGGTGAACCTCTGTCCAAGCCTCAAATCACGCATAGAGTGGTACAGGTTTTGCTCAAGAATATCCCTGTATTTAGCACCATCCATCTTTCCCTCAACTCTGACCAGTTTCCCAGTCCCAGCTGCTGAAAAACACCCCCACAGCATGATGCTGCCACCACCTTGTTTCACTGTGGTGATAGTGTCCTTTGGGTGATGTGTTTGGGTTTGCGCCAGATAAAGCATTTTCTTTGATGGCCAAAAAGTTCAATTTTAGTCTCATCAGACCAGAGCACCTTCCTACATACATTTTGGGAGCCTCCCACATGCCTTTTCGCAAACTCAAAATGTGCTATTTAATTTTCTACTAAAAGTAATGGCTTTCTTCTGGTCCAACTCTATGGAGCATACGGCTTATTGTCGTCCTATGTACAGATACTCCAGTCTCTGCCGTGGGACTCTGCAGCTCCTCCAGGGTTACCTTAGGTCTCTGTGCTGCCTCTCTGATTAATGCCCTGATTAAGACCCATGAGTTTTGGTAGGTGGCCATCTCTTGGCAGGTTTGCTGTTGTGTCATGTTCTTTCCATTTGGTTATGATAGATTTGATGGGGCTGCTGGGGATCATCAAAGATTTGGATTTTTTTTTTATAACCTAACCCTGACTTGTACTTCTCAACAACATTGTCCCTTACTTGTTTGGAGAGTTAATTGGTCTTCATGGCAGTGTTTGGTTAGTGGTGCCTCTTGCTTAGGTGTTGCAGCCTCTGGGGCCTTTCAAAAAAGGTGTGTATATGTAATGACAGATCATGTGACACTTAGATTGCACATAGGTGGACATCATTTCACTAATTATGGGACTTCTGAAGGTAATTGGTTGCACCAGAGCTTTTTATGGGCTTCATAACAAAGGGAGTGAATACATACGCACATGCCAATTTTCTGTTTTCTATTTCTAAAAAATAGCTTTATGTATATATTTCTCTCATTTTACTTCACCAACTTAGACTATTGTGTTCTGATCCATCACATATAATTCAGATTAATAAAACATTGAACTTAAGGCTGTAATGTAACAAAATAGGTAAAAAGTCAAGGGGGGGGGGGGTGAATACTTTTGCAAGGCACTGTATTAGCTTAGATGGTTGGGCTGAAGCTTTGCACTCAGTTAGCAATCTATCTACGCCTATGGCATGAAAGCATATGAAGGCAGGCCATCCACCAACATGGAAAGAACAAACCTCTGTAAAATACCCAGGAAACAATATGAAGAATACTAAAAGAGAAATGAATTATAAAACATATGTACTTTATCCTATTTAAAGACAATCCACAAATTAACACACCAATTGTTGCATGACATGCATTTATTTATGTTATCATTACCAGTAAACAGGACATACCACCGCTAACATACAAATATATTTGCAATTGAAAGTTGAGCCTCAAACGTGCTCGAAACCTTGCCAAACGTTCTCTGCTCACTGAATAATAATCAGTGGGATGTCAATCCAATCGACAGAGGAAAGGAATTGCAACAAAAAACATATTAAAGAAAAAAAAAGGCATATCACTTCTGTTAGGAGACTCTTAAAATATAGATCCATCAATAAACAAATATAGCTTATTCAGTTAATATGACGCGTACATAGATATCACAGCAGTTATCTTTATAATGAAGAGCACCAATGATGACTAATAAAAAATACTGTAAAATGCATTTCAGTGTGAATGCAGTATTTATGAACATTAAATGATCTAAAAATGTAAAGTGCAAAACAGAGTTATTTTAATGGGAGAAGGAATGTTCTAAAATATTTACAAATGATTAAAGCGATACACAACAAGGGTTTTATAAATCTTATTATAATGCATATACATAAGTTCTTAGTGGATCTCTTGACCTACCCTTGGTTATGGCCTGGGATGGCCACCTTTAAGTCCTCTTTGGTCAGAGAGAGCACTTATCTGACCAAAAACATTTGCAATGAACAGCTAAAACCAGGTCAGAGAAAGCTTTTTTATGTAACCAGTATTTGTGCATGATGTTAGGATTTATGGAAATACACAGGTTCTGTTACCTGCATGATGTTTGGTTGGATAAGGATGTAAGATGGCCATCTCCATCGACCAAGGGTAAGCCTGGAGATGTACTTGAAATAATTATTTACTTATATGTGTGCATTACAGTGTTGCACTCAAAGGCTATAATGTAATATCTTTTATTTTAAATTATAATAAAATATAACAACTTTCCTTTACAGGGACACTCCACTGCCCAAATACAGAAAATATAACCAAAATCACTTTTTTAGTAGATATTTAGTAGATAACGTATCAATTTCATTATGCATTTTTTTTTTTTTTATAAAAATACTGCAGTTCTCTTGTCTGTTACTTTTGCCAGCCCTCCCGTTCTTTCTCAGCCCAGACTTTCTTTGGTTGTCCAATCAGAAACTTCCCAATGAAGCTCAATGAGACGTCTTTGCAAGGCAGGTGCTCTAGGCAATTTCCTGTCCCTTGAGTTTAGCTCCACTGAGCTGAAAACAAACCAGGAATTAACCGAACCTGGTGTCTAACAGCCAGTGGGGTGTAACTAGGTTCATTTATAAATGTGCCAATTTCTATTGAAATCTGCACTTTTTGTAAAATGAAAAAAAGAGGATATAGTGTTCATACTTAAAGCATTTCACCAAGCTAAAAGTGATTTACGCGCTCAGAGCATCCTTTTAAGGCTAGAGCAGCAATGAATTATGCTCATTCATGATCATTAAACACAAACAACATTATATGATCATTAAAAACAAAATGTTTAAAATAGTAAAGCACAGTGGGGGCTGGTCCTTAGGAGCAGGTAGGCTAGCACCCCCCTAATTTATTGACATTGCAAGGACTACTGATATTGAAAAAGATGTGTCTGCCATAAATATAGCTGCAGTTTTCATTCTCACATATTCTGATGACTGGAGATGCAGCTATTTGTAAACAGGGCATGACATCGTATGTGGTTAAATTGGTAAAGTCCAACTAATCGAGGGGGTAGGGAGAGGTGGGGAAAGGAACAACAACCGTTTAACTTCACCAACCGCCCACGGAAAAGCACACACTGGTTTCTCAGTGGATCTCTCATTTAATCACTGTGCCTCTCAGCTGATGTTTGCATTCTGTTATTGCACCCCACATCTATTAAACAAAAATCTACAGCTCATCAGATAAAATGCATGATAAAATGTTATTTTTAACTTCACTGGTGCTTTAACCATTCACCAGTGTGACGTATCAAATGATCTTGAGAAACCCCAAAATGTAAATGTTATGGCTTAAATATGAAGTTGGTTAAAAATAAAGTTTTAGAATGGTATTTCGCAAAATACAAAGTGATTGTATTTGCTACTATTACAATTTTACTAGTTTTACTTGATATATATTTTAGATTACTTAAAATATATATTTGAATACAAGGCATTTTGAAAAGAGAAAAATATAAAAAATAATCAGTTAAAGGACCACTGTAGGCACCCAGACCACTTCAGCTTAATGAAGTGGTCTGGGTGCCAGGTTCAGATAGGATTAACCCTTTTTTCTGTAAACATAGCAGTTTCAGAGAAACTGCTATGTTTACCTATGGGTTAATCCAGCCTCATTGACAGCTGCTAGAGGGCTTCCGTGCTTCTCACTGTGAGTTTCACAGTGAGAAGACGCTTGCGTCCATAGGAAAGCATTGTGAATGCTTTCCTATGGACTGGCTGAATGCCTTAAAAAACAGTAATATATATATAAAACCAGATCCTGTTTCATTCCCTGTCTCAGTTTTGTGTATTAGGGTATATGATCATGACAGTCATGTGAAAATCATCAAGCAGGTTACATGTCATGGGCTGCTGAGATACTGAAGCATGACATGAGGGATTTGCACCAAAAGGAAATTATGGGTAAAAGTTCTAAAAGTGGAAAATTTGCACGTACGTTAATTTTTTTTCAGTGGTAATTTTGCCACCTTTTTTGTTAATTAAAGTTGAAGTAAAATAATTTTTAGGCATGAAAAAAAACAGAGGGGCAATTATATACACAATATTACAAATGCTATCACATTAAAACATGCAATATTACTTGTAAAAATACATAATCAGGGAGAGATGTATAGTTCTCAAATGATTTGCAGTGCAAGGTAGCAAAACTAAATTTTTGGGTAAGGTTAGTTACTTAGTAATTCTACAAGAGCCATGCTTTCTACATAACTTTGTTTATGATAAATGGAAGGGGTTGGAGGTACACTTTTGGAATGTGTACGTGTATAATTTAAAAAAGATTTTAAAAAATGCTTGGCGTGGAATTAATAGATTGACTATTCTTCAATAGCATGAAAGGCAAAGGAAATTCCATTTTAAGGCCTTACCAAAGAGTATTTGAAATAGGAAGAACATTAATTTTAGATTCCCACAATCAGAGTGGAAATGAGGAATAAAAGGGAAGAAACTACCACGGGTCAATTTAGAACTTTGTCCCGATACTACATTTGTACAGTTCGCTAGTGCATTAAGTCAGGGTGACCTACTGGTTTCCTTGAGCAACCATCCATTTACTCACATGGAAATTTTGATAGAAGAGGTAATAAGTAATATCTGATGGTTAAGATGTACATCCCAGATGATCATTTCAGCATTGTACTGTTCATCAGCAATAGACCAACATAAAATCCCAAGAGTAGCATTCCAGCATCTAAAGCACAACAGGTAGACACAAGACTAGACGATGCATTTTAGTTTAATAAAACTAAAATCTGTATCCTAAAAATAAATTTGGAATTATATTAATTCAGTAACTGAATAACCATTGTTTAAATAAGACACACTTTGTTGCATCAGGTATGAAAGGAAAAACATAAAAATAATGCTTTGTGAAATAAAGGAAAAAATGATGCACAACCCCAAAGAAGCAGATGCCCACATTTAAATGAAGCCAACTGTTCATTTGCCATTTCTTTGGACAAATGTCCAAAACATCTAGCACGCACTACAAAAAATATTCTCTCTGCTATGGTCCAATATATTAGCTCCAAAGTAATGAGAAGGCAGAAGAAAAAAAAGCCTAGTGCTAGGTTTCAAGCAATTCTATATAAAAGTTAATCAAGATGATGTTTTTTTTGCTTATCGTGTTGTTACTCTCTCAATGTTAATTGTCTGCATGAAATTACAATAGGTTGTGGGTTGAACTGTATCGCAAGCTCTTCAGCTGTAGAGACAAAATGGTTCTTCTTCATCTTGAATCTTCAGTTCCTGGAGGAGAGGGAAGTGGGTTTGGCTTTCTTCTTCCATAAAGAACACACTGTCTTCCTGGTTTTGGCAGTGAAACCACATGTTCTCATAGTTGGTGGGGCTGGGAGATGTGTCACCAAGAAGAGGCTGTGTGGATTCAGACCTTATATACAGAGAAGATGGAGGGCTCTGCTCGCGATAGCCTCCAGTAATCACTTTGGCATATTGGACAGTGTCTAGAACGTTGACATAAGACATCAGTGTATTCATATTTTCAATGATGGACTGGGACTGTACATGAAAATTCACAGAATGATCTTGTGGAAAGATTGGAGTGTCCTTTGGTAAATCCTCAGTGGCAGGCTTCTTTCCTGCCCATCCTTCCAAAATGGTGATATCACTCGTAATGATTTGATTAACATCTCTTGTGTTAAGGGTCATCCTGGGCTTCTATGAAGAGAAAATATGATTAAATATGTAAAAATGTTTAACCGCTTAAGGAACTTCTGGAATAAAAGTGAATCATGACATGTCACGCCTGTCATGTGTCCTTAAGGGGTTAAACTAATTGCTCCCCCAAAAAAACAGGTTCCAGTACAAGCACAATTTGTAAATAAACAGCTGCATAGTGAAAAGAAACTCCAATAAAAAAAAATATATATAATATATATATATATATATATATATATATATATATTATATATCTCACTATTATTTTTTTGAGAACTACAAATTTATTAACTTATTAAAATATTTAGCAGACAAGCAAAGTTGCAAAGCTACAATACATGGAATACGACTGGATTGGAGTATTGGCTACCTTGGAAATAGTGTGCATTTATATTTTAAACAATTAAATACAAGCAGACATGGTCACTTGTGCAATCATTTGTTCTTTACTGCGTTGATAAATAACTGTTTGGAGAAGATATGCAAAAATGTGAGCTTCAACCCCCACTTTTTTTTTTCTTAGATAAATAAAATCATAATAATCAGACCTTTTGGACACTTGTAAAGTGTCCTAGCATTCAATTGCGGATGGATTTATATTTAAATTTTTACCTCTTGTTTTACAGAGTCCCATTTTCCCATGCTGCTGTTAGCTGGATCTGGAATACTGGGCCAGAATCGTTTCTTCATTCTGGAAAAAATAAATATTTAATTGGGTTAAGGAAATGACAATCATGGAGGTTTTCAGTTGTTTTTTATTTTGTTGAATGCTTTCTGGACACTTAGAAAAAGTTCTAGGGAGAAATGGGCAGGGTTACTCAGAGATAATTAATTACTGGAAGAGCTTAACATGATGTACTGCAAGTGATTTTCTCAGCACAGTGAGATTGGTTTTACCTTTCATGTTTCATTATGCAAAGGATAAACGTGACAATGATGATCGTGATAAAGGACAGACAGAGGACCATGATCAGCATGTTAACTTCATTCTCATCTGGATAGTAAACAGATAATTTTTGTTAGATGTAACATTAGTATGACAGCCGCTATACTCCTATTATCCTGATTCAATTGCCAATATCTCAAAATCTCCTCTGTTATGTCTTGTGATTCTTCTATCTCTCTCATTATATCATCTCTGCCTGCTATACTGAAACTCCATGTTTTCTTTTACTTATTATTTTTGTTATTTACTGTAGACTAGGTTCACTGTTGATCTCCTTCTTCCTCTTTTTATTGTTTGATTTTGCATTCTATTTATTCTTTCTAATGGCCAACCTTACATCTCTTCTCAGAAAACCTACTATATTGTTTGATATTTACCATTCTAAGAAAGAGGAGCTAAATGGTCATGAATGATATAAATATCATTCATGACCATTTAGCTCCTCTTTCTTAGTTTCCTTAATTGTTTTATTAAATGTACTTATTTTATTACAATTTTCCATTTCACCAACTTTCCCTGCCTGACCCAATATCATCAGATTTTTGTTCTTACCAAAAAGAGTGGTGTATATTGTCATAACAGTTCCATTTGTGCTGCCACCTGATGTTGAGATGCTTAGAACAACTTTGTAAACGGTTAACGAATCCAGGTTTCCAATCACATATTCTCTTGATGTTGCTTTCAGATCTGCAACTGTACAATGTAATAAACTATTGTTACTTAAAGAGTCAGCTGTTAAGAATGTATTGTTCCTATATAGTCTGGCACCAAAGAAGACCATAATTCTAAAACTGCTTTGGTTATCATTAATTCTAATTCTGACAGGTATAAATGTTGGAATACAAGGCTAGAAATTTCTAGCTACCATCACACCAAGGGATAGATTCTGTTGAAAGAAATAAAATGTACCTTTCATAACTGAATTGTGCTTTTCACGTACCATGTAATGGGAGAACTTCTATTCTCTTACAAGTAATGTTTATATCTGGTATTAGAATCAAGTTGTAGGTCTAGTAGCCAGACTAGCTGAGGAACATTCGTATATTTAAGAATATTTATAAAAGCACAAATAAGCCTCTGAGATTTATGCCATATTGCATATCTTAAGAAATGACCCAGTCTGTACAAAGGTGTACAAAATCTGTCGTACATATCACATTAATTAGTCTGATTATACTAAATTGCTCATTTATACACTTACAAATATGCAAATAGTCTTGAACAATAAATATTTAAAAGCAAAGTAATGTGGAAAGTAAGTGATGTGGGACACTGGGTTTTTGTACTGTGCTTCTCATAAAGAAGCATCAGATTGGCAGATCTCTAAGATAACCGTGCATGTCCAATATATTTAGAAAAAAAGATTTTAAAAAACAACAACAATGATTATCAAAATCAATATTACAGGAACATTCAAACTCTTCCTCTATTATTGCTGGTTTATGTTGAGTTCTCTGGTTTTCTATGTGAAAACTCATTCTACCTGTTAATTATTTAATGCAATGCAAAAAAGCTCCTTAATGCCTAGCAAGAAAATTGCACAATCTCCACTTTTTCTCCATGTTGCAGGTATTATCATATTTCTCTTGCAATTAAATATATAAAAAAATGGAAAAATAAAAATCTGAAAATTGTCTTCATGGATTAATTGTTTACAAAACGGGCTTGCTTCAAATTAAATGGTAACCTGACCATGCTCCTTTCTTCTAATGCTTTTACTATGGTAAAATAGCTGACATCCTGCGTCAGCTTTTTTCCCATAGTAAAAGCATTGGTTCACAGAGGGACAACTGAAGAGGAGGAGCTGTTACTCAGTGCCAAGGTACCTTGGCGCTGGGATCAGATAATTAAATAGAGGGTTTTTAACTCTTCATTTACCATAGTGGGGGGGGAGGGGGGGGGGTCTGTATTCCTGGCACTACATAATCCCTTTAATACAATTAAAAGAATGCTTTATTTTAATAGGTCTTTAGACCCTTAACTAATTTCACACACAACAACATAAAATGAGTAGTCATTGATGTCCATTCCACATCTCTTAGTCCTACTATGCACACCCCATAATAATATGAGATTGTACAGAGCTCTCCACTACAATAATATAGACATACTATAATATATTCCTGTTCCAACCATTGTGGAGCCAATTACATTTCATGTAGACCATTTTTTGTATTGTAAACCACTAATTTAAGATCAGTTTAATAATTAAAATTAAGAAAAAAATTATAATAATACAACAAATATTATTTGTAAGAGCCTTAATTGGTATGTATGAATTCAACAGTGTAGCCATGGGCACAGCTTAACCTTTAGGCATTAAGATTGATTTGTTGAATGAACATATGTCAGATGTAAATGTGAATACAATGATTGTTTTATCTGATTTGTCCCATAGTAAATCTGTACTAAACTTCAGTTCTATTTTTTCTTTACATGATTTTAAACCACATTAGGTGCATGATTTGAAACCGCTCAATAACTAGACATTACAGATGCAATTTGCTTACAGAGCTCTACTCCGTTTGGATCAGTCCAGTAAATAGTGTAACCTGTGATAAACCCATGCTGACTCTCCAGGGGTATAGGCTCCCAGGAAAGCTCAGCCTGCGACTTTGAGGCTCTGATTAATGTTAGTTTGGGGGCCAAATCCGGAGCTGCAAAAAAAAAAAAAAAAGGTCAAAGTGTAAAGAGACAGAAGTATAAAATAAAAAGCAAAAAATCATAACCTATATAGCTGTAGCAGAAATATATAGCTACAATAGCAGTAACTTTCAACTCAGTGCATAACTAGTTTTCAATGATACTCAGCTTATTGAGTTTTGGCAATGGTCTGATAAGTAATTTATATATGAGTACATAACCCTTGTACAATTAGGAGCTGGTAATGTTTTTTCATTATCCAATGGAAATGATGCATTAACAGCTTCACAAACAGTTTAGTGCTGGTAGGTTGACTTTCCCTATAACACGCATGAGTCATTATATCAAAGTCTAGAATATTTTTCCAATTCTTAGATACTCAAGGAAAAGCCAGCATTCAAACTAGTAAGATACACTATCAAGAAAATGTATGCACATTTTTAAAGTATATAAACATTACCGTAAATATCAAGTGAAAAAGAAAGTTTATTGACAATGGGGAGATTGATCAAACCAGTAGAAGCAACAGGCCCATTGGTGACTCCACACCTTTTACATTGTTGCACCACTTTTTAAAGCAGAACACTTTGATAAATCTCACCCTATGTGTTTCAACTCATAAGTGATTTTTACTACATGACCCATAAGTTACTGGGAACCATGACACCAAGACAGATACCCTCACATAGATGCCAGTGACTCACCTCTTTGTCTAGAATACATTTCTTTCTGAACAGGGGCACCCACTCCTTCTTCATAAAGAGGGAACAGCTTTATAATGTACAGTTGGAAAGGTTTAATATTTTCTGAAAGGAAGTAAAGGGGTGATGTTGCAGTAAAACTTGTAGCAGGAAATTAAACTAAGCATTTAGCTTTATTAATTAAAATGCTATTATATTTTGTTAAAGCGTGTGCTCTATATTTGTACTTTTACATGTTCATCTTTTAAAGAAGACACAATATTAACAATTTTTCCCGCCAAATATTTATCAGCCATAACATAGGGAAACACACATCACCCCAGTTGCAAAAAGTAATAGTATAACTCAAAGATTTACTGCGGCTTACACGGACTCACCAGCCAAACCACGATAAAGGTCTGGATATGGCTCCCTGAACTCTGTTCCTTAAAATATCTCTATACAAAATTAAAAGATCCAGGCACAATGTGGCAAAATCATTTTCAGGCACCATTGAGCCCCTTTAATTAAAGATTAATCAAGCAGCCATATCTGATGCATCACGTTCAAAACATAGGGACTTTATCTTCCATCACAAATACCCATTAAGGTACATCTGCCACAATACATGTCTTCTATGATCATAGGCGTGCGCAGCCTATTGCATTAGGGTGTGCACCCTAAAGCACAAACACATGCTGCGTGTATATGTATGTATGTATGTGTATTTGTATATATACATACACTGCTGTGTGTGTGTGTGTGCTTTGTGAGGGTGCTGTTAGTGTGATGTGTGTGAGGGTGCTGGTAGTGTGCTGTGTGGGTGAGGGTGTTTATGTGTGTGTGTTTGTGAGGGTGCTGTTAGTGTACTGTGTGTGAGGGTACTGGTAGTGTGCTGTGTGTGTGTTTGTTAGGGTTCTGTTAGTGTGCCGTGTGAGGGTGCTGTGTGTGTGAGGGTGATGTTTGTGGGTGTTGTATGTTTGTCAGGGTTCTGTTAGTGTGCTGTGTGTGAGGGTGCTGTTTGTGTGTGAGGGTGCTGTTAGTGTGCTGTGTGTGTGAGGGTGCTGTGTGTTTGTGGGGGTGCTGTTAGTGTACTGTGTGTGTGAGGGTGCTGTGTGTTTGTGAGGGTGCTGTTGGTGTACTGTGTGTGTGAGGGGGCTGTGTGTGTGAGGGTGCTGTCTGTATTCTGTATGTGTGTGGGTGCTGTGTGTGAGAGGGTGCTGTGGGTGCTGTGTGTGTGTGGGTGCTGTGTGTGTGAGGGTGCTGGTGTGCTGTGTGTGTGTGGGTGCTGTGTGTGTGGTGCTGTGTGTGTGGGGTGCTGTGTGGGCTGTGTGTGTGTGGTGTGTGTGTGTGTGAGGGTGCTGTGTGTGTGCTGTTTGTGAGGGTGCTGTGTGTGTGAGGGTGCTGTATGTGTGTGGGTGCTGTATGTGTGTGGGTGCTGTATGTTTGTGGGTGCTGTATGTTTGGGTGATTTGTGGTTGTGGAGTGGGGGCAGATTAGTTAATAAATATCCCCCCTCCCTTCTTACCTTTTGTAGGGAGGGGGGATCCTTGTTGCTGCTGCCTTCCCTGGTGGTCCAGTGGAGGTGGGGGCAGATCAGTAAATATCCCCCCTCCCTTGTTACTTTATGTAGGGAGGAGGGACCATGCTGCTGCCTTCCCTGGTGGTCCAATGGAGAGTGAACTCTAGCCTGCGGAGCTAGAGTTCACTCTCGCGAGATTTGAGCGTTGCCGTGGCAATGCTCAGATCTCGCGAGAGAAACCTGGCGGAGCTGCTGGCAATAGATCCCTGGGTCCTCTCCTGCCTCCCTCCCTGCATGTGGGCCGGTGGGGAGGGAGGCTGAGAGCAGAGCCGGCGATCGGATAGTGCCGGCTCTGCATGAGCCGACAGGGGAGATCCTGAGATCTCCCCTGCCGGTCTTACTCCATAGGCGTGCGGCGGTATTAGGGTGTGCCCAGGCACACCCGGCACACCCCGTGCGCCCACCTATGTCTATGATGTGACCTAGATAGATGGCCTGAAGGTCACTGACGGTCCAGTGATACATGCCAATGTTCTCTTGTTTGAGTGACCGTCACTGACATTACTAGTAATGACTTGTGTGAGATGTGTAGGATATTTCAAGCAGTCAGAGGGAACGGCACAGGGGGAGAGGCACAGACAAGCAATACATTCAACATACCCTGCACCAATAATGGGCACAGGGTGACCAAGATACAAAAGGAATCTGGGGACCCACACATAGTTGGTACGGTGATCGAATAGGGGGTGTATGGACAGCCAAACAAAGGGCAATAAAATTGTAGCTAGAGCATCCATTCCGCTAAAGAATTATTTTCCCAGGCCTCAATAGAGGAGAAGCTTATATTCAGATATATTTGCCCGGGGGGAAGGTAAGAAAAAATATTTTATGGCATCCACATCATCAATATTTGAGAAGCGCTAAGGTGTTTTTTTTACCATTCAAAACTGAATTTCGGCTCCATTGTGGCTCTCTTTTCCAGTTGATCTCAATGTCAGGATTATTTGAGCTTTCATACCATTCCAGGATATAGCCTTTTGCTGAGGGTTTTGTCTCCCATTCTACACGCAAACTGTAATTATCATTTGGAAAAACTTGGAAATTGGAACCTAATTCACCTATAGAGAGAGAGCAAGATTTCAATATTTTATTCTTTTGTTTAAATTAAATATACTCTTTCTACGCATTTTCTCTAATTTTACAATTTTTCTTCTAATTTTAATGGGGAACAGCTACATCTCTGGAAATGACACCATTGAATAAAGCAATGAAAATAACCTATAATGTGTTTTATCATTTTTTCATTAAATGCTCCATTTTATTTAAAACATATTAAAGTGATGATATAGCACACTAAATCACAATTCAGTTCAGCCCAGACTCTGTATTCTCTTGTTATGCTGAATACAAGGTGCAAAGGACAGAGCTTATATCAATGAGCTAAAATGGAGGTGCCCACTTGAGGAATCAATAGTTCTTTATTTCTACTTATAATCTTATTTTTCATACCTCATAAATACATGATTGTTAAATGCAGCATATAAGTAACATAACATTAAAAATCCTGGGAAGTTGCAATTCCTTTTTGAAGGACATTGGAAGTAATATACTGTAGTGATACAGTTGTGGAGCAAGGTTCTAAATGTTGAGTAATCATCATGGAAGCCAATGTAATCTTCCTGCCAATTGTTTTGCGAACAGAGCTTTGTGCCAAAGTTACCCTTTATACTTTACCCCCAACATTTCTTGATGGCTTTAATGTAGCAATGAGGCCTATCCTCCTGATATACGCCAAGCTTATCCCTCAAAATCCAAGCTGTAATATTGGTGGAAGAGATGTCTGGACTAGTCACATAGTCACCTTACCTTTTTTTATAGAGAAGGTAATTTCTGTCCCTTGGGAGTGCCCTGCTGTATTGTATGCCCAGACAGTGGCACCCATCACACCTATTGATGGTGAAAAGCTGCAGTTGAGAGCTGTTGTGTTACAAAGAATGGCATCATTGCTTCCATAACCAGAAGACCTCTTGACAACATACCACATGTGATCGGCATTCGCTTCATGTTTCTTTAGTGCCTGCGGGACAGATATATCTTACTGAGAATGATTTATAAAAGGGCATTATAGTGAAAAGGCAATTCTACCTGGAATCAATTTAAGGTTGTATGGAATTTAAACAGCAGTTTTTTTTTTTGTAAGCTTTTGACTTCAGACCTAGACTGGCTACTGAGCAAATCAAATGATAGTTAAGGGCTAAGGATCTCTTCAAATGGCCCTTTATGATTTACCCTGACTTTTATCGCCGGTGCTGACCATGTAGCACCAAAAAGAGATGTTTAGTGTCACTGTTATCTATGTAGCACATCCAATCAGCACTCATGTCTATGATCTTTAATACATTCCAAACGGAAGTAATATGTTGCTTGACCAGGGGATCACAACTTGGTGAAATCTCATATCTCCTCTCTCTTGCTCCCATACAGAACCAGTGCCCTGGAACAGCACTGAGATGGCTGGGGAGAAGCAGCATTACTGTGGGAAGTAGAACATGGCCACACTGACGGAGGGGACTTGGAGTACCAAAAAGGAAATGGGAGAATAGATTTGGACAGGAGGTGCAGATAAAATGTCAGGAGGTGTAAAATGAAAGCCAGGCAGGTGTTTGTGACTAAGTGGCTATTAAAAAAGAATAAACATACCCCACTTTCAATACCTTGGGTTGTCTACTTTTTCAAATGGTATGCCATTATGGGGGTAATTCTCATTCCTGGGCTACCACACCGTCTCAAAGGTAACATTACTAATCAGGCAAATTTCAATTTGAAAATCGAACGTTCTATATTTGAGCCTGTAACTTTCCAAAATACCATAAAACCTGTTAATGGGGGGTACTGTTGTACTCGTGAGACATCACTGATTACAAATATGTGCATTTTTATGCAGTAAAACCCAACAGTATTATGACATTAACAGTTAAAATGTCAGACGGAAATACAATTAAAAAAAAAAAAGTTCTCTCTTTTTTTAAATTGTATTCATAATAAATTATGTTCCATATATGACTAGTTAATGATAAATTAAAGCTCTGTTTCTCCTGAACAAAATTATATATAATAAGTGTGGGTGCATTTAATGTGACAGCGGTGAATTACGGTTGAACAGACATATAGTGCAAATTCCAGTTTTTGTTTACGTTTTGTTTTGATCAGAACGTGCACTATTGACTCCGTCCTGAAGGGGTTAAAAGGTGTACTTTAAGCCTATAAGCACCACAGCCCCGTTGTAATGGTTATGGTGCTAGCATGGCCCTGTTACAACTCCCCAGATATGAGTAAAGCCATTTGTGAGGTGTTTAACACACACCAAAGGACCTCAGGTGATCAGCCCCTTGTTAGGCATATTGCTATTGTGGAAGTTGCACTTTTGCATTAACTTCACTGGCTGGGCATATAGTCGTTATGGTGAAAAGATTGACCCTTTTACAAATACCATTAATCCTGTAAAAATAAAAGTGTGATCCACAAAACATGTAGCTAATAAATCCCCTTTCATATAGATGTAATTTAAATTTTGTTACATTTTACCTACATTAGAGCTTCTAGCTTACTTTGAATAAGTTTGACCCAAAAAGTTACTGCAAATGCACATTAAAAAACAGAACAAAAAAAAAAAAACAAACAACTTCTAACTTGTGCCATCACAAAACTATCATGATTATTCATTAAATGTTTATTTTTCAGTCATCTATGTTTTCATTTTGGCCCAACATTTTAATTCTACTTTGAAATTGAATTCACACTGATTTCCTTACAATCCATACATTAGTGTACAACTCTGTCTAACTTAAATTAGAGATCTGTTGCGCTACCTTCCTAATCTAACTGACTTACCTTCCACAGAAGCTGAATACGTCCTTGGAGCCCATCTTTAGATTCTGTTTGCTTCCACCAAGTCTCCAGTTTACCTGTAGGAGCTTAAACCACAAAATGATTACTATAATAAGTAAGCAGTTACTTTGAATATTTGCATCCTTTGGTTTGTCTTGAAATACATATTTACACAACTAGTTGTTTGAAGTGGGTTCTCCTTCTAATGTTGCCATTTAAGTGTTAGCATAAGTACATAGTGTGTGGTGACTCTCAGCCTCCTTTAAGAGTATATAAACTAATGTAAACCAGACATAATAGCTTTCATGAAATGGCATATTGTTTCTTAAAACAATTCTTCATGCATTTGTCTGCAACCTTCTGATGTGAATAGCTAAAATATTAGATTTAGCGGTATGCCCTTCAATAAATGTTTTTAGGATAAGCTATTCAAGTTATTTAATATTTTGGATAAATTCTAAAAAAGACTTAAAAAAAAAATTATTTACTTTTACTGTGCAGACAACCATAAAATGTATTACAACAATATCGTCAGTAAAAGCTATTCATGTGTGAAAAATGCAAAAAACTTAACTTTTACAGAAAATATCATTGTTGTGATTTACTATTAATTTACCATTTTGAAACACTAATATTTGTGTTCAGTGATGTCTCCTGAGTAAAACAGTACCCCCTATGTACAGGTTTTATGGTGTCTTGGGTGGTCTGATTGATTGGTGAGTGATTTTACCGAACAATCAGTCGAATGCTGCATACATTTCACATATACATGGTACAATTTAACCGAACACATAGGAATATATATATAATTTTGAGGACAGCCCAATGCCATCCGCTACAATATGTATATATAATTTATTTTCATTTTTAAAAAAACATTTTATTTATTATTGTAATTATACATGTATATATATATATATATATATATATATTAATATCAAATATATATATATATATATCTTATATATATATATGTAACTTTCCTCTAAGTGTATTTTACTAATATATCTACTTATATTAAGAATAAAATACACTGCATATGACGTTGCATATATATGTATATATTATATATAGATAATACACATACAGTATATGTATTTTATATTTATATATACACATTTATTTTATTTTAACATGTTTAATAATATATTTTTTTACACTACCTGAAAGCCCAGACAGTCCCCCTGCTGGCAAATCCACAGCCAGCTATTGGGGCCATGTGATCGCTCTTTGAGAGCGGGGAGGGCTGGGAAGGGCTGCCTGGATTGTCAGGCAGTCCTTCCAAAGTGGATCACGGTGGAGGTAAGTACCGCAGAGATCCTGGGGTAGAAAGTCATTACTGTGTTCTGTGCCGCCACAACGGCTTTAAAGCCCATTATAATGGGGACGGCATAGAACGCTGTAACAGCGTTAAGGGGTTAATTACATACATGAGGCTCGTGGAGAGTCTAGCAAGCTACTGACAGAGCAGGAGATAGGAAATTCTAAATTAAACAGTATTTGCAATAAAGGAAGAATACACTTTAGATGACTCTTTACAGGAAGTTTTTAGTAAGACTGTGTAAGTCACATAGAGGGAGGTGTGACTAGGGCAGCATAAACAAATCAATTTAACTCCTAAATGTCAGAGAATTGAGCAGTTAGACTGCAAGGGCATGATCTTTACAAAAAATGGCTTTATTTAACTAAAGTTGTTTTGGTGACTAGTGTTTCTTTATAAAATGGACATTGCTGAAGAATGATAAAGACATTTTTATGTTGAAACATGTCAGTGTGGTTCTGGTGTTTTTTGTTTTATATTGAGATCTGTTTATGTTCTTTTTTTTGTTTTAATACATTTTAAAGTTACTTTAATTTTGCTTACTCATTTTGTTTTATTAAAATCTGAGTGTAAGATTTTAGTATGCAGTGCAAAGTTCAGTATTTGATCTCAGCAACAGCCACCTTACTTCCATTAAAAGGCTCTACAGTCTGAGCCTACTAAAAAGTGGCTCAGCATCATATGAGTGGGACCAATTTGTGTTTATATTTAATTTGTTTGTTTAAAATTTCTTACACTATGGTCTGTCTATTTGTATGTCTTTTAGGTTAATCTTTTTTTGCCAAGCTTGTGGTAAAACTGCATGTGCTTATTACATATATTCATTTATTGTGTGTACTCTCATCTTTATATTTATTATTGGCTTGATACATTGTGTTTTCTGTGGTTGGATGACCTACACAGGTTGATAGTAGCACTGTTTAACAACCATTTTACCTCACATATTATATTGTTACTGTAACTCATCTACAAATCCACAATGTCTGTGTTCATTAATTTTAGATTCACTAAAGTGTGAATGAAATCAAAGTAAAATGAAATCAAAGTGAGGTTAAAATTTAAGGTCAATGTAGCCAAACTGGAAATAAAAATCTCCAAATCAGTTGCGCTTCAAGTTCAGCTACTCTGGCCTTTCATTTCAAATTCAATTTGAATTACTGACAATTCTCGCTGTAGAGAATAACCCCGTTTGCACAGTTTCTGTCCCTCTTTTCTACCCCCAATGTCTCTCTGTTGTAGGAGCACAGTATTCTGGGTGTGTCTGAATTTATACCAGAACTACACATCAATAATATTCACAGTAATGTGTCTTTAAAATATAATAAATATGTTTAGAAATCAGTCTGTGTGAATAAAATACATTGTTCTTGTTCTAATTTACATTTAAGCTGCATAAACCCCCTAACCCCTAACAATACCTTACCGACACCCCTAAAATAAAGTGTCCCTCTTTTGTATGCGTTTGTGTAGGCTGCTAACATCTATTACGATTCTGCACTTGTGAAAATTAGATAGAATGATGATGATAAATCATCATAAGGCAGTCATATACAAAATAGTTTACATCCAGTGATCACATCAAAGTTGATATGCTAACCTGATTCCAAAGTTGTTATTGTTCTCTCATGTCCCCACTCACTCCACACTCCAGTTTTAGAGGCCCGGATACTTCGTAACTGGAAATGATACTTGGTAGCAGACAAGATGCCACAGATACTTGTTTCATTCAAACCACTGCCCAAATCTGCAGGCTAAAATGGAAACGTTAAGTCCTTATTTTATCAATACATAATATATATAATAATTATTTACATCAGTGCAGAATTAAGGTTACTGAACATTTCCCTATCCCTAGATTACTGATTCCCCTTTTTCTTCTGCAGAATATTTTAAATAAATTCTCTCTACTATTAATATTTGGGAATACCTAAATTTTAACTCACGATTAGGCAATTTATATTTGGGCATATAGTTGGTGTATTAGATACTGTATATATCTACTGTAAATATTATACTTATTCCATTTTCGTTATATTGAAAGTCTATTTATAATGTCGATAAACATAGATATTTTGCTTTTCTATAATCTGCATTGAGTAAAGAAATCGGTCGAAAGTTGGAACAACTGGTGTGTGGTTTTCCTGGTTTAGGGAACCAGTTGTTTAAATTACAATGCTAAATGTGGTGCTAACAAATCTGCACATTTATTATAGATATTAGATAAGCCATCTGGTCCTTGCACTTTATTGGATGGCGGTGATTAATTTGATTTTCATATTTCCTCTTCTGATTTGATCTAAACCCTCCTTTTGTTCTTGGGTGACTGTGGGGACACTGTAGGGGACACTGGGGAGATATATCTCCTCCAAAAATTGGGTTATGTCAGCATCTGTTGGGTTATGCATTTGTGGGTCTAACTTCATATTACATAGTGCTTTATAGGAATCTGTGAAGTGGTTGACAATATTAGCTGGGTTATTAACTTTGGCTGCTAATAGTTTTTCTGCCCTGTTGTCTTGATCATAATGGAATTGTTTCAGTTTTCACTAGCACCGTTCTGTTGTCCTTATCTGAATGTCCTTTATGGGTAATTTAACTGTGTTGATTTCTCCTCTGAGTTTTCGTGAAGGTGGGCATTTATTTTGTGTTTCTAAGCTTTGTAATGATTGTGTGGGGTGTTTGTCTGTATTATTAAGTTCCTTCTTATACCTAGCTCCTTGTTGAATTATATTACACCCTTATTACTGCTTTGTGTGCCTCTCAGTTTGTAGATGGGTTTGTTTCTGAGGAGGTGTTTTCTGAGAAAAACATCCAAGGTATCAGACAGTGTTTCCACTATCTCTTATAACTGCTTGTTTAGCTGCCAAAGTCCCCTCTGGCAGGGTAGCGAGTGTAGAAACCGGTTGTTATGGATGCACGATCCAAACATGATATATAGTGCCTATGGATACTTTGTTAACCGACTGGAGGGTTGTCGAGTCTGCAATGCAGAGATCAATTTGACAATATGGCTGGTGAATGGAATGTGTATTCCTTTTCCTGCAAGTACATTTCATTAAATTTCATTTCATGAAGAGTGTGACGATTTAATAGTTAAGTCAATCTGCAATCTAATTGTATGGAGGATTTAGTAGGTGGTCTGGGAGACTCTGCCCTGGTGTCCCGGATCGGATCTGGCGTACAATTCAAATCGACGCAAACGTCAATCTGCCTTTCTTCATAGGGTCGATTTTTGGGACACTTGGATTAAAGATGCATTTGGATCTTGTGTTGTGTTGATAGAAACTATAATAATAAGTTATTTATTTAGTAATCCAGCCACTAGACAGGACAACAAGAAGCTGTGCTGTTTGTCTGCATATTGGTTGTTAAGTTGAAATGACCAATCTTTATGAAAAGGATAGAGTCCCCTTTGGTTTTTGTGGATGCATATGCATAATATCCGGTCGGCAGGGCCAGATTAAGACCCCAGTGGGCCTGGTGCTGACAATTATGATGGGCCTATGTACAGAATCTTATCGACCAAAAACACTAAAACAGTCATACCTCTCAAGCGTTATGTATCTGGTGGAGATATTGCCAGAGGAAAACTCATAGGATACAACTATAAGAAAACTCAGATAATATGTAATATATAAAATATGCTAATCTCTCTAATTCGTGCTTTCTTCTTTCAAGTAAATCCATACCCCCTGACAGCAGTGTCCAGTGAAGCAGGAAGTCAATGGGTGGTGTAAAAGGGGCTATGACGCAGATCATATAACCAGAACTCCTGAAAGGGACAAACATGCCCAAAAAGGAGGCGTGTCAGGCTGCTTGCAAATCATGCATGCTGGCCAACAGCATCCTGAGCTTGACATAAATGCATAAATGCGTCTAATGATGTGCTTGCTCCATGCTTTCTAAGGATTGTCCCCTAGCACTGACATGTCCACTTGTCTCCTTACCATCTTACTAGCAGGCAGAAGCTCCTGGTATATAGTCTGAGACAGAGAAAAGGTGGATGTAGTGAGTGTAGACGAAAGGGAACATGCCACAGTGCTGGAGACCAAAGTCAGCATTACCTTAACTAATTTTGTGGTGGAATCTCGGTAAAAATAAATTTAGTAGGCCGAGATTACCACGTGGCATGTGTACGTGCATATGCTGACGTATCGATCAGTTGGTTGCACGAGGCAAGATACGATCAGTAGTGTACGGAGCATGTGCAAGAATACAGGATGTAGTATTCCCCTCCTCCATTGTGCTGGACAAGCCATGCGGTCAAGCAGGAAGTTAATTCTTATTTGTAATGATTGGTCAAGAGAATGTGCGGGTGGAGCTTAATATGGGAGGAGTTATGTGCCTATATAGGGAGCCTGCACTATTGTTCAGGGCTCAGAACTTGCTGTATTTTTGGTGACATTAGTCCCTCTGAGTCCCGATCGGTGATCCAATAAAGAATCTCTTCCTTCCTGAAGAAACCTGTGTCCATCCCTCTGTGCTTTGCTTCCGTCAGTTTCTCCGGTATCATTTGGTGCATTGGCCGGGAAGCTCATCGTTCAACGGTAGCTGAGAGGCAGAGGCGTGAGACGGTCTATCTTTGCCCACGTTCTCTACGGCTGCACCCCTGAACTTCTGCGTGGACCTCCCTTCGTCTCGGCGCCACTGGTCTGTTGTCCAGGAGATCATCGGCCTCTACGTAAGAAGTGCTGGGGTGTCCCCGTCGATGAGTGTGAACTCAGGTTCAGGAACGAGGAGGTAAGACAACTGCTGTTTTAGACGGCAGACCCACTAGGGGTATACCGATTGTGCGGTAGGCCCAAAAGGGGTTTAAATCTGTGTATGGAATCTGCCCCCTCTGTCGGAGGGAAGGAGCGAAGGCGCACCGCTCGATCGAACGCTCTTTAGTAAGACCGCTTTGATCTGGTTAGTCAGGCGGGGTCCTGTGTAAATAGCCCTAGCCGGACACCGGTGTCTTGTCTAGACTAGCGTTCTAGGGTGTATATTACGTTCGCTAGGTCGGAGGGACCGAGAGACTAAGCGGCGCCTGTGTAAATTCGGTTCGCTAGCTCTCAACCTATCTTGGCTAAGTGGGAAGGCGTGTAAATTTGGAACCCACTAGACTTTTGATAGAGTAAATAGACTAGAAGGGCAATTTTGTAAATTTCGCCCTCTAGTTCGCTATATGTGGTGTTTGGGCAGTGTGGCTAACCAAAACGGGTGTATATAGTTTTAGGTAGTCCATTCAAGGTACTGGCCAATAGTTTAGTTGGGATTGTAAATGTGTTAAAGATTGTTAGTAAAGTGTATATCTTGTTAGATAGCGCGAGCTCAGCCGTCTAGCGAGAGTGTTAATAGTGTGTTGCTGTATCATAGTGCACGGTACCATAACCCTGTATATTTACTGACACTGTATATAAGTACTAATCATTGTCGTCTATTGCATGTTTAACACCGTAACCACTAATAATTGTATTGTGACCTTAAATTGTGCTTTGACCTATGCTAACCGTACTGTAACCGATACTAGTAAAAGACGATGTTACTGGGGTGTGTTATAGACGGGTAATTCATATATAGAGAATTATAGCGTGGGTGACTGTATAGTTTCGCCAAAGGGCATAATATTGATTATTTAGTGACTGGTGTAACAGCTGTGTGTGTACGGGAATTCCCTGAGTGATTATTGTGTTATTGTGTACGTTTCACTTGGTAACTGTACCACGTGGTGCTGTTGCCAGAGGAAACGGGTGTGACTGTTGAATAAGAACGCGTGCATAGTATTCGTTGTCAACGACGTTCCATTGATAAGTATGGGCGCGTCAGAGTCAACGATTTCGGATCCCTTAGGTTGTATGGTAAAGAATTTTAAAAAGGGATTCAAAACATGTGATTTTGGGGTTAAAATGTCTCCTGTACGTTTGGTCACTTTGTGCACTAGGGAGTGGCCTATTTTGGTTGCGGCATGGCCGCCGCGTGGCAGTTTGGATCCAACCCTGGTACAGCGTGTACACGTGGCTGTGTCAGGTAGGCCTGAACTTTACGGACAGTTTCCATACATTGATTGTTGGGGGCAGGCCGTAAACGACTCGCCAAAATGGATCCGGATATGCCACGAGGAGCAATGTCGCCTCATGGTGGCCAGGACTTGTTTGTCCACTAGGACTGGTGTTAGGCCCATTTTGGACACGCCCCCTGAGTCCGAGATCCCTTTGCCGCCCCCTTACTTTCCTTTAAGAGGAAGTGACGCGAATGCAGGAAGCTCTGCACCCCTTCCCCTATTGCCCCCATCCACTTCCGCTTCCTCCTCCAGTACAGAATCCACCCCCCTCGTATTAAAACTCCCCTTCCGGAACCAGGACCAACCCCCATTAGATTTGAATATCCTGATTTGGCGCCACTTCAAACTTCCGGTCAAGCTTCTTCTAGCTCGGCTCGGAGTATACTATTCACTAACTTTTCCCAAAATCAAGTTCCCACATCCTCATGCCCTATTACCTCTCGACCGGAACCTTTAACTGACGCCCCTCCACGTAGCCCCATACTAACCCGACAACTGACCGGTACCCAACAATTAAAACATTATCAGATGCCTCTTCGTCTGAATCCTGGGTCAGCCTATATCGATGCCGCAGGTCAAATGGCACATGCTGACCCAGTCTTCGTATATGTCCCGTTCACGACTACCGATCTCTTGAATTGGAAGACCCACAATTCCTCGTACACTGAGAAACCACAAGCTATGACCGATCTGTTCACCTCGATAGTTCAGACACATAACCCGACATGGGCTGATTGCCAGCAGTTATTAATGACATTGTTCAATAATGAGGAAAGGACAAGGATTAACCAAGCGGCCATTAAGGCGCTAGAGGAGAGAGCCCGTGCTTTAAATCAAGCCAATCCGGCAGCATGGGCCGCAACACATTACCCTAACACCGATCCTGACTGGAATGTAAATGGCGCAGATATGGCTCAACTTAAAGCCTATAGAGACGCTATAATTGCTGGCATGAAAGCCGGAGGGAAGAAAGCTATTAACATGTCGAAGACAGTTGAGGTGATTCAGAAAAGTGATGAAGCGCCCAGTGTCTTTTATGACCGATTATTGGAGGCATACCGCTTGTATACCCCCTTTAATCCGGAAGACGCTGATAATTCCCGAATGGTAAACTCCGCCTTTGTCAGCCAAGCTTACGGAGATATTAAGCGCAAGCTACAGAAATTAGAAGGGTTTGCAGGTATGTCTATCACCCAACTAATGGAGGTAGCGAACAAAGTATATATGAATAGGGAAACAGAAAGTAAGAAAGAGGAAGAGCGCAAGATGCGTAGAAAGGCAGATATGCTAGCGGTAGCGATCGCAGGCGTAGATAGACGGGGCCCAGATAGAGGCGATGGTAGATGGAATAGGGAGCCTTTGAGTAGGAATCAGTGCGCGTACTGTAAGGAAGAAGGGCATTGGAGGAACGAGTGTCCGCAAAGAGAGCAGTATGAGAGAGACTTACCCAGGGCAGGTTACGGAAACTTTAGAGGCAGAGCGAGAGGTAGAGGAGGCCCCGGAGGGAGTAATGGTAATAGAGGGAGTAATGGGAACAGAGGAAGTGTAAGGGAAGATAGGTACTATCCAGCAGCGCAAAGGTCCCGCGATAGAGAAGGTAGGGACTTTGTGGGATTGGCTGACACGGTCATGGAGGACTATTGATACCGACCGGGCTCCATCCCCCTTGGTCGAGCGGAGCCTATGGTCGATGTATCAATAGGGGGAAAAAGGAGTGCGTTTATGATCGACACTGGTGCTGAACATTCGGTGGTGACTAATCAAGTTGCTCCTCCATCTGGAAGAACTATTACTGTAATAGGAGCAACTGGAAGAAGTGCTGAAAAACCGGTTCTTAAAAGTCGACTCTGTACATTGGGAGGCCACGTAGTAAAACATCAATTCCTTTATATGCCTGAGTGTCCAGTCCAATTGCTGGGACGTGATATGCTATCCAAATTACAAGCGCAGATTACGCTCCTACCAAATGGAACAACATCCTTAAAGTTTAATGGACCCTCAGGTATTATGACATTGTCCGTACCAAAGGAAGAAGAGTGGCGACTTTATACAGTGTTGACTAGCCAAAACCCGAGGAGTGATGAATCCTTATTTAACATACCAGGAGTTTGGGCAGAGAACAACCCACCAGGACTGGCCCGCAATATTCCACCTATTAAAATCGAACTAAAACTTGGGGTTTATCCAGTAAGCCTGAGACAATATCATATTCCGCAGAAGGCTAAGAAGAACATCCAATCTTATCTGGATAAGTTCATACGGTATGGTATCCTAAAATTCTGTACTTCCCCCTGGAACACCCCATTGCTGCCTGTTCAAAAGCCCGGTACAGATGAGTATCGACCTGTGCAGGACTTGAGAGCAGTCAATGATGCGGTTGTTAGTATACATCCAGTCGTGCCCAATCCATATAACCTGCTTGCTTTAATTCCGGGCGGGGCTACTTACTTTACAGTCTTAGATCTCAAAGATGCCTTCTTTTGCCTCCGAATTGCCGCAGAAAGCCAATGTATCTTCGCTTTCCAATGGGAAAATGCTGTAACGGGCTCGAAACGCCAAATGACCTGGACAAGATTGCCCCAGGGGTTTAAAAATTCACCTACCCTATTTGGTTCAGCTCTAAGTCAAGATCTACTAGATTTCGAGTCTATCCCAGGAGAGTGTGTATTATTACAATATGTAGATGACTTGTTGATAGCAGCAGTTACAAAGGAAGTATGTCAGCAAGCAACGCACGATCTACTACACATTCTCTGGAAGGCAGGATACAAGGTGTCAAGAAGGAAGGCTCAGTTGTGTTTGCCAACCGTCAAATATCTGGGATTCCATATCTCTGAAGGTCAAAGAATTATGGGGCCAGAGAGAAAAGAAGCTGTGTGCCAAATACCGATACCCAGGAATAGAAGACAAGTGCGAGAATTCTTTGGGGCAGCAGGCTTCTGTAGGATATGGATTCCCAGCTACGCGATACTGGCAAAACCTCTGTATGCAGCTATCAAAGGTACAGAGCACGACCCCTTCTTATGGACTCAAGAACAGCAAACGGCATTCGAAGATGTGAAGAGGGGTTTGATGAGTGCCCCAGCATTAGGTCTACCTGACCACACACGGCCATTCTACCTGTATGTACATGAGCAAAGAAGAATGGCTGTGGGAGTATTGACACAGTACTTGGGATCATGGCAAAGACCTGTTGCCTACATGTCTAAGCAACTGGATGCAGTGGCCAGCGGACTTCCACCTTGTCTAAGAGCTGTAGCTGCAGCCGCCCTGCTAGTAGCTGAAGCCGATAAACTCACTCTGGGTCAAGAACTTTATGTACGAGTTCCACATGCAGTACAGACGTTGTTGGATTACAAAGGAAATCATTGGTTTAGTAACAGCCGTATGACCAAGTATCAAGCAATGTTGTGTGAAAACCCAAGAGTGCATTTAGAGACTGTAAATACCTTAAATCCAGCTACCCCTTTGCCACAACCTACTGAAAGTCAACATGATTGTTTGGAAGTAATGGATGAAGTATTTTCAAGTAGACCAGATCTTCGTGATTTTCCCATCCAGAACCCTGATGTTCAATATTACACCGACGGCAGTAGTTATGTAAAAGAAGGGATCCGCTATGCAGGATATGCAGTAACAACGATAGACAAGGTGATAGAAGCTCGGCCACTGGCAAAAGGAACATCAGCACAAAAGGCAGAATTGATAGCACTGACACGAGCGTTACAATTGGCTGAAGGTTTAAGAGTGAACATCTACACGGACTCCAAGTATGCGTTTTTAACCACTCATGCCCACGGAGCTTTGTATAAAGAAAGAGGACTATTGAATTCAGAAGGCAAAGAAATCAAATACGCAGCTGAGATCCTACAACTATTGGAAGCAGTGTGGGAGCCGAAAGAAGTCGGTATTATACATTGTCGGGCGCATCTGAGAGGAGATGGTGATGTAACCAAAGGGAATCGGATGGCAGATAGTGCAGCTAAGCGTGCTGCTGAATCAGGAAGACAGGAATATGTGGGGCATATAGCTGCTCTTATACCAACTCCACCGTCTCAATGGACTCCAATTTATACAGCTCAAGAAGAGGAGTGGTTAAGGACTGAACCTGGAAAGTATTTGGAGAACAAATGGTATCAGTTAGAAGATGGAAGAATAGTTATTCCAGCATCACTAGCGTTAGAAATTGTCCAAAACTATCATAACGGGACACATTCTGGGAGAGACAGTACAGAAGAATCTCTCAGAAAACATTTCTACATACCAAGATTGTCCAACTTGACTCAGGCCATTGTACGTAGATGTGTAACGTGTGCTAAAAATAATGCAAGACAAGGACCAGTGAAGCAACCAGGAGTCCAGTTTATGGGGGGACTTCCCATGTCCGATTTACAAATTGACTATACAGTGATGCCTAAATCGGGTGGACATCGCTACCTGCTGGTAGTGGTATGCACCTATTCAGGCTGGGTAGAAGCATGTCCTACTCGTACAGAGAAAGCAGGAGAAGTCGTGAGATTCCTGCTACGAGAAATAATACCCCGATATGGACTACCCTGCTCTATAGGATCGAACAATGGTCCAGCTTTTGTTCATCAGTGCCTACAACAATTGACTCATATGCTTGGTATAAAGTGGAGGCTTCATACGGCATATAGACCCCAGAGTTCTGGTAAGGTAGAGAGAATGAATAGAACTATTAAGAATCAGTTGGCTAAAATGTGTCAGGAACCCCAACTTAAGTGGAACGTTCTCTTGCCCATAGCTCTATTGCGAATCCGTAGTACACCTACCAGAAGGATGGGCCTCTCTCCTTTTGAAATCATGTACGGGCGACCACCTCGCGTGCTTGGTAACTTAAGGGGGGATTTGAGTCAGTTGGGAGAAGGAATTACCCGGCAGCAGGTTGTAGAGTTGGGTAAGACTATGGAGGAGGTACAGAAATGGGTACAAGATAGATTACCTGTGAATATTTATCCCCCAATTCATAGTTACCACCCAGGCGACTAAGTGTGGATTAAAGAGTGGAATAATGTGCCGTTAGGGCCCAAGTGGAGAGGTCCTTATGTTGTTCTTCTGTCTACCCCTACAGCGATAAAAGTAGCCGAAGTGGCTCCGTGGATACATCACTCCAGGGTTAAACCAGCAGCAGCCGATTTCTGGCAAGTTACAGCAAATCCAGAGAATCCCTGCAAGATCCGGTTAAAACGCACGACTCAGTCGGAGTGACGAGGAACCTTGTAGATTACAAATTTTATTGTTTCAGAGACTTGGTAAGTGAGTGAGAAGGCCATAATAAAGCCTGTCCACTCACCAACAAGTGTATAAGTCAGGGAAAGTCTTGAGGGGACCCCTGTGAAGACGAGCAGAACTCCATTCCCTGCAGTCCTTACATCCTGGAAGCTGAGGTGCCTTCACACGGACGAAGACTGAGAATGACGACGAAAGATGTATTTTTAATAATGTTTATTTATGTGTATTTTTATATTCAGGAAGGTAGAGGTACCAACACTCCTAGCTGTGAGGTATGCATTAAGACTACAAGAACAGGTGACCATATATCCCAGACCCTAATTTGGCATTCGCAATATGAGTGTAAAGGAGATGTATCAAGATGTAGATACTTAAATATAGAATATAGTGTGTGTCATTTAGGAGTAGGAGAACCTATGTGCTTCAGTCCTGAGTATCAACCCCGTACAATTTGGTTGACTCTCAGAAATGGAGATTCTCAGGGGACCCTAATTAATAAGACGGTATTAAAATCCGTATATTCTTCAGGTGCTCTGCTATTTGATGCGTGTAAAGCAATATCAAGTGGTAGAAAGTCGTGGAATGTATGTGGGGGTCTTAGATGGGAGAGGACGTATGGGTCTAACGATAAATATATTTGTCCCAGTAGTAAAAATAAATATGTAAGTCCAAGATGCCCAAATAGAGATTATAACTTCTGCCCATATTGGTCTTGTGTGGGGTGGGCGATTTGGGGACAGACAGCAGACAAGGACATGATTGTGACTAAGTTGCCTACTAATCCATATTGTAAGTCTATGGAATGCAATCCAATCCATATACTTATAAATAACCCTGACAAGTTCTTAGATAAATATGGTAATTTATTTGGGTTTTAAATATATGGGACGGGTTTAGACCCTGGGACAATATTGTTTATAGGGATAGAGTCTGATACGGTAACCTCCCAAACTCATCAAGTATACCATTCCTTTTATGAAGAGATGAGCATAGATAATAAGATCCCCCATAATGCTAAAAACTTGTTCATTGATTTAGCCGAAAGTATTGCCGGTAGTCTTAATGTTACCAACTGCTATGTGTGTGGAGGTACTAACATGGGAGACCAATGGCCTTGGGAAGCAAAGGAGGTAATGTCCGGTTCTGAGGCAGTTGACCAATTAATATCTACACAAGCCGACTATCATATGAGTGTTAGAGGTAAATCTGAGTGGAGATTGAAGACCTCCATCATAGGTTATGCTTGCATAGCGAGGAAAGGAATGATGTATAATACTTCTGTAGGAGAATTAACTTGTCTAGGGCAAAAAGCTTATGATGATGATACAAAGAATACAACTTGGTGGTCGGCTTCAAATGTCTCAGAACCATCTAACCCGCTTGCAAGATATGCCAATTTAAAGGACGTATGGTTTGATCTATCCATCACATCTAACTGGAGAGCCCCAGCGAATTTGTACTGGATCTGTGGTAAGAAGGCCTATTCGGAGTTACCACAGGACTGAGAAGGGGCATGTGTGTTGGGTATGTTAAAACCATCCTTCTTCTTGTTGCCTATTGAAACAGGTGAGACTTTAGGTGTTAAAGTGTATGATGTGAATCATAGGAAGAAAAGGGGACTCATAGAGATAGGTGCCTGGGAAGATAATGAATGGCCTCCCCAGCGTATTATAGATTATTATGGGCCAGCCACGTGGGCAGAGGATGGTACCTTTGGTTATAGAACCCCTATTTATATGCTCAACCGCATTATAAGGTTACAGGCGGTGGTTGAGATCATTACTAACGAGACATCACAAGCTCTCAATCTTCTAGCGAAGCATAATACCAGGATGAGGACAGCAGTTTACCAAAATAGATTAGCCTTGGATTATCTTTTGGCAGTAGAGGGAGGTGTATGTGGGAAGTTTAACCTGAGTAATTGCTGTCTTCAAATAGATGACGAAGGGCAAGCAATAGCTGAGCTTACTAGCCATATGGTTAAACTAGCGCATGTGCCTACTCAGGTATGGAAAGGGTACAATCCAAGTAGTTGGTTTGGTAGCTGGTATGAGTGGTTTGGAGGGCTTAAGGCAGTGGTAGGTGGAGTCCTACTGATTTTAATGTTGTGTCTACTCCCGCCGTGTCTTATACCCTTAGTAGTTAGGTCTGTGCAAAGCCTGATAGAAAATATAGCAGAGAGGAAGGCTGCTGCACAGATAATGGCAATTTATAAATATAAGGCTCTAGATCAGGGAGAACTAATGCAGGAAGACGAGTGTTGAAGATTCACATCGTAGGATAAGTCTGGTCTGGTTCAAAGGTAACTTGTGGTGTATGCAAACCAAGGTTAAGTGATGCCTCAAGTAATTGTAAAATATCAAGAGGCATCAAAGGGGGGAATGTGGTGGAATCTCGGTAAAAATAAATTTAGTAGGCCGAGATTACCACGTGGCATGTGTACGTGCATATGCTGACGTATCGATCAGTTGGTTGCACGAGGCAAGATACGATCAGTAGTGTATGGAGCATGTGCAAGAATAGTGCAATGGAGGATGTAGTATTCCCCTCCTCCATTGTGCTGGACAAGCCATGCGGTCAAGCAGGAAGTTAATTCTTATTTGTAATGATTGGTCAAGAGAATGTGCGGGTGGAGCTTAATATGGGAGGAGTTATGTGCCTATATAGGGAGCCTGCACTATTGTTCAGGGCTCAGAACTTGCTGTATTTTTGGTGACATTAGTCCCTCTGAGTCCCGATCGGTGATCCAATAAAGAATCTCTTCCTTCCTGAAGAAACCTGTGTCCATCCCTCTGTGCTTTGCTTCCGTCAGTTTCTCCGGTATCAATTTCATTTCAGTTAATCCACACAAGTTTTGCTTCCATATATCCATCTTAAGTTTCCATACTTAAGCAAGAGTATGTGAAGAGTAGTTAGGGTTGCCACCTTTCTTGGAAAAAAATACAGGCCCTACTAATTTGCATAACTATTTATGTATGCGTGACATCACATTGTTATGCTTTCTACGGATTTGGAGTGGAACTCAACTGCATAAATAAAATTAGGAAAACCTTTAGGTTTTTTAGATTAATAATTAGGAAATAAAGATTAGTTCTTCAATAAGGTTTTATTTAGAAGTGATTGTTGGAACAATTCCTATTATTTGAAGAATACAATATGAATATAATTTGATGCGATGAATTCAATGAGAAGGGTTCCTGTAGTCTTAAGGAACACAATATGTAGAAAGTTTGAAGAGTAGAGTTCCTGTAGCTTTAAGGGAACAATATGATAGTTTGAGAAGAAGAGTTCCTGTAGTTTTAAGGAATACAATATAGATATAGTTAGATGAGAAGAGTTCCTGTAGCCTTAATTAACGAGACATGCAGATAAAGTGATATGATGAGTTCCTGTAGCTTTAAGGAATACAATATGAAGATAGTTCAATGAGGATAGTTCCTATTGCTTTAAGGAATACAATGTGAAGAGAATTTGATGAAGTGAGTTCCTTAAGCTTTAAGGAATTAAGGTAGTTTGATGAGATGAGTTCCTGAAGCTTTAAGGAATACAATATGAAGGTAGTAGATGTAGTTCCTGTAGCTTTAAAGAATACAATATGGAGGTAGTAGGTGAGATGAGTTCCTGTAGCTTTAAGGAATGAAGACAGTTTGACGAAATAAAATCCTGCAGCTTAAGGAAAAAATATAGTTTGATGATATGAGTTCCTGCAGCTTTTAAGGAATACAATATGAAGATAGTAGATGAAATGAGTTCATGTATGGAATATAATGATAGCTTTCTGATGAATAGAACTCAGGAGGCACGAAAAGAAATAGAGGTGTGAGTAGTAAGGAATTAATCCAATTTATAACTTGAAGTTACTTGGAGGCTTTACGAAGCCGGAAGGTTCCAAAGGTAATCCGAAGTCAAAGCGTTGGAGAAAGGAGGTCAGCAGTATAAACAGTCCTGGTTTGGTACACGTGTAATTAGTATAACGAGAGATTGCTTGTAGCCGGTCTGAAGATAGGAAGCTTCAAAATAACCAAACATATATTTTTTCCTTAAATCAATGGCTCTATTCCATGGGCCTGGGCCTGGAAGAGCAGCTCCAGCTCCATCAGCCCCTATGTTAATGCGGCCCTGCCGGTCGGGTAAATTGGGGATAATAATATCAGTGGGCAGCATTTTTGAAAATGTTTTTCCTGCAAGCAGAATGTTGCAGATTACATTTTACTTAATTAAGTCCCATAATTATATCTATATATCTGATATAATATGAGAGGTGTTGTTTGTCTGCAGACTAAAGTTTTTTTTTTTTTATTATTAACTAAAGTGAGAATTGTCTGGAATTCTTAATTTTGAATTTAAAGCCAAAATAGCTGGATTAAAAAAAAATATTGCAGTTGGGCTATTTTACTCTAAAATTTGAAGTTCACTTTGAATCCACTTAGAATTCCTTAAGTTATCACTTTAGTATATAACCCTAATAGATTTTACTTTTTTTTTTTAGTTCTTTTTAGTTTTTAATAACTCCAAGCATTAGTCCCCTAGGTCTATCTGGAAAGATAAGTATAGTCTTCTTTATATTGTGTAGCAGTAGAGATGATGTGATTTCTATTTCCAGATGCTGAAAATCATCAAGTAGAAATTGCTTTTTAGGGTTAATTACGGCAGGTTCATTTAGTGTTTTTTTATATCTTTTTGTTCCTGAGTTTTAGTTCTTGATTTTTCCTGTTTATATCTTGCATACATTGATCGTTCACAATATTAAAACCATCTGTGTAATATTGTGTAGGTCCTCCTCATGCTGCCAATGCTGCTGGATTGCAGCATGCACTCCATAAACCCTCTGAACATGTCCTGTGGTATCTGTCATCAATACATTAGCAGCATATCCCTTAGGTCCTGCAGGCTGCGAGGTGAGGCCTCCATGGATTGGATTTATTGTTTCAGCACATCCCACAGATGCTCAATTAGATTGAGATCTGAGGAATTTGGAGGCCAAGGGTTGCCCCCAAATTGAACTCTTTGTCATGCTCCTCAAACCATTCCTGAACGAATTTTCATGTACATTATGCCACTGAAAGAGGCTGTAACGGACCGTTTTGCACACAAGAGGTTAAAAACCGTTTAGGCGATATTCCCCTTTCAGATGCACAGACAGCTACTGCAAGCACCAGTCTCCCGAACTGCAAACTAAACGAATTCTCCAACTCCTGAACAGGAAACTCACGAATACTGGAAACAGCTGAACAGGAAAAGCATACAATCAGCTTACACTCCTAGCAGTCAAACTGGAACAGCATACCATAAATCCTCCCCCAATAATGAGTCGACACTTCACTTTGAGGGTTAAGCAGGAACACTCTGTAATGGCCCCACACTGGCTTTTATGCAAGTCCCATGCAAGGGGACATCCCACAGGGTGGGACACAGTACAACCAATCGTTACAGGGGAACCGTAAAACACACCCACAATTACATCACAATCCCTCCTCTCTGTCCTGGAGATAACTGTGAAGTAATCAAATTATCTCCCAGGACAGAGGCAAGACTCCATTAACCACATGGCAGACAAAGGACAATAAAAGACATAAAATTACATACAGTTACATTTATTTCATAAAACATGGACATTCTACATATCCCCAGATAGCTTAGATCTGAGCACACATTACTACCGAATGGCGCTCAGATCACATACATACAGTTCAATCGCCATGGAGCCAAAGTCTTTCATACAGTCTTTCAGTATACGGCTGGGCTCCATGGCATAGATATCTGGGGTAGCATGGCTTTAACAGTCCGCAGAAAGGCACGAATAAACCTTTCTGCCGGTAAAATAAAAAGTTTAAAATGCAGGACCATAGTCTAAAGGGAGCAGGCGAGCAACCAGGCTTCTCCAGTGTACAGTGGCGAGGTTGGTTTCGCCACAGAGGCCATTGCCATTAGGGAACATTATTGCCATGAAGGAGTGTACATGGTCTGTAACAATCTGTAGCAGAACATTTCCCAGCGCATGAGACTGCCTCTGGTGACCTGCCTTATTCCCACAGCGCATCCTGTTGCCATCGCTTCCCCAGGTAAACAATGCAAACACATCAGGTCATCCACTTGATCTAAAAGAAAAATGTATTCATCAGAACATGCAACTTTCTTCCATTGCTCCATTGTCCAGTTCTGATGCGCATGTCCCCACAGAAGGCACTCTGACCGGTCTGCGGTTTTATAGCCTAATAAGCAGCAAACTCCATGCACTGTATGTTCTGACACTTTTCTATCATGGTAGGCATTACCTTTTTCAGCAATTTGAGCTAGAGTAGCTCTCCTGTGTGATTGGACCAGGTGGGCTAGTTAGACGGGATAACACAACCCTGAAACAATGCAATTGTGATATTTCCAGACTTTCAACAACAAGGGTGTTGCAATACTAACTTCCCTTGTTGTCTGAAATGAAATTAAGCATGGTGGCAGGGACGGAACAAGAAGGCACGCAGGTTACTTTAACCAAAGCAAGTAAATCAATGCAGAATGATCATGTAAAATAATAAGGTCAAACTATATTCAGCAGGATATTAAAAACTATCAGTGACTATCAGTGATGTTCCCAACTCCTTTTCATGGACAAATGGTTTCACATTAGGTATTAAAACAGTCTTAAATATTTAATGTAGACTGTCTTCTTAATTTCTTGTCTATGCTAATTCTTGTAGGACATTTACTGGTTGTTATTTCCATTTTATAATTGTAAAGCTCTTTGGAATATGTTGGTGCAATATACATGCTAATAATATTGATCATTGCTATGATTATAATTTTCATAATAAATGACACTTGAGGAAATTTTTATGGAGATGATGTATATCCCATGCCTGTGTTTTGTATTTTTGGGTCCTTGCTTGCCTCGTGGAGTATGAATTTTACATCAAATATTTTTTTTACCTCCCCTACTTTGTTTTCTTTTCATTTTTACTCATAGGCACCTAGCTATTAGGCATGATTGTTGATGGGCTTATAACCACTTTGTGTTTGTAAATTTAAAGTGTTCTATGGCTGTCTTCATAATTGCTTGAAGGCACCCAGACAACTACATCTGTTCTATTCAGAGAAACTGCTATGTTTAAAATAGGGTTGATCCAGCCTCTAAAGCCTAAATCACAGTGAGAAGATGCCAGCGTCCATAGGAAAGCATTATAAATGCTTTCCTATGAGACAGGCTCCTGCCGTGCATGCGCATTCAGCCGAAGAAGAGGATCGGAGGCGGAGAGGAGGAGGAGAGCTCCCCGCCCGGCGCTGGAAGCACAGCATGTAGGCAAAAGACAGCCAATGGCAGCACTGATCCCTGTCCCCATATCTTTCCCTCAGCCCACACTTCCCGATATCTGTCGCTCTCATGTAAGGGGGAGAAATGTCAGTGCTGGAAGATTGGGCTGCAGAGAAAATTTGGACTAGGCAGTTGGACCGAAGTAAGTTTTCTTTTAGCTATAATCCTGTTTTTTTTAGGGGCTGAGGGAGGGACCAGCAAAGGAAGGTTTACTCTGACCAAAATCAATGTTTTCTTAAAACACTGTGTTTTGGTTGGAGTAACCCGTTAAGCTGCAGAGTTTTAAACATTCAGTTATTTTATCAAGTATAAAAATATTTGGTTTATGTTGATTCCTAGTATATCCATGTTACAATACTGTGAGAGTGAAACAATCTCCAGTAGGTCCGACAACATTAAACACAACTTAAAACCTGTAGAAACTATATGTCCTCTTTGATTTTTAGTGTTCACCAATGTATGCTACTCATTCAGACAGTTATTAGTTTCCTTTCTTTAGGTCCACTTTTCCAAGGTACTTGGTCAGGGCCGGATAAAAAGAACATTGGCTCTGCCGACTCGACAGAAAACACTAAAAAAGTCATACCTCCTAAGCATCATGTACCTTATGGAAGTGGTGCCTTGAGGAAAACTCACATGATGTAGCTATAAGAAAACACATACCCTATGTTAATCTTGCTTTCATCTCTCAAGCAAACCAATACCTAATAACATCAGCATCTGGTGAAGCAGGATGTCGATGGGCGGGGTAAAACGGTGGCCCACTGATGCGAAACACGTAACCAGCACTGCCAAATGGGGTGGACAGACAGAAAGAGGGCAAATAATTGGAAGTTCAGTCTGGTGTGAATGCATAGTAAAAACAAAAGAGGGCATCCCCAATTCCCTTTTTGTTTTTACTATGTGAGTTTGGAGTATAGACCAGATTTATTTTGGGTTGAGGTGCCCCTTTGGAGGTGACTTCAGAAAAGTTCAAGTTTAAGGAGGTTTTGGAAAGTAATGTCCCTTTAATTATAATTTTCATTTGGTATAGAACAGATATACGATATGCATTCTGAGTATATACATAAAAGCACTATCACTTCAATTGTTTAGCTTTGACACTGCATTTTTTTCACATTAATTTTGCATTTTTACAATGCTTTTACAACAGATTAAAAATACACTAGCTTATTTTTTTTAAAATTCTTTATTTGTAGTTGACAGTGTTACATATAACAATTACATAATGTGAGTAGGTGAACACATTATGATTTTTTGTAACTGTATATGTCTTGATGCTTTAACATGTGCTAGTAAACCTACGGCGATATTGTCGCAAAAAGTTTTTGTGTGTTTTTAAGAATAGCATAGTGATAGTGCAGATAAAACTGGGAAGCGTCACTTTAGCTTATTTAGCACTAGCACAATTTAATTTGTCTCCCACGTTGGAATTAGTATAGGAACCACCGATATTGGGGTTCTGTGAAGGTGGCCATATGGTGGAACTGAATCTCTATATTTGTTTGCTGAGATAGGTGATTTTAAGTAGCCTTCATGAATGTATGTCAGGCTGCCTGACAATCATGCAGGCTGGCCAACTAAAGGCGCACTATGGAGACAGCACCCTGAGCTTGACACAAATGTGTCTAAAGATGCACAGGCACTATGCTTTCTTGGGTCTGTCCCCCTAGCACTCACTTGTCCACTCCTCTCTTTATTAGCAGGCAGAAGATCCTGGTATGGAGTCTGGGTCAGAAAAAAGGTGGATGGAGTGAGTGTAGAAGAAAAGGGAAAAGCTACAGTGTTAGAGAGACTGAAGCAGCAAGAGCAAATGCACAGTGAGCAGACAGCTTTCCCTTAACTAATTTCATTGTCAATTTTGTTCCCCTACACCAAAACAACTTTAGCTTAATGAAGCAGTTTTGGTGTACAGATCATGCCTCTGCAATCTCACTGCTCATTTCTCTGCCATTTAAGTGTTAACTCACTTCTTTATACAGCCCTAGTCACACCTCGCTGCCTGTAACTTGCACAGCCTTTCTAAACACTTCCTAAAACATAACAAGGATATTTAAGGTTCCTGTATTGCATAATCTTTTTTTAACACATAATTCATTAATCATTATCTATATACTAAATATAGTCACTTACCTCTGTCCATTTTTTCTCATCTTCTTTTCTGTAGCGCAGTTGGTATGTCTGTTCTACAATGTAAAAACCTGTCTTGCCATTTCTCCACTGTAATTTAACACAGCCAGGAACAGAAGCTGTTGCTTCCTCGATAACTGGAGGGTCTAGCTTGACTGAAATAAAAAAAAAGCAGGCTGAGAAAAAAAAGATACTGACATTTTATAATGCATCATATTTACACAGGGAAGAATTCTAATGAAATTATACTTTTTTTGGCCACAATAGTTGAACTACAAACTTTCTACAATTCAGCTATGTTCTTCAGGAAATACTTGATTAGCACACTGCCTTACACACACTAAAAGGTACATTCCAGGACAGGGTTGAAGCTTTCTTTTTGAATGCATTTTGTAAATAGTGCATTAAAATACAACCCTCCCCCCCCAGCCAGTAAATTAATAGAGAGTAAAAATATTAAATAATTTAAAATCATAGTTGAAATCCCCATCTTTAAAGTGCACTGTATTACCACTCCCAAAGATGAAAGTCATTGACAGCAGTATTTTTGAGCATAAGGGGAAACCTTACAATTTGGGAGTAATGCAGAAATGGTGAGTTTAAAAAGGAAAACAAGGTAGAGCTTGACCGCAATGCGGAGAAGTCGCAGGCACCCAGAGCTCCCACCAAGCGGCCGACTTGAAGCCTCCATCACCCTGACCCAGACAAGTTAAATGGGCCCCACACTCACCCAAGGCACAGAGCCATCAGTGGGAACGGGACAGAGGCACTACAGGCACTCCAGAAGCGCTAGCCGAAGCAGGTCCGACTTGCGGCCTAGCAGTTGATGCAGGGCTAGGGACATGGCCGGTCCTCCAGTCCCGAAGTCCTGCAGATGCAGAACCACTAGTGAGACATGAGGACACAGACACTTGGGGACACTGGGAGATTTGGGGACACAGGGGGACACTGAGACTATGTATCATAGTGTCCCTATGTATCACAGTGTCTCAGTGCCCCATGTCTCCCAGTGTCCCCGTGTCTGTGTCCCCATGTCTCCCAGTGTCCCCATGTCACTAGGGGACAGAGACATGGGGACACTGAAACACTGGGGACACTGGGAGATATGGGCACACAGACACTAGGGACACTGGGAAACATGGGAACACTGAGACACTAGGGACACTGAGAGACATGTGTGTTCCCATGTGTCTGTGTCCCCATGTCTCCCAGTGTCCCCTAGTGTCTCAGTGTTCCCAGGTCTCCCAGTGTCCCAATGTCTCATTGTCCCTATGTCTCATTGTCCCTTTGTGTGTGTGTCCCCAAGTTTCAAAGCGTCCCCAGATGTCTCCCTGTGTCCCCCATGTCTCACAGTATCCCCTAGTGTCTTAGTGTCCCCATGTCTCACTGTTTACCCCATCCCTCACTTCCCTGAGCTGTAGGCTGTCTCTGCAGGCTGGGAGCTCCTGTCTGGACTCTCTGTGCTGTGTTACTTCTCCGCCGTGGATCAGTGAGTAGAGAGATGCAGGTATACGCTGTAACTTCCTATCCCTGCCTCTCTCCCTGCAGAGTAATCTCTGATTATACTGAAAAAAATACCAGCATTTGTATTGCTGGTATTACTGCAATATCGGCACCGGCCGTGCAGCCTCATATAAATACCGGCCAAGTGGTAACCCTAAGAGTACTGTGTAAAAAATAAAATAAAATAAAAAAACGTAAAAATCTATTTAAATCAATGGACCTATTCCATGGGCATGGGCCTGGAGCTGCAACTCCATCAGCCCCTATGTTAATCCACCCTGGCAGGGAGGTAAGGCTCTAAGGAAAACCTAAAGTACATATCAAAGCATAATAAACTTAAAACCTGAAGGTAAACCTAAAATACATATCAAAGCATAATAAACCATAGGCCAGTTACTTGACATAGAACAGAAAAGTATTCCTTTTATAAGTAAAGTGCATGTATCATTTAAATAACAATTCATACAGTAGAAATAAACAAACTTTCCATTCATATATTATATGGCATAGCACAACATCATGTTTAACACATTGTATACATTGTCACTATCACAGTGTGTGTTTCTGTGCTTTATCAGCAGGTCACTAATCTGCAAGTGGTTGGAATCTTTGCAAGAAGGTGTTATTGGTGGCCAGTCTGTAAAAATAGCTAGCTGCTGTAGTTAAACTTACAACCTATGGTACTAGAGATGTTGTTTAATCAGCATTTCCACACTAACTAGCTCTTAAAACACAAATTAGAGTTTGGTTACTGATTCAGCATCATGAGGCTAAAAGGACAGCAAACAAACAGTTGCTACCACATCACTTTTTCACAAAATTGCAAAGAATTAGGATGAGATGTTTTTTCACCTTATGGACAGGTCAAATAAATTTGGAGATATAAAAAATAGTTTTCTTTTGAATTTATTTTTTTGAATGGAAAGTTAAAGTTGCTCTATCACCAAAAATACATTTTATCTAATTACTTTCTATAAAGCTCCCTTTGTCTGAATCTCTTTTTATTTATTTCCTGAGCATTCTAGTTTTCATTAAAACATAACAACTACTTTTCTTCATGTATAGCAGTCAGATTGACAAAACTTGACAATGGGCAGAGCTTAAAGCCTGGATCGGTTTCAGTTGCCAATCAAATTTACACACACTCAGTGTCTATCAAAAGACTAACAGTGTAAGTAGTATCTATCAACATTTGCCTTGGGTGGCACTTTCCAGGGGGGCGGAAAAAAACGCCACCCCCAAAAGCTTGCACAGACACCGCTGTGACCAGGCCACCTGTGTTCCGACTGTCATGGGGGTTTCAAGAGCTGGCCTGATTGCCAATTTAGGGCACCCTGAGGTGGGTGGCTGTGTGTAATGTAGACAGGTGGTGAGGGTATGCTGATTTCTTGAGGAAGTTCAGTGAGGAAGTGCTCTTTTTGTTCTGCTCTATTGCGTGCCCTGCAGTGATGACAGGAGGTGGAATGTGGTGTCACTATGGCCCTTGCATTACTAAACAGCACTTGAGGAAGCAGAGCAAGAAGATGACAGTCACAGCAGCCACACTAGACTCAAGAGAAAGGATCCACGCCATCTCTCCCAAAGGCAGTTTTAAAGATTTCCAAACAATGATTTGTATTGACTATATATATATATATATATATATATATATATATAAAATTTTATCTCATATCCCCTCTAAAGGTGCCATTTTACTAAAACAAACTGATTTAAATGTGTTAGCCTTTCTTCATAACTACAATTTACCATTATCCTTATTAATTTTGCAGCCAGCCTCTGCACTTTTTCTCTAGTGCCATAATATACTTCTTTAGGTGGTCTTACCTTTTAGTTACAAATGAGCAACATTATATTTTCATCCCGAGAATTAATGCCCCATTTTTTACAGGTCATTAGCTGAATGGGCTTATATTAAACACTGTTTAATATACTTTGGAAATTACGCACATATGAGAACCTACCTTCATGTCCAGGCACTAAGCAGATAGTAGAGGTCGCTGATCCCAGTGCATTTTTCACAGTAACACTCACTGCAAGTTTCTTGTAGAGGTTAAACTGTTTACGGGGGATAAGAGCTGACGTTTTGTACTCTTTGGGAATTATATTTTCTTTCACTTCAGGAGAAGCTTCACACTTTGATGTGGCCCTGTTATATAGAAGGAGAGCCTGTTATAATTATAATTGCAATGCTATTTTTTGTTTGGGTTTTCCATTTTTGTAAACTTTTTTTTGAGAACTTTTGCTCAACAAAGGCGTTGAGCTATTTTAATGGTAAAGCTAGTCAAAAAGTCCATAGCCATGCCATTTTTTAGGGGAGCTACCCTTGTGTTATACCGTGACTTCTAACAATATTAAAGAGATCAGGATCCAGACCCTCTATCAGCAGGATCACTGGATAAAGCGGACCACAGGATACAGAAGCTGACTATCCATTGGAGGTCTCATAGATCTCTTTATGAGCCTTTTCAGTCACATCTTTGGTTTTCCACTTGTGAGTCCAATATGTAACGTTTATGTATGGTTTTACACTATGTTGTTTTAAGTGATTAAAGATTGAATATTTGCAACTACACGTCTCACAACTAATGTGGATTACAAGTTAAAAAAGATGCATTAAAAACAAAAAATGGTTGTCTATCTGATTAGGGACAGTTATATGGCAAGCATTATTAAGTACTGGTTTTGAGAGTTATTCACATGTAGAACTTTGTGATTGGCCAGTGAATGTTAGTTATAAAGAGAGAATGCCATGTAACCACCACTAGTTCTAAGGACAGCACTGAGTTTAATACCATCTATAACTGTTCCTACAACTCTGCTAATAGTACTGGACTCAGAGGACACTTTCCAAGGCTTATGATACTTGTCTCTCCCCACCAGCCCATCTAAGCTCCAAAAAGGCATATTTTAAGAGCTGAAAACAGGGGAACCCTACAGGACATCTGCCTGTGCACAGGTGCCTACTCTACCTAAATCTGGTTCTGCCTTGCTTCAACAAAACATTCCATTTATGAACACATCACCTATTTCAACAGATCTTAATTTCAACTTCCTCTTCATAGATTGTTCAATGACTTTGCTTAACACATCCAGCCACAGGGCCACCTTTCATAATATGCTAAACCAAGTGTACATTAGTAATAGGGCAAAAGGGGTAGTTATTTAAAAAGCCACTCTGGAATTCAATTGCCACTACCGAAGGCTGACAATTTAGACAATGTTTACGCACATTGAAAACCTTTTTTGCAGTGATTTTGTTGTCTTTTTGAAAGGCAATGAATTTTGAAAGGCAATGATGATTTGGGTTTGCTGCCTTTTCTAGATATTTAAATCATAGTACAAACTGTATATGTCATATAGTCTTTACCAATACCAGAAAAATGGACCCGTCATACTAAAATTACTTACATTATCCACTAAATCGAATTAGAACCTGATAATATTTAGATTTTCAATGTTTTTTGTTTCTTTTCAGCCGCTGCAAAAGATCATTTTTGTGCAAGTATGCAAGGGTTTCTGCAAATCTCACAAAAAAACTGGTGTCAAAACATAATAGCTGCAAATTGCTATCTTGTGACATTAAAACTGCCACTAGCCTCCACACACCTTCTGGTGAAAAAGTGCTTTTACCAAAAGATACTGGCAATACATTCGCTAAATACTATGAATCACTCTATAATATACAGAGAAACCCACATACTGTACAGCCAACTCTATCACTAAATATTGATGAGACATAAAATTGCCTAGCTTAACACAAACCCAGAAAGATATCCTTTAAAGGTCCAATCACACCCAAGGAAGTAGCATACGCCATAGCCACTTTACCAGCCAACAAGGCACCCGGCCCTGACGGCTTTACTAACCTATATTACAAAATGTTTTCTCAGACCTTCGCACCAGTTTTAGCCCAAACATTCGATCATGCTTCCCTCTCTGCTACCTTACCACAGGAGCTACTGTTTGCGCATATAGTAACACTCCCAAAGCCAGGGAAACCCCCAACGACATGCCAAAACATCCGCTCCACATCATTACTGAACACAGACACCAAATTATATGCTAAAATCCAAGCGTGGAGACTTAATATGATTCTCCCATCACTGGTCCATGGAGACCAAGTGTGATTCCCCTAGGGGAGGCAGGGGTGGGATAACACCCGCAAAGTTACTGACCTTATTCACAGCATCAAAAACTTAATAGCAGGGACCTTTTGGTCTTCACAGATGCGTCAAAAGGCTTTTGACTGCCTCAGTTGGCCATTACTAGATGCTGTACAAAATTCCAATTCCCAATACCCTTCATAAACGCTGTACATACGGTATATTCTAGACCCAAACTCCCCCATATGCTAAAAACCAACACTCCTACTGTTTCGAACCTGGGACTTAACAATGTGCAAATTAACTACATGCCACCCCATATTCCTGGCAAGACCAATGAATACTATGGCCTACCTAATTCCCACATTTCAACATAAGACATGGAAGGACTCATTTACATCACATCTACAAAGGGAACCCAACTACTATCTTTTGATGACATACGTACCCAATTTGATCTGCCTAATAGGGCACTATTTTCCTATCTACAGCTGAAATCTTACATGACAAAGATAGGGATGACACATTGGACCCAAGTGATCCAAGATGCTCTGTCATCATTTGAGCAAACATGCTTGAAACTCAAATCCTTGAGAGAGATGATCTCCCTCCGCTATCTATTCATTATTAAATAAAGAACAGAAATCCCCACTAATCATGGATTCATGGACAAGGGACCTGGGTTACAACTTAGGGAGAAAAAGATGGGACACGGCTTTGTTGATATATAAAGGCTTGTCATCCTGCATGAACCAACTAGATTATGGTGAGGAACAATGTAGACACTGTTGTGCATGTATTGTTACCCTGAAATTCACTAACTGCATCTACTATAAAATGTGCCTGGAACCTCCTATGTATGATATTGCTTCCTCATGTACATGCAATAAAAATTGTCAAATTGGAAAAAAACAAACGACTGACAATGGCCTGGGCCCCTGGGAAAAAATAGCACCTGGGCCCCCAGCAGACCAATATATATATATATGCTGGTGTAGGGTACTGTGTATTTGATTGTATGTACATGTAAAGTGAATGTATGTTTTTGTGTGTATATTCACTGTAAGCCCCCCTGAATACATGTTTTTGGTTTTGTAAATAGGGTTGTATTTGTTTTATGTGTGTTTGTGTACCATGGCAACATAAGGGGGTATTTGTGAATTTTGGCAATGTGTTTGTATGAGGTTTGCAGGCCTCCAAATTTTGCATCTTAAATTACAAACCAAGTGTTAAATGTTATGAGCCACCTTAAAAGAACACTATAGTGTCAGGAATACAAACGTGTATTCCTGAAACTATAGGTTTATTGGCAACCGTTAAAAAAGGTGTTTTACTCCCCTTTATTCCAGCGCCGTCCAAACTTGTGGCTGCGCTGCCCCTGCTCCACCTCCTTGGCAGAGTTCATAAATTTAGATGATCTCAGCTTTACCATAGGAATGCACTGGAAGGCGATTGTGCATGCGCGGCAAGACTCTACACTGCAACAATCATCATCTCCTCATAGAGACTGCAAGGGGGTAGTGGCTGCAGGGGTTAGTGGGTGCAGGGGGTAGGGACTGCAGAGGGAGCAGGGGTAGAGGCTGCAGAGGAGCAGGGGTTAGGGGCTGCATGGGAGAGCATGGGGTAGGGGCTGCAGGGGGTAGGGGCTGTAGGGGAGAGCAAGGTGTAGGGGCTACAGAGATAGGAGTTGCAGGGGGTAGGGACTGCAGGGGAGAGCAGGGGGTAGGAGCTGCAAGAGAGAGCAGGGGGTAGAAGCTGCAATAGAGCAATGGGTAGGAGCTGCAGAGGGTGTAGTGGGTGCAGAGGGAGCAGGGGGGTTGGGGCTGCAGGGGTAGAGACTGCAGGGGAGAGCAGGGGTTAGGGCGCAGGGAGAACAGGGGTAGGAGCTGCAGGGGTAGAAGCTGCAAGAGAGAGCAGGGGGTAGGAGCTGCAAGAGAGTAGGGGGGGGGCTGCAGAGGGAGGAGGGCTAGGGGCTGCAGGCAGATAGCAGCAGGGGGCTGCAGAGGGTGTAGTGGGTGCAGAGGGAGCAGGGGGGGCTGCAGAGGGAGCAAGGTAGAGGCTGCAGGGGAGAGCATGGGGTCAGGGCTGCAGGGAGTATATAGGATAGGGGCTGCAGGAGAGAGCAGGGGGTAGGGGCTGCAGGGGAGAACAGGGGGTAGGGGCTGCAGGGGGTGTAGTGGGTGTAGAGGGAGCAGGGGCTAGAGGCTGCAGGGGAGAGCAGGGGGTAAGGGCTACAATGGGTGTAGTGGGTGCAGAGGGAGATGAGGGTAGAGGCTTCAGGGGAGCAGGGGGTAGAGAGCTGCAGGGGAGAGCAGGGGTAGGGGCTGCAGGGAGTGTAGTGGGTGCAGAGCGAGCAGAGCGAGGGTAGGAGCTGCAGGGGAGAGTGGGGGTAGGGGCTGCAGAGGGTGTAGGGGCTGCAGAGGGAGCAGGGGGTAGAGACTGAAGGGGAGAATAGGGGATATGGGCTTTATGGTCTCCTGCTATCTCTGGGGTATGGGCTGAAGGGGGTAGGGGCTGCAGGGGAGAGCAGGGGGTAGGGGGTGTAAGGTCTGTAAAGGGTGCCTTGGGATGATAGGAGTTGTAGTTAGTGTAAATGTATAGGGGGTTTGGGGCTATAAAGACTGTGAAGGGGCAGTAGTGGGGGCTGCAGGGGACAATAGGGGGTAGGGGCTGCAGAGGGTGAAGGGCTGTAGAGGGTGGCTTGGGATGATAGGAGTTGTAGTTAGTGTAAATGTATAGGGGGTATAAGGGCAGTGATGGGGGCGGTAGTGGGGGAGATTATAAAATTAAAATTAAATCTTACCTCCCTGGTGGTCCAGAAATCCTCTCCTGAAAAGTCCCTCACCACTCCAGGGCACAGGATCATGACATGCTACCTGATTAAGGCAGCTCCGCACTGTGACTGATGATGTCACTTCCTGAGAACAACCCTTACGGAACTGCCCTGATCAGTGTTACAGGCAGCCCAGTGAGATAGGCACACTGCAGGGCAGCCTAGGAGGGTATATGAGAAGGCTCCTTAGCTGTCCTTCAGTGTGCCCTGCATGGGGGAAAATATTTTTTGCAGCAGGGGCCCACGGAGAGCTGTGCGGGCCCCTTATTGAGTGCAGGCTGGCTGGGGAGATAGTTTAACTCCCCAGCTCAGCCATTACTGCACTTCACCTCGGACGGGCCCCCCAGAGCCTCTGGCCCTCTGTACATGACTGATTTGCCCGAGTGCTCAGTCCTCCCCTGGCCCTGAGACCACAAATGATAATAAATAGTCTCCATGCTTAAATTGGTTGTTAGGAACTCTGGACTCCCTTGAACCCCACATATGGAGATTTAGCCGCTAAGGCCAATCCCTAAAAACACTTGTGTTCTACATACTTCATGTAATTATTTTCTTATTATTTTAAGTATACCAAAAGTAATTATTTTCTATGAACTGATAGCATGAAGTTTGCAATCTTGAACAGAAGTAAGAATTTTATTTACTTAACTTATTCACCTTTACTACTTACTTGATACTTGAGAGAGTGACATTAGTCTGAATGAGAGGGTCTTTCCCGAGCTCCCATGTACAATTCAATTTGTCATCAAAGAGATTCATCAGACAGGAGAGGTTGGTGGGAGGAGAAGGTGGGTCTAGAAAGTGAAGAGAAAGATTTGCGACACAGTACAAGGACATATTTACATTGTGTGCTAAATAACATCATTTTCTAAAAGGTGATTTCTATACAATACTAAGAGTTTACAAAAAAATTCGATCAGATACAATATCAGAACACAATTTCCTTTAGAGGGACACTATAGGCACTCAGACCACTTAAGTTCATTGAAGTGGTCTGGGTGCTATGTCCCTGTCAAATTCTGCATTGTAAAACATTGCAGTTTTTGAGAAATTGCAATGTTTACATTGCAGCACTGAGACAGCCTACCAGACAGCCACTAGAGGGTCTTCCAAGATTTTACCAGACTTTTGGTCACCTAACTGGCACTGGATGTCCTCACACTCTGCATGAGGACATCCAGCATCAGTGAAAACACTGATGTGAGGCGCTCACCTCGCATTCGCAATACCCCCTAATTGGTTGACATCAGAGGAGGTGGAACCACAACCCAGTGCTGAGGGACCCTTTAACCCATTACTGGCCAGTGTGTTTGGCCACATGGAGAGGGGGACCAGAGGGCTCTATAGTGTTAGGAATACCGATTTGTATTCCTTATGCTATAGATTCCCTTTAAGTCAAAGTGGAAATTAAACCATTAAATGTGGCTAATATTAAAGTCTTTATATATCTAGTAAGGAGAAGTAAATTTTTAAATACATATTTTCCTGTACTAAAGAGCATATTCTGATATTTACTTATGGTTCAAATGTTTCCCCATGATCAAATTACAAGAATAACACCCATCCCTACATATCATACTGCTCTTGATGGGTCCTTAACCTTAACCAGTGAATTAACATTAAATGGCATCATGACAAAACTCCTATTTTTGCTCTCTTTTGCTGTGCTCATACCCCATCCGGGAAACTGGTATAAACTTTGTCTCTAACTTTGTCCCTCCCATTCGGTATTAAAAAGTACCGAACATGACCACCCTTGGCTCATTAAATACAAAGTGACCCCAAGAATTAAGTGCTCTTTCCAGTGGCCACTGTTCGTACAACCGAGAAAACGGCAGTCATCTTGTCGCACAAAAACAGTCAGCAGGACTTGGTTGTCGAGTGTCTGGAACTCCGAGATGGAACACCGGTAAAACTTTACAAATGCCTGCTTCAATTCATGCGCACACCAGGAGAGCACTGTTCGGTACGTTTGTTTGCATGGACCTCGCGAACAAATGCTACCAATGAGCCAGGGGAACAGTATCCCTTTTCGTGCATTTTGGAGCTCCAAGAATTCCAAGTCCTTGAGCTGACTGATGGCAAGTTTCCCACATTAAAATGACATTATAGGCACCCAGACCACTTCATCTCCTTGAAGTAGCCTGCGTGCAGTGCCCCTGTCATATTTAAAACATGTGAAACATTGAAATTATAGAGAAACTGCAATGATGACATTACTAAGACTGCCTCTAGTGACTGTGAATCAGACAGCCACTAGAGGCACTTCATAATTTCTAGACAAATTTGGGATTCAGGTAAGCGACTGTTTTAAGCCCTTCAGCTCTGTGGGAGGGGAGGGGGCCCGAGGGCGGGGGGCACTGTAGGAACCTATAGTGCCAGGAGAACGGGTTTGTTTTCCTGGCACTATAGTATCCCTTTAAGTACATACCCTCCAATATTCTAATTTATAATGTAACCTAATGATAGTAACTAAAATGTGATCATAATACTCACAGCCAGCTTTAACATCTTTTCTGTCAATGAGTTGCATTCGCTTGCTGGCTCCAATAATATAGCAAGAAAGCAGTGCTGATGATTTGTTGAAGTTGTCAAGAGTTACTGTGGTTGTATTTTTGAAGGGATGCATGTACTGCGAGCTTGGGATGAAATCATTGTCTAGCTTCCATTTAAATTGGAACTCATCTTCCTCTAAACCACGACACAGTGTCCTGCTCACGGTGCAGGTTGCAGTGAGACGGGATCCAAAGATTAATGGAGAATTTACAGTAATAGAGTCGCAAGATTGGCTACCTATAAAACAAGTGATAAAAAGTAAAAAAGAAATATAGTTTCAGCTATAGATATTGATACAATATGCAAGTTATTGAACAATAATGAATTAATGTTTTCAGATTAGTATACTGAATCCAGATTAGTATAATGTATACACCATACTCATATGGAAGAAAATAACTGCATACATATATTGCACAACTTGAAAAACAAAACATTCTAATGGGAGAAAAATAAACATACAATAAGGCCATTAAGAGCATAAAATGCCACCAAGTGATGTAATCCAAGAAAATTATTTAAGATGATGGGGATAATGATGACAGGACGTGATTGAGTGAAGACGATCAAAAACCACAGGTAAGGAGGACATTTTTAGAAATAAAGCCATATAGTTTGCATCTTCCCAATTCATGGGAGAATTCTTAAAACAATCATACACAAATGTTAAGAGGAAATGTATGTTTGGACCCAGTACATCCTGGGATATTTTATATATTGATCCAAGTTAGTGGTATTTATACTATAGTAACTCACTGTTCAATTCTCTGCCATTTAGGAGTTAAATCACTTTGTTTGTACAGCTCTAGTCACACCTCCCTGAATGTGACTTGCACAGTCTTCCTAAAAACAGATCTAATGTTTAAAGGAATACTATAGTGTTTTTACTCTTACTTTATAGTGTTTTTACCCTTACTGTACTCAAATGATTCCAGCGCCAATCTCTCTAGGCACTCACACACATTCCTATGGTAATTTTACTGACACTGGATGTCCTCATGCAGGGAGTGAGGGCGTCCAGCTTCAGTTAGGCGACCAAATGTTGCCTAGCAAGCAGTAAGTGACTCTAATAATTAACATGCAGTGTTAAGGGGACAGGAACATTGCATGGGATGAAGTAGTCTGGGTGCCTACAGTGCCCCTTTAAATTGTATTTTTTATTGCACATTCTGTTTAATTTATGATTTCTTAGTTCCTGCTTTGTTAGACCCTGCAGCTTACTGTGTGTGATTAAAGTTAAATTTACAGAGCAGGAGATAAAAACCTCTAAAGCAAGTTAACATCAGATTGAAAACAAAACATTTTTCATGCAGGCTTTGTGAGTCACATCCGGGAAGGTGAGTGAGGGGGGGATTTAACTGCTAAATGGAAGAGAATTGAGCAATGAGACTGCAGGGTCATAATGCATACACTAAAACGGCTTCATTACGCTAAGATATTTAAGATGTTTTTGTGCCTGTAGTGTTCCTTTAATTAATCATCCTTAGAAGGATGAAATGATGAGACAACTATTCCACAAATAAAATGATTATGGCATCATGTAAATGGAACTCTATACAATGAGCCATTTCACCACGCACAGTTTTAACTTTTTAACTCTGTTTTAACTGACTAGACTAGCAACAAGCAGGGACAGTGAGGTTTTCCAATTATGGGTGTATATAACAAAAGTGAGTAGACCCTAAGTGGAAATGTCCAAACTGGGCACAATTAGCCATTATCCCTCCCCAGTGTCATGTGACTCGTTAGTTTTACAAGGTCTCGGGTGTAAATGGGGAGCAGGCGTATTAAATTTGGAGTTATCGCTCTCACACTCTCTCATACTGGTCACTGGAAGTTCAACATGGCACCTCATGGCAAAGAACTCTGAGGATCTGAAAAAAAGAATTGTTGCTCTACATAAAGATGGCCTAGGCTATAAGAAGATTGCCAAGACCCTGAAACTGAGCTGCAGCACGGTGGGCAAGACCATACAGCAGTTTCACAGGACAGGTTCCACTCAGAACGGGCCTCGCCATGGTCGATCAAAGAAGTTGAGTGCATATGCTCAGCGTCATATCAAGAGGTGTCTTTGGGAAATAGACGTATGAGTGCTGCCAGCAGAGGTTGAAGGGGTGGGGGTCAGCCTGTGCTCAGACCATACGCCACACACTGCATCAAATTGATCTGCGTGGCTGTCATCCCAGAAGGAAGCCTCTTCTAAAGATGATGCACAAGAAAGCCCGCAAACAGTTTGCTAAAGACAAGCAGACTGAGGATGTGGATTACTGGAACCATGTCCTGTGGTCCGATGAGACCAAGAGCAACTTATTTGGTTCAGATGGTGTCAAGAGTGTGTGGTGGCAACCAGGTGAGGAGCACAAAGACAAGTGTGTCTTGCCTACAGTCACGCATGGTGATGGGAGTGTCATGGTCTTGGCCTGAATGAGTGCTGCCGGCACTGGGGAGCTACAGTTCATTGAAGGAACCATGAATGCCAACATGTACTGTGACATACTGATGATCCCCTCCCTTTGGAGACTGGGCCGCAGGGCAGTATTCCAACATAACAACCCCAAACACACCTCCAAAATGACCACTGCCTTGCTAAAGGTGATGGAGGTCTGGCCAAGCATGTCTCTAGACCTAAACCCTATTGAGTATCTGTGGGCTTTTCTCAAATGGAAGGAGGGGGAACGCAAGGTCTCTAACATCTACCTCCATGATGTCATCATGGAGGAGTGGAAGAGGACTCCAGTGTCAACCTGTGAAGCTCTGGAGAACTGCATGGTCCATGAGGGCAGTGCTGGAAAATAATGGTGGCCACACAAAATATTGACACTTTGGGCCCAGTTAGGCCATTTCCACTTAGGGGTGTACTCACTTTTGTTGACAACGGTTTAGACATTAGTGGCTGTGTTTTGAGTTATTTTGAGGGGACAGCAAATTTACACTGATCTACAGGCTGTACATTTACTACTTTACTTTGTAGCAGAGTGTAATTTCTTCAGTGTTGTCACATGAAAAGATATAATAAAATATTTTCAAAAAGGTGAGGGGTGTACTCACTTTTGTGAGATACTGTATATAATTTAAACAATTGAATGTTGTGGCAAAATGTCACTCCCCCTCTGTTATCATGCATGCACTATTAAAATTCCAAAATAAATTGCATTTTTTAAAATTTGGGGGTGGTTGCACCTTTTTGTGGTGGGTACAGCAGGCAGTTTCTCTTGCCTTCTGTATAGCGTTATTTGGGTCATAAATCAGGTCCTACCTGTTAATTATTTTATATTTTCAAAAATCACTTTCCACCTCTTTCAATATACCATTTCACTAAAACCAATTCTCTATTATTCCTCCAATATTTAAACATGAGCAATCACATTATTTCCTGCTGAATCCCCATATCCCTTGAACTCTGTCTGTAACATCTTCTTTAACTTACCTCCAGGTAGGAAGATGAGAAGCATCATCCCTACCAGCATGATGCACCAATTTTTCCTCATTTCTGCTGTATTCCTACCCCATCACCTACTAGAGACACAAATAACAATTAGCCACATCATAGCAAAAATATACGCATGTTAATAATATAAAATATTCAATTACTCTAGCTTGTCAGCAGTATATTGGTTTGTTCAAATTAAAAACTATATGTAAAAATAAATGTATAGATGGATGGAGTACTTTCATGTTTTTGATTCCTTCACAGATTGTCTTTATAGTATGTATTATAGTTTTTTCACCAGTGCTGGAATTAATAACGTGGGTTAAAGGTACACTCCAATCACCAAAATCACTACACCTTAATTTAGTGGTTTAGGTGCAAAGATCCTGACCCTGCATTCTTACACATGTAAGCATTTCCATTTGTGAGTGGTATCACTAGTAACGTCTCTAGTGGTTCCAATCAAACAACCACTACAGGCACTTCATCATGAAGACATTCAGTTATTGAAAGTGACCACATTTTCACAGAAAATCATGGAACACTGGGAATGATTCTCACACAGAAGCACTGGCTTCAATGCTTCTCTATTAGAAGCAACCACACATGGCTGACCATGGCGACCGCCACACATGCACCATAGGGCCCTTATGCTGCAGATAGAAAAGCATTGGATTGGACTAGAAGTCATCTGTAATGATGATGTCAGAAGAAGAGGAGCAACTGCCCTGCAAGACTGGAAAACCGTCAGATGTAAAGTGAGATTATTTTATGTGTTTTACTTTTAACTGGGGGCTAAAAATCTTAGAACACATACTGTATTATATTCTCTATGGTGATCAGCCCCTCCACACCCATTTCCACCCACATACAGATAATACACAGATATTACTGGAAGCATCACTGCAGCATTAAGAACAAATTAAGAACAAGACTAAAAAATAGCAATGACTGCATGACCAATAGTTAGGATAATGGAATGGAACCAAAACCTCACCCATCAAGCATCACTTCCCAAAAAAGCAACACACCCACCATCCACAAAACAGGATCTCTTCATTATCTCATATCTTATTTTAAGAATTAAAAAATGCAACTAATCATAGAAAGGAGCCCTTGCAACGATTCCAATGTAAAAAAAATAACAAAAAGCCTGCATTTAATAAAAATTAAGCATACATTTTCTTATTTTAATTTATGAATGTAAACACAATTATAAAGCACTTTGTTTTGAATACAAACCTTCAGGTCTGTATCAAAAACAAAGCACCCAAAATGTAACTCTTGCTTCAGAAATTTGCTTAACTATTGCATAATGAATTGGATGACCACACACATAGAAACATAGAATGTGACGGCAGATAAGAACCATTCGGCCCATCTAGTCTGCCCAATTTTCTAAATACTTTCATTAGTCCCTGGCCTAATCTTATAGTTAGGATAGCCTTATGCCTATCCCACGCATGCTTAAACTCTTTTACTGTGTTAACCTCTACCACTTCAGCTGGAAGGCTATTCCACGCACCCACTACCCTCTCAGTAAAGTAATACTTCCTGATTATTTTTAAACCTTTGTCCCTCTAATTTAAGACCACGTCACACCAAGCAAAGTGATCACGTACCATGCATTCCTTTTTCTATGAGACAAATACATCTACACTCAACCCATATACACGTACACCCAAAAAAGAAAATCCGTACTATGTCTTGGTACATGCTACAACTACACTTTTCCTTCGCTTCTTACATAGAAAGTGATTGTGAATGACATGCTTGCCCCTACATATTTAAGATTTCTATAGTAAGTTCATGGACTATATGTCTCTACTGTTGTACCCATGATTTTGTTACATACTTTGTTCTCTGATGACTAAACACTGTGAAAGCTGATAGAATGTCCTTTACTTTTTCCATATTATTGTTCCATTACGTCTGAAAAATGCTAAATAAAGATTGTAAAAAAAAAAAAGTTTCTGCATTTGGATATAAACTTGAGCAGTAACAGTCCTAAGCTAAACAATATTTTCTGATATTAGACTACTTTACTATTAGTTATCTTTTATTTTTTGTATGTCAGCTTATTTTCTTATTACTTGTATCATGTATATGTTACCATATGTACTGTATCCACTAATTGTGAATTGTGTATTTCTCGTATGATTCTGCTATTCACATTCACATGTCCTTTGTAAATTATTATTAAAACTAAATAAATTAATAAAAAAATTGATATAATAATATTTAAAAAAAAAAAAATTATACGCACACTATATCTATTTTTTTACTCTCTCTCTCTCTCTCTCTATATATATATATATATATATATATATATATACACACACACACATACACACACACACACACACACAATTAAATTGTAAAACAATGATGTTTGGAAAGATAATTGTAAAATAAAAACCAAATTCAGAGCACCCAAGTCTTGCACTAAAAAAAAAATACATGTAAAACATTGACATTTTACGTGAGTTCTTTAGGTTATGCATGGGATTGCATCTTTTTTGTTATGGTCTCTTTTTATATCAAAAGTGACTTACCATATTATAGGCTGTGGTGCATTGTCACATAGTAGAAAATCTCAAAATGTTTTTTTCTTATTGCAGAAACGTAGAAATCCTTTGATATGCATTGCTAGTTTAAAGGACATGACAATAGCTTATAAAATTTTACATGAACGTATAACTGAACTAAGATGTAACACGTCATTTACATTGCTTGTAATAAAATACACCTGCGTCAGAGATCAAAATTACACAGGGAAAGTTTGTAAATAACCCCACATGTGTTTAAAGTTCAGGATATCTCCCACTTGGTGCAAGACAATGGGAACATTACTAACAAAGATACCGAACACTTGTTTGACTCTCATCCAGATCCGTACATGAAAGAACATAACTGTGAAATAATGTAAAACAATATCTAAATCAAACAAGAATCTACTAACTGAAGGATTATTGTTACATAGTAATGTTGGTTGAAAAAAAAAACACACGTCTTTGAATATCTACATAATAATCTCAGTCAAATGTGTTTTTTTGTTTTTTCATTTTTATTGTGCAACAAAGTGTAGGTTTTGAATTGTCTACTGCACCTTTCTCCTACAATTGTTGTTAGGGGTTTGTGTGTCTCAGTATTATGAGTATAGTTTGTACTTCATTCTTTAAAGGAACACTATAGTCACCTAAATTACTTTAGTTAAATAAAGCAGTTTTAGTGTATAGATCATTCCCCTGCAATTCCACTGCTCAATTCACTGTCATTTAGGAGTTAAATCACTTTGTTTCTGTTTATGCTGCCCTAGCCACACCTCCCCTGGTTATGATTGACAGAGCCAGCATGAAAAAAAAAAACTGGTTTCACGTCCAAACAGATGTAATTTACCTTAAATAATTGCATCTCAATCTCTAAATTGAACTTTAATCACATACAGGAGGCTCTTGCAGGGTCTAGCAAGCTATTAACATAGCAGGGGATAAGAAAATTTTAATTAAACAGAACTTGTAATAAAGAAAGCCTAAATAGGGCTCTCTTCACAGGAAGTGTTTATGGAAGGCTGTGCAAGTCACATGCAGGGAGGTGTGACTAGGGTTCATAAACAAAGGAATTTAACTCCTAAATGGCAGAGGATTGAGCAGTGAGGCTGAAGGGGCATGTTCTATACATCAAAACTGTTTCATTAAGCTAAAGTTGTTCAGGTGACTATAGTGTCCCTTTAACTGCTGTCAGCATCACTATCAACAGGTACCACTGTTCTGGGGTTCTGTGTAATAACATTTCAGAGGCTTTAAGACAAAGGCACATGGCAAACAAAAATTAATAAGTAAGCAATTTACAAAGCTCTGCATTTGGCGTTAGCAAAACAATTTGTCAGTGTACCCCTGTGCTAATTATTTTATATTCTAGAAAAAGCACTTGATGGTGTAGTAATGCTGGGGTTAACAAGCATTGTTTCTCGTTGAATAGAATGATCTGGGGAGCAAAATATATTAATCTTCTATTATTTAGTATTTTTAAATGTAGCTATAATTAGCCTTGACAGAGTACCATATCCATCCAATACTATTTGAAATGGTATTATAGAATCATGTGTAAATCTAAATAAAATTAAAAAAAATGTAGGCATAATAAAAATATATTTAATTCCATATGGCAACAGTTCTCTTGTGGGATGAACCTATTTCACCATATTTATAAATAATAAAAAGGCCTTTGTGACACTGTACAAACTACAAGGCTATGCTCTAACATGTGAATTGCAAGGATTTCAAGGTGAAGTTAATTTAAGTGAAGAGAATTTCAAACGATTACATTAGATGTCATTAGAAAAAATAATTTTCACTTAGAGTTTGACTGTTTTACCCTTAAAGGCATATGCCACTGTCCAAATATAAAACATATATAAAATCACTGTTAGTACATATACTCCCAATTGAAAAATGCATGCAATTATAATACATTTTTTTTATTGGAGGTATTTCAAAAACTATAGTTTTCTCATCTGCTGCCTTTGAAAGCCCTCCCCTTCTTCCCCCACACAGACCTTTTTGTGGCTGTCCAATCACAGATATTCCAAAGCAGCTCAATGATATGTCTTTGCAAGGCAGTAGCTCTGGGTAATTGCAGCTTCTTGAGTTTAGCTCCACTGCACTAAGCAACCAGGAAGTAGCAGGACCCAGTTGTCTGATTCATGAACGAGGGGTTTAACAAAGTTAATTTATAAAAATGCCAATTTCTATTAAAATCTGCACTTTTTGCAAAATGGAAAAGAGGACACTCTCTTAAATTATAAAGCATTACAGCAAGTGAAAAAATACAAAAAGAGAAAAAATAAGTATATACAGTCCCAGTGTGTACACACTACAATATGTGGGTGGATCTCACCACATTCTCCAAAGGTATGGGTCCTGTTTTCAGACAGTATGTGTGCTGGCGGCCGCATGGGGAGCTCAGTCTGAAGGCAGCCGCATAGGGAGCTCTGATGGCGGCCACATGGGGGGACCTGGCTCTTCTTGCAGCCGCAGAGGGAGCTCTTTTGGTGGCCGCAGAGGGAGCTGGCTGTTCTGCCTCTGCTCCCCTGCCCCAGAGCGCAGCTTAATGAGACCGGGGCCGGAATATGATGTATTTGTATATATATATATATATATATACACACACACACACACACACACACACACACACACACACAAAAGTTATATGTACAGGCACTCTTTTATCCGTATTGGTGCAAAGTATCTAGGTGGCCCATATGCCTTAAAATATACAAAATACCAAAATGATACTGCACTCAAAAACTTCAGATAGAATTCATTGCTTCATTTAATAATTCATTGTTATGTTATTTGAATATAATTCATTAATTACAAAGAATTGATAATATATACTCTAGAATCAGAAAATTTGATGATATATACACTTAAATCACACGATATGTATTAGTAGAAACAGTACATTATGCGCCTACTAATAAAACTCCATGTAACTAAAGATCCCTAACCACATATCTGTAAATCATCAAAAAAATGCTGAACTGTATTACTATATCTTAGAGTCCAAAAGTACCATCCAAAAAAGGGCAAAAAAGAGACAGAAAACCAAAAAAATAAAGAAAAATAGAAAAAAAGATCAAAAAGTAAAAAATGAAAAAAAGTGAAAAAAGTGAAAAAATACAAAAAAAGAAAAAATAAGTATATACAGTCCCAGTGTGTACACACTACAATATGTGGGTGGATCTCACCACATTCTCCAAAGGTATGGGTCCTGTTTTCAGACAGTATGTATATATTGATGTATAAGTCGTGGTGTAATAGTAGATCCCTCTAGTCGTTGTAAGCCTTTATTTCTCCCAGATTGTATATGTAAAGTCTCTCACGTCTTCTGGAGGTGCCAGACTCTCTCCTTCAATCTGATGGTGTAGGGTCTTGTAATGGGCTGTGCGCTCGGGATCTTAAAAATCCCTTCAATGGCCCTGTCATATATTTATATTCTATATTTCATTTATTCTATATTATATATTCATATTTCTTGCAAACATTTATTGAATTTTAAAACACTAACATGTGTGTTCTCTTTTAGAATGGAATGTGGATCTCTCGATATACATAGTGTCATATACTGTATCCATTATGATGTATTATATTTAGCAGTACAATCTATTTTATTACATTTCATCTAATTTTATTTTTGTAATTTCTATAATTTCTGTCATCTATAAGGGTCCGTTATGTAAGTGTCCAAGTGTCATGCGGTATCTCTTCCGGGTTCGGCACTTCCGCATTGCAGAGCCGGCCCCGTCCCCTTCTGGCGCGGCTCTGACAGTACTTAGGGAGACGGCGCTTGGTGATTGTGGGACCTACTTCCGGGTATACACGCCGGCTCCACAAGCTCTGACAAGCCGTCCTAGCCTTTGAGCGAGTGCAAGGATTGCTGCATGCCATAGAGGATTACTGGAGAACGGATACTTTGCTAATTTACAAGTGGACTATAACTCTGAACTCTTGGAGGACAACTCACCTTAACCTTAAGTATATCTTTCAACTATTGTCTGCAATATCATTTATTAATGAACCAATTCCTGCTTGCTCAAATCTTCTCTGCTTTAAGTTACTAATTATATGGAGGACCACTCCCATCATGCTTATTTACTATGAACTGTTTCTTGCTTTGCAGATACTCTCTGCTACCTGCTTAATGTTTCTATTAAAGATTATTCCCAGCAACCTAAAGAATCTTATTAAAAACTTCTCTGAGGAAATACTTATTAATGAACTTTGTATTGTTTGCTAAGCTGCACTTTCTTCTTATTGGATTATTGCCTATATGCAATTCATTTAAGTTTATCAATCATTAAAACTTTGTTTGATTCTCAAATTGCCAGCAATCCTCTCTTTTCTTAAAGCTACAGTATTGATACTTTAAAGATTCTTCGTTTCTTTACTATTGTAATTAAGGAGTTCTACAAGCTGCAGTTGAGTTCCAATCCAAATAACCCAAGTAGCATAACAGAATCACCAAACCCCAAAATGGAACTGGCAGATGTGAATTCCCAAATTACCTCTTTAAACCACAGGGTTGAAATACTCCCACAAGGCATGCAGGATTTGCAAATTGCTAATGAGAGACTTCTTTCTTATATTAGAGAAATGCAAAATAAAGTTACACATTCTTCAAGTGACCCTGCTGTCTGCAGTTAAATGGTTCAAGGGAACGTGTAAAAAGTATATGTAGACTTTGAAATACTTGGTTAGATTCTGAAAGTGGATAATTACTATGGGATAATTAAATACTCTTAAGGTAAATTGTATGAGAGCAAAAACTGATTCTGGTGTCCACATTGGTTATAGTTGATGGTGGTATAAAATAATTTGTAAATTATCTAGTTGGATCCAAACTGAAAAGGATTATAAGTGGTAACGGATCACCTGGCACCCCGACTGGGTACCTCCGTTGAAGTATGCTCCAAGCGCTTCCTGAGGACTCCAAGCACTGCAGCAGACACCACAACCACCAAACCGGAGAAGCATATGAATGCTGTAACGGACCGTTTTGCACACAAGAGGTTAAAAACCGTTTAGGCGATATTCCCCTTTCAGATGCACAGACAGCTACTGCAAGCACCAATCTCCCGAACTGCAAACTACACGAATTCTCCAACTCCTGAACAGGAAACTCACGAATACTGGAAACAGCTGAACAGGAAAAGCATACAATCAGCTTACACTCCTGGCAATCAAACTGGAACAGCATACCATAACTCCTTCCCCAATAATGAGACGACACTTCACTTTGAGGGTTAAGCAGGAACTCTCTGTAATGGCCACACACTGGCTTTTATGCAAGTCCCCATGCAAGGGGACATCCCACAGGGTGGGACACAGTACAACCAATCGTTACAGGGGAACCGTAAAACACACCCACAATTACATCACAATCCCTCCTCTCTGTCCTGGAGATAATTGTGAAGTAATCAAATTATCTCCAAGGACAGAGGCAAAACTCCATTAACCACATGGCATTCAAAGGACAATAAAAGACATAAAATTACATACAGTTATATTTATTCCATAAAACATAGACATTCTACATATCCCCAGATAGCTTAGATCTGAGCACACATTACTACCGAATGGCGCTCAGATCACATACATACAGTTCAATCGCCATGGAGCCAAAGTCTTTCATACAGTCTTTCAGTATACGGCTGGGCTCCATGGCATGGCTATCTGGGGTAGCATGGCTTTAACAGTCCGCAGAAAGGCACGAATAAACCTTTCTGCCGGTAAAATAAAAGTTTAAAATGCAGGACCATAGTCTAAAGGTAGCAGGCGAGCAATCAGGCTTCTCCAGTGTACAGTGGCGAGGTTGGTTTCGCCACAAATGCGCTCAAGCATATGAATGCTGTAAGCAGCTGAACAGGAAAAGCATACAATCAGCTTACACTCCTGGCAATCAGCAGACAATCCAATTACCCCACTAACGAGACGACACTTTGTTTTGAGGTAAAGCAGAACTGACTGTACTGGCACATACAGCCTCTTTTATTTACAATCCACAAACATAGTACTGCCCACAGGGTTTTGAAATACAACCAATCAATCCATACAATACACACAGACACTCCCACACAAAATCCTCCCCTCTGCCTGTGATATGATTACTGAACACAATGGTCAATATAATTATCACAGGCAGAGAAATACAGTATTATAAAACATATCACAGGGACCCCAAAACATGCAATAACCCCATAAAATATATCCTTGCAACCGGGGGATCTGGGTGAACCACATATCCAAAATTCACCCAGTTCAGTAGTTTGGAAGATACAGTTTAATGCAGATTCCGCAGAACATATATAGGCTATATGAAAATTAATTACTGTATAACGTGTCCCCTGTTGTATAGTTTAAAACTACTGCACGATGTCTTTGTGCACCAAATACCGGCGAGATGGCACTGTGTAGAAAAGTCCAAACAGTGTCTGTGAGTTAAAATGTCCATCAGCCATTGTTCTCACCATGTGCTTCATCCATTGTTCTCACCATGTGCCTCTGATACATGAAATGGTGGCCACCCAGTAACTCCACAGTTTGTTTGGTAGTCTATCCAGCCGGACCAACAGATGAAACACATGGGGAACAGTGCAACAAACGAAGGGAATCATACAAAATATGGACAATAGTCATATTTGTGCACAATCTCCAGTTTTGTCACAGGGCACAAATAGTGTTTTCAAATGCCCTATATCCCAGGGCCATAGTCAGAAGGTAGGAGGCGGGCAAGCAGCCCCCTACAAGAACACGTGGCGAGGTCTGTTCCGCCACATAAGTGATTAAAAAAAAAACTTAATTTTAGGATTACAGTAATAGAATTATCGAAGAATGTTTTATTTAATTTTTTTAATGATTCCAGGGAACATCTAAAACATATATGTAGACTTTAGAAAACTTGGTTAAATTCTGAAAGTTGATAAAATAATGAAATGCTATTATGGTAAATTGTATGAGATCAAAAAACGATTCTGGTGTCCACATTGGATATAGTTGATAGTTAGAAAATATGTAAAAAAAATATTTACATGTCAATGGGGTAGATAGATCAAAATCTTGTAAGATCCAAATTGAAAAGGATTTTATATAAGTGATTAAAAAATTACACATCCCTTTTGTTGCAACCCAAGACTGTTAATGAGAACAAAGTAAAATAGACAGAAATTTGATAGTATTAGGGAAAGTAGTAAGATGAAAGATAATACTTTTGTAGAAGATTTAATGTATAAATGGTGTAAAATTGAATTCTTCATTCAAACCCCTAGGGGCTAATGTCTGGAATTCATATATCCATTTTGATTCTCTCTTCAATAGCCGAATATTGAAGTCTCTTTTCAATTGCTTGAACTTTTAAATGAGATGGATCTCCATCATGTACCCTTTGGATGTGATTAGATATGGGAGTCGACAAGTTTGGGTTGGTAACTGAGTTTATGTGTTGGAGAATTCTTCTTCTCAGTTGCTGATACGTTTTGCCTACATACTATAAGTTGCAGCTACATGTAATATTGTATACAGCCCGTGTGGTGCTGCAATTAATGAAATCCTGTATTGGGTTCTAGAGCACTCAATTATCTTAGAGGGCCTTATGAACTCACATGCTTTGCACCTACTGCATCTATATTTTCATCTAGCCTGAGTCAACCATGTCTCGGGTTCGGTATTGGTTCAAGGTGGCTCTGTACTAGATTTTTTGGTCTCCACGCCATTATACTAGGGAACGGTGACATTTTTTCTTGTAGGTTCTGATTGTGTCTTAAAATTTTTAGAGAATATTTATGTTAGCAAGTGTTGATCGTATGTTCCTATGCAACGTATTTGTTTGTCTGTGGATTTGGGTCTTACGGTCCTCAAACTTGTGGACCTTTCCATAGTGTTAACTCTTTGATATGCCTTATTTAGAACCCTTTTCAGGTATCCCAGTGCCTTAAATCTTTGTTTTATTTCTTTTGCTTCTTTTTGAAAGATGGACAATTTCTTCATGCTCTAAGATATTGACCATATGGAATTCCTGCTCTCAGGTGGAAAGGGTGATGGCTCTGCCAATGTAATAAGTTATTAGTGGCAGTGATTTTTCAGAAAAGTTCCGTGGTGACTTGGCCATCCATTGTTAGTCGGATTTTAAGGTCCAGTAATTCCAATTCATGCTCATCTATCATGGAGGTCAACTGTAGCCCTATGTCATTCTTATTAAAATTGTTGACTAGTTAATTGAATTTAGCAATTGAGCTGTTCCAAAAGAGAAGCACATCATCGATGTATCTATACCACTTGATTATGTATTTGTTGTATTCATCCTTGATGGTTACAGATAGAATTGTTTCCTCCCACCAATCAAGGTAGAAGTTGGCATAGCTAGGGGCACAAGCCGTGCCCATAGCACTGCCTTTAAAGGACCACTCTAGGCACCCAGACCACTTCAGCTTAATGAAGTGGTCTGGGTGCCTGGCCCTTCTAGGGTTAACCCATTTTTTAATAAACATAGCAGTTTCAGAGAAACTGCTATGTTTATTAATGGGTTAAGCCTTCCCCCTATTCCCTCTAGTGGCTGTCTCATTGACAGCCACTAGAGGCGCTTGCGTGCTTCTCACTGTGATTTTTCACAGTGAGAGCATCAGCGTCATAGGAAAGCATTGTAAATGCTTTCCCTATGCGACGAGCTGAATCGGCGCAGCTTTGCCGCCGATCCAACCCGGTGGCGAACGAGGAGGAGGAGAGGAGGCAGAGAGCTCCCCGCCCAGCGCTGGAAAAAGGTAAGTTTTTACCCCTTTCCCCCTTCCAGAGCCGGGCGGGAAGGGGACCCTGAGGGTGGGGGCACCCTCAGGGCACTATAGTGCCAGGAAAATGAGTATGTTTTCCTGGCACTATAGTGGTCCTTTAAGCTGTAAGTAAAAATTGCCATTAAAAGTAATTGTGAGTTAAAATAAAACGCGGTAGATCGATTAGAAACTTCATCTGAGGGATGGAGTATTTGGATGATTTCTCCAAAAAGTATGATGTTGCTTCTAACCCTTTCTCATGTGGGATGTTGTTATACAGTGCAACCATGTCCATGCTTGCCACTAGAATGTAGGGAGGTACCATTAAGTCCTCTAGGGCCAGCAGGGTTTGTTTAGTATCCTGTAAGTTAGAGGTTAGATTTGTTACAAAGGAATGTAGTATGCTTTCTAAAAACTTGCTGGCATTTTCTGTTAAAGAATGAATGCCCGAAACTATCGGTCTTCCAGGTGGGTTAGTTCAATTTTTGTGTACTTTGGGCAAACAATAGAAGGTGGCGATGGTAGGTGTATTTTTGGGCATAATTAATTTTGTTCATTACTTGTAATAATGTTATCGTTGGCTGCTGAGGTAAATAGTTGCCTTAAGAGATCTAGGTAACCAGATGTAGGGTCCTCAGATAATTTGGTGTAAAAAGAAGTGTCCTTAAGATGTTCCATGCACATGGACACGTAATGATTGTGAAGTAGGACTGTGTTCCCCCCTTTATCAGAAGGTTTCATTATTATTTCTTTGTTTGTACTGAGTTCTTTCAATGCAATCCGTTCATCTGTAGTTAAATTGTTGTCTTTGATGGTTGCTAGAGGTAGAGACTCTAATTGTTCTGTTGTCATTTGTACAAAGAGACCTATATTTATATCTTCTTTGAAATTAGGGGTAAACCAGCTTAGTGGTTTAAAGTTGGTTAATGATGGTTCATTTTCTTGTTCTACCAGCAATTGGAGATTTGTAGATGTGAAAAATCACAGTATGATATATTTTCGTTTATGTAATGAGCAAAGTGCCAGTTTATGTCCAAATAGGTTGATATCCTTTTGCCACTCAAATTTGTTTGCCCCTGGGGTAGGTACAAAAGATAGGCCTCTGCTAAGTAGTGATAAATGTGCAGATGTTAGTCTGTAATCGGACAAATTTATAATTTTATTTTCAGTGATTATGGTTGATGATCGGTTTATGTCCTGTAGGAAGTCCTGTCTAATTTGTAACCCCAATGTCTCTGATCACTCAAATGGCCTCTTTGTGTAAGAGGTCATTCCTGGCCCAAAAAAGAGGCATTGGTTGAGGATGAGGTAGTGGTGGTGGGGGGTAGTGTGTCTAGGAACTAGACTTCCAGAATGCTTTTGTTAGATGACAATTGTCTATCTTGTGTTCTAGGATTTTGTGGGTTTCTTCCCCTTGATGAATTTGAGTCATTCCAGTCAGTATTTCCTAAAGTGGAACTGTTCTTACTGTTGGTGTGATTCCTTTGTCTCTTATTTTGGCGAAAGATGTGTCCTTCTTTAAAGTCCCTAAAATCCATTTGAAATTTTAGATGTTTTTTTCCCTGATATAAGTTTTGAAACCCTCAATATTTTTTTTCCAATTTTGTCTCCATTAAAGTATAATCAGGATTATTGTGAAATTCTTTTACTTTCTGTATTTCATCCTGTAAGTCTATTATGATATAAAGACACACCTAACTGGTTTGGTTTGATAGGTAGAAAAGACACTTGTGATTAAGTATTTAAAGGAACACACTAAGCACCGTATCCTCTGCAGCCTGCTGCAATGGTTATGGTGCCAGAGAGTGCTCTGGCACCCATCCAGTTTAACTTTTAGAACAAAATGTTAATTTTCATGGATCTTACAGGATTCTGAGCTGCACCTGGGGTTCTCGCAGAGAAAACATAAATCACTGCTTACAAGGGAAAACCAGAGGCATGGGCTGCAGCTGCCAGCTAAAACAGTAGGGCAAATTATACTGGGAGAACATCAGGGCAGTTTTAGTTCCTGTCATAAGTAGCAGAAAGAACTCCTGGGTGCACACCCAAATTAAATGTAATACACACTTCTATGAGTGGACATGTGCCAATTTAGAACCACAAGCCAGAGACATTGCATAGGAAGGCAGAAACAATGCTTCACTGCTAAGCTAATAAAGATGGCACAACATAAGAAGAAGATTTGGCACCAAAATGAAAGGAAATTTAAAAGGTAAAGGAGACCAAGTGACAACAAATACGTTGGGGACACTTGGAATTGGAGGGACCATAAAAATTCCCTAAACACAAGCCCGTGACAAATTCCCTTTTAATTCCCAGCAATTCTCACTTCAGTAAATAAACCTGGTAGTCTCATTTATTCATTCCGCTTTAGTTGCCAAATTACTGTCTGCAGACGTTTGGCGTAGAACAGTTTTTTCAACATGGTTATTTTGATATAATATTTTTTTAACTTACTTGTCAACTTGCCACAACATGCTATTCAGTGAATAAACTCCTCATCCTGATAACAATGCTTTCCTATATGCCTCTGCTCTCACCACAAATATATGGTAATAAACTATACAGCTGCTTTCCCTTTTGACCTTCCACTCTCATCCATCCCTTCCAAGCCCTACACTGATGATGTCTGACAGCACACCATTCAGGGAGTGATGTTAAATGATGTACAATCATGACCTTTGGTTCCAAGACTTCCAGTACAACGCTTCGAAATATGTATGAACATTATTATACATGACCTCATTGTGTCTAAATATAGCAGTTTAATTTTGCTTAGGGTAATTAAATTATATTCTATTTCATAAGCATATTTTGTAACACAAGCTGTAAAGGGGTTGAAAGTTAAAACCCCTGAACAAAGCAAGCACAAATAAACAACAAGAATAGGAAAGAAAAATCACGTTAAAGAACACAGAACAATGAAGGTGATGTGTGTATATCACAATCTGCACAAACATCCTATTGGTTTCCATGGTAATTGTTCTACTTTTACCACCTAGCCTTAGTCATGCTAATTTATACAGTCTTCCAAAAGAACAGGTAAAACACAAGACTCGTCAAAAGACGGTCACAAAATGGTGACCAGGACATCCAAGCAGTCAGAATCCTACTATCTATAATAGAGACAAGCAATGATGCAGTAGGAACATTTTTCCTTTGGCTAAAATCCATGTTAAAATAAAGACGCTTGTACAGTTGGAAAGCGAAACAAAAGCAAGATAATCATCTGTGAAAGAATTCTTCATCAGATAGCTGTCCTTTACTTCTGCTTTGATCCTTCCAGGCCGTCTCTTACTTCCTCTCTACCCTCACTTGCTGTTGCTCAAGCATTCATTTCATCCTCTCATCCTGTTATATCTAACTTTCCAACTGTTGACCGTATTTCACTGGTTTTGAAAACTCCCCGAATCCAGTCTGCATTAGTTTCATCACACAAAAGACTCATTTTACTTGTACAACTTTGGGGCATATCCCTAAAAGTTAATAAATTCAATAACTTTCCTTGATTTTCTTATTTGAACCATTTGTGTTCGTGAAAAAACAGATGTAAAAAAGGAAAATCGCAATGGTGCCATTAGTAATTATATAAAATAGGAAAGCTGAAATATGATATTGAAAGTTTTTAATTTAAGGATTACTATATGCAAGTTTTCAAGAACACAGCAAAATGGTTCATTTGGCACATTTAGTAACATCAATAGTTCTTTCTTTTAGTGTAATTAATGCTGAGAATAGTTTCAGTTTGAAAGTAGGGATAGAAAATCAAGAGGAAAACAAAAAATTATATCAGAAAGGGAATATTCTGCTGTTTAGTGGATAGGCGAGTGCGCTGGATCTTGTGTATTGTATTATTTGGCCCCCAGCAGCACCCCCATTTATGCATGTTAAGGTGAGTGCAGCCAACCCCCTCTTGTTTTATATATATTTGGGAGTCTAGCCAACTCCTTGGTTTTGCACCCCTCCCTGTCACAGGTGCCTCATCCAAGGGCCCTATTTAGCCTTGTACTGCAGAGAGCCCCAGATGGAATTTTTTTTCCCAAGTAGGTTAATCTCATAAGAGCAGACATTAGGCTGTCAGTGTAGGACCTGCCAAAGATGGGGTACATTGACGTTGTGGCAGGCTTATGCAATGTATGATCATATAATGTAACTAAACCCCCATTATTTTTGCCTAGATTGGGTGTTTTAAAAAAAAACAAATAAAATCTTTCAACATTGAAGTTGCTGTTTAGTGGATAGGCGAGTGCGCTGGATCTTGTGTATTGTATTATTTGGCCCCCAGCAGCACCCCATTTATGCATGTTAAGGTGAGTGCAGCCAACCCCCTCTTGTTTTATATATATTTGGGAGTCTAGCCAACTCCTTGGTTTTGCACCCCTCCCTGTCACAGGTGCCTCATCCCAGGGCCCTATTTAGCCTTGTACTGCAGAGAGCCCCAGATGGATTTTTTTTCCCCAAGAAGGTTAATCTCATAAGAGCAGACATTAGGCTGTTAGTGTAGGACCTGCCAAAGATGGGGTACATTGACGTTGTGGCAGGCTTATGCAATGTATGATCATATAATGTAACTAAACCCCCATTATTTTTGCCTAGATTAGGTGTTTTAAAAAAAAACAAATAAAATCTTTCAACTTTGAAGTTGCTGTTTAGTGGATAGGTGAGTGCGCTGGATCTTGTGTATTGTATTATTTGGCCCCCAGCAGCACCCCCATTTATGCATGTTAAGGTGAGTGCAGCCAACCCCCTCTTGTTTTATATATATTTGGGGGTCTAGCCAACTCCTTGGTTTTGCACCCCTCCCTGTCACAGGTGCCTCATCCCAGGGCCCTATTTAGCCTTGTACTGCAGAGAGCCCCAGATGGAATTTTTTTTCCCCAAGTAGGTTAATCTCATAAGAGCAGACATTAGGCTGTTAGTGTAGGACCTGCCAAAGATGGGGTACATTGACGTTGTGGCAGGCTTATGCAATGTATGATCATATAATGTAACTAAGCCCCCATTATTTTTGCCTAGATTAGGTGTTTTAAAAAAAACAAATAAAATCTTTCAACATTGAAGTTGCTGTTTAGTGGATAGGCGAGTGCGCTGGATCTTGTGTATTGTATTATTTGGCCCCCAGCAGCACCCCCATTTATGCATGTTAAGGTGAGTGCAGCCAACCCCCTCTTGTTCTACTGTACATTTGTTCACACAAATGAATATAAAAAATTCTCTGACATTGAAGAACATGATCTATCATCTTATTCCTTGCACACCTTATACATACAAGGAAATGAAGGAATAGTTGGAGAACATGAAGCTGAGAAGACAAGCAGAGGACAAAGAAAACCAGCAGTAAATTTGCAGGATAGAGAGAAACAAGAAAAACTGGGCAAGAGCAAATCTGTTACACAACCAATGGACGAATGGACAAGAATGCATAACCACACAAATGAAAATGAAAGTATTGTTAGTCATGCATTCTGGGTTTTATCATAATGTGGTCACGGTCCTTGTTAGCCATCACATGTGGGAAAAGGTATACCTAAGAACGTTACTGCCAAATGGAGCATCGATAGATGTAAAAACAACAAAAGGACAACAACTGACAAAAGAAGAGAGAACCAAATGGCTGCCTTACAAATCTATTATATTGAAGCCTAATGCTTGATAGCCCAGGAGATAGCCAATACCCTGACAGTGTCAAGCACAGACCTATCTGCCAAAACATCAGAGTGATAGTGAAAGCTTTGAGACACTGAGGTCCAGAAGAGTGGACAAAGAGGGAATAACACTAATGAAAAGACTTTGCAATTTAAAATAGTACTTGAGAACTCTGACCACATCCCAAGCATGTAAAAGACCATCTTTATCTGTGGCTGGTTTTGTTCAAAAGGAAGCTTGCATGGTCTTCTCATTAATGGAAGAAGTGCAGACATCCTTGTAATAAAGGAATAAACCAAAACCTGCCGACCTGAAAATAACCTTCCATGTTAAGGTTTACAGGTCTAAATGCCTGAAGGTTCAAGTGAATTATAAGCAGCCAAGGCGGCAACAGACAAAGCCAACATACCGAGACCTGCAAGGCCACAGAGGGCTATCAGAGCAAAGGAATGGTTATCTTTATAGCAAAGCTAATTCACCACCTGAACAGTATCTCTCTACAGAGCAAATTGAGTACATTTTCTTGAGGAAAAAAACAAAAGAAGCTGAAGACTTCTTCTAATCGTAACGACACAGTAGCTGAACTAGTTTGGCATACAAGAAAACAGCATTGCACAAAAATATAGTGCATACTGTTATTGTTCTGCCTGTTCATTTGGGATATTCACTATCCCAGGAGTTATGGCTCTCATAGACTGTGAGCATATTAAGAAGAAATATTTTTCCATACATGGAAGTTTTTTCATAGAGTTGCATACGCATACATGACTAAAGGATCTGGAGTTCCATGGACAGGGCCGGACTGGGGATTCCAAAGCAGCCCTGGAAAAAAAATCTATGCCAGCCCCATAAGTCATTGCGCCATGTATTGTCGCATGTAATATGTAAGGCTATGTCTTGCCACCCTAGATGATTGAGATATATATATATATATATATATCTTTTTCCAATATAAAATATTGGTCCTTTCAGAGTAAAATCTTTAATTATATAGTAAGCATACTCACATGCAGACACAGACAATCTCACTGACACAAGCTGATTGATACACAGCCTCATAGACAAACAATCTCACTGATATACATAAGGTCATTAAAATAAAAACACACGCTCACTCGGTAGCAGGCACACACACACACACAAGCAAGCCCACTCACTAGCAGGCGCGCACACACACACAGCTTAATGTAGTGGCTCTGGTGTCTATAGCCTGTCCCTGCAGGCTTTTCAATGTAAACACTGACTTTTTAGAGAAAAGGCAGTGTTTACATTGCTTCCTAGTGACAGACACTCAGACGGTCACTAGAGGTGCTTCCTGTGTCAGTGCGGATTGGCTGAGATCATCAAGCTTGATGATCTCAGCGGTAGAGGCAGGGCCAGTTGAGGGGAGACCAGCACGACGTGGGGGGGGGGAGGTGAGTAAAAACACACATACACACACACATACCATGACAGACACACACCGTGACACAGACAGAAACACAGACACACCATGACAGACAGACACACCATGACACAGACAGACACACACACACCATGACAGAGACACACACATACCATGACAGACACACCTTAAAAAGACACACACACCTTGACACACACACCATAACACAGACCTTGACACAGACACAGACACATACACGACACAGACAGACACAGAGAGATCGTGACACAGACACACACACACACCGTGACACAGACACACATTACATGACAGAGACAGACACACACCATGACAAACACACACACACCATGACACAGACAGACCGTGACACAGACAGACGCACACACCATGACAGTCAGAGACGCACATTGCATGACACAGACAGACACACACACACCATGACACAGATGCACACACCATGACAGACAGAGACACACAGACACACACAATGACACAGACAGACGCACACACCATGACAGTCAGAGACACACATTGCATGACACAGACAGACACACACACACCATGACACAGATGCACACACCATGACAGACAGAGACACACAGACACACACCATGACACAGACGCACACACCATGACAGACAGAGACACACAGACACACACCATGACACAGACGCACACACCATGACAGACAGAGACACACAGACAGACACACACAATGACACAGACAGACACACCATGACACAGACAGACACACAATGACACACACACACCATGACACAGACACACACACACACCATGATACAGACACACACAATGTCTACCTGGGGCTGTGGGGAGCTCCCTTGGCGGCCGCAGGGTTTGCTGGCTGTTTTGGCGGCCGCAGGGGGAGCTGACTGTTCTGCCTCTGCTCCCCCTCCCCAGCGCACTGCTTACTGAGACCGGAGCCGGAATATGACGTCATATCCCGGCCCCGGTCTCTTTCTAGCGCGCTGGGGAGGGGGAGCAGAGGCAGAACAGTCAGCTCCCCCTGCGGCCGCCAAAACAGCCAGCAAACCCTGCGGCCGCCAAGGGAGCTCCGGGCTCCCTCTGCGGCCACAGGTGAGCCGGCTGTCTGCCCGGCCCCAGGTGCCGACGGCCCACCGGGAAATTTCCCGGTATCCCGGTGGGCCAGTCCGGCCCTGTCCATGGAGCCATCTTTTAATTTAGTGTTCAAATATTAAACAATTGTTAATGTTTTATTGCTATACGAGAGTCCCCATCAGCCCACCCCCTCTTTGCTGCTTGGGCTAATGAGAATGCAACACCCTGCGCAGCAATGTGTTGCTGTAATTGGCTGAGAGTGTCAGATGACTGTTTTCAACCTATCACAGCGACCTTTGCTGGTATGATTAGTATGGCTAGAGTGAAGTGTGGAATCTATGCCTTAGCTATACCTCTAGTAGGATCCAGTCTGTTGGTGGCCAGTGACCGTTTTTGTTGTTAAACTGCTCAAAAATAATTCAGCACTAAATGGGACAGCGGACTCCAAGCACTGTAATAAATTCAGTAAGATGAAATGGTTATACTGCCTACAATGTGCCATTATTCTAGAATTTATAGGTGCATTCATTAAATGCATTTATTAATCCATGCACTTTTGCCAATTTTACTATCATAATACTAAAATTTATTGGTCATTAAAATGCATTGCTCTGCTAGTGTAGGTGCTTTCAACACAGTAGAGGTAAAAAACAAAAGTTATGGGTTCACCTGGATCTGAGTTCAAGCCATTTAGTTATTTTAGCATATGACATTAATGGACAGTCACTGGAGAACAAGCTAGCATAACAAATTGCACTTACAGTTGCATTACTGGGATGGACTGGCTATTGGAATTGTTGCACAATCAGTTATCTTGCCAGAGTGATGTAAACAGGATGTGTTTGTGAATAGAATACCTAGTTTTAGATCATTTTTTGGAAGCCAATTATTCAATATGAAATGGAAGATAGGGATCTAATTGCATTAGATATTTATAAAACATGTCTGTAGAAAACAAATTCAAAAAGAAAATAGAGTGCGCAAAAGTACATAAAAGATCATCAAAATTAATAATAATACATGATCTCAAACAATAATTGAAAATCCTTTCTATATATGGGAGTCTATTACCCCTGGGAATCTGATATTTGGATGGAGCAAAGGAATGCTATGAATGAAAAACTACAAGATTATCTAAATACACTGCGAGTCAAGAGCACCAAATGCTTGGATTAAAACCGATTAAAGTTAGAGTGCCTATGAATAAACAGACTACCATGTTTTAAGTGATCTTGGGTTGGAATCTTTATCGTACCCAAGAACACTTTCACCTGCTCAGTATCAACATGTTTAAAGAGCTGTGTGCAGCAAGGCAGTGGATTTTGTTTCCAAATTCCTTTAATCCATGACTTTTGTCAGACAGGGCTATGACTGTTTGCCTTGACTCGTGGGACAAATTTATTTTAATGTAATATGTGACGATGACGTAATGGTAGTTTCCCTTTAATCTGATGTTTGTTTCTTTGTGTGTTTGTTTGTTTTTGTAAGAAAATAAATAAAAAAAACAACTATATATATCTATATATACACATTGATCATTTGATGTAATATTCAAAGATTAAAATTTCACACATTGGATTTCACAAATTGGATTTCAAAGTACCGTACATACTCGAGTATAAGTCGACCCGAATATAAGTCGAGACCCCTAATTTTACCCCAAAAAACTGGGAAAACTTATTGACTCGGGTATAAGACTAGGGTGGGAAATGCAGCAGCTACTGGTAAATTTCTAAATAAAATTAGATCCCTCCAAAATTATATTAATTGAATATTTATGTACAGTGTGTGTATATAATTAATGCAGTGTGTGTGTGTGTGTATGAATGCAGTGTGTGTATATGAATGCAGTGTGTGTGTATGAATGCTGTGTGTGTGTGTGTGTGTGTGTATGAATGCAGTGTGTGTGTGTATATGAGTGCAGTGTGTGTGTGTATGAGAGCAGTGTTTGTGTGTGTATGAGTGCAGTGTGTGTGTATGAGTGCAGAGTGTGTGTGTGTATGAGTGCAGTGTGTGTGTGTATGAATGCAGTGTGTGTATGTGTATGAGTGCAGTGTGTGTGTATAAATGCAGTGTGTGTATGAGTGCAGTGTGTGTATGTGTATGTGATGCAGAACCTTGGTGGGGGTGGGCATTTTTTTAATATTATTATTATTTTAATATTTATTTTTATATTATTAATAATTTTATGTTATTTTGTATTATTTACATTTTTATGCTATTTTTTTTCACCCCCCCTCCCTGCTTAATACCTGGCCAGGGTGGGGGGCTCTCATTCCCTGGTGGTCCAGTGGTGTGCACTGTGTAGGAGGGAGCTGGCATGAAGCGTTTACTTTCCTTTCCTGCACTCCTGTCAGCTCTCTTCTCTCTCCTCCGGTCCGGTCAGCTCCCCTGTCCGCTCCATTGCCGCGCGGAGCATTGCCACAGTAACCCGTGGCAACGCTCTGACCCTGCGGCTCTCGTGAGACTTACAGTGGAGCTGACAGGGGAGTTGACCGGACCAGAGGAGAGAGAAGGGAGCTGACAGGAGCTGTAGGAAAGGTAAGTAAACGCTTCCTGCCAGCCCCCAACAGGACCACCAGGCTTGTAATGAGCCCAGCGGTCCTGGTCTGTATTATGGCAATGTAAGTTGCCATAATACATACCTTGACTCGAGTATAAGACGAGTGGGGGGTTTTCAGCACAAAAAATGTGCCGAAAAACTCGTCTTATACTCGAGTATATACGGTATGCCAAATGTCTTTAAGCTTTAACTTTATATATTATAGAAAGAGGTCATTTTTTCATATACGTTTAAAATTGCCTCTTTTTTTATTCTTTTTTGTTGTTGTGCTGAGCAAGAACAAGGGTAACATATCATACCTTTTAAAGTGAACAATAAAAATATTGTCTAGTACACAAGGCATGGAAAGTGCTAGATATTGTAAACATGAGACAGTTTAGTGAGTAGAGCATATGCACTGAAAGGAGTTGCTGAACGAGAAATAGAGAACACTGTTAAACAAGTTGAATATTTTTATCAAAGAGTGAAACCCTCAGGAGGCACCCCATTTAGGTAAGAACTGAATGTCCTGCATGCAGATAGGGATATAGACAGGCCAGCAGCTCAATAGGATGGAACTCCAGATGCAGCTCTGAGCTACATTGCCAGAGAGAGAGCGTCCCAGGTTCTCAACTGAAATCAGCATGGCCCAGTTAAGGGATGGTTTCCTGCCTTCCACACAGCCTTGCCTTGCGGACCCTCAGGTACGGTGGCATACTTGATTCTCCACGCCATAGGTTTCTTCTGAGTGCACCTAAGAACTTGGATACTCCATGCAGACTTTGCAGGTTTGCTTATTATCTTCTGCAGAGGTCGGAGTAGCATGCACTTTCTGCCATCTTGAGTGCGTTGTGGTACTGTGTTGCTTGTGTTGCGGTAATCCAGCGCACCTTCAGCCAGGGACGGGAGCCTCCAGGGGTAGACCGGGATCACTCCCACGGTCCACAGGGATGGGGGGGGCTCAAGCAGCAGGACGCTTCTCCACCCCTCCAGGCCTCCAAGCCAGCTCTCCGTTGACGTGGACACCCAGGGACATCAGACACGCTTCTGGACATCCCCACTCCATCAAGAAACAACTTAGGGGCAAGTAGAGTTGGCAGTGGGGTATAGACAGCAGAATATTTGCATTATAGCATTTTAAGTGCCGGACCTCACTCTGGATGTGTTCGGCCGGCATGGCCGTCAGGCCCCATCCCCCTCATTTGTTAATTGTGATATCTAGGATGATTTGTTTTAACCACACCTGAAAATTACATCATGATATGCTATTATTCAGCAACACCTGCCTTTATTCATGAGGATTTATGGACTAAAGCTGAAGCTTTGAATCTGACATCAGCCCAGGAATAGCTGCTATAACATTTCCAACCGATGTATAGACACTTCGCACATCTCGTGGAAAATAATGTAATATATCATTTGAAGATGCATTGTTCAATGAGCAAAGTCATGTGTGTGCTTCTTTATATGAACTTGATCTTTTTATGTCTTTGGTGAAAAAGTATGGCTCAGTCATGTCAAAGTCCTCACAAAGCTTAGTAAGGTCTGTCTTTTAATTTCTGTCTTATTACTAAGTACTGAAAGAAGTGCTGCATTTTAGACAAAGCAGGCATTAAGAAATGAAGGGAGAAACAATAGAAATAAACACAACAGATCCTTTAGAAATTAAAGCTATTCTTCTTGTTTGCATTGCACTTTTAAACAATTAACATTTTAGTACATTTGCAATGTTAATCAAAGTGTGAGCTCATCTGCCAAGGCAAACTTCTCAGGTAAGTATTACGATAACAAGTATGGTTCTAGCATGAAAAGTCATGACCTTTTTTTTTTTACTACCCATCACTAACCAAGCACAGACAAGAGTAGACTCAATTTTCTTTACACCCTATTGTCAGCAGAAGAAGGCCAAAAGAAATGGACACTACCCTCTGGAATGCTCAGTATAATCACAAGCTTTGTTTTTGTTTTTAGACTTCCTGTTCTCTGCCATCACCTATTGAATTGGGACATACATTGGCATATATATTTATAGATCGGTTTATTATTTGCTGGAAAACAATAGCAAAAATCATAAAATCACACTTCAAAACTAGAAAGAGCTCTGTGGTATTTGCGATCACAACTCGCATGAGTGAGCTCTATCTTGGATCCATCTACACCACACCTATTTAAAATTCTTCCTTCAGACCAATGTTAACTGGGGGGGAGCACATTAAGCTCTGCTTAGGATTGGTGGAAGTAAGTCACTGGGCAGCAGCTGCCATATGCAGCTGCCTGTATCCATTAATTAAAGGATCACTATAGGGTCAGGAGCACAAAAATGTATTCCTGGCCCTATAGTGCTAAGCCAACCATTTACGTGGTTTGCTCCCCCCCCCTCATTAGCACCCCTATAAAAGTTTAAAACTCACCTTATTTCCAGCGTTGCGCGGGTCTGCTGGCGCTGGCTATGCCCCCTTTGTGACATCATCAAAATGGCAGATTTTTAGCCAACCCAATGCTTTCCCATAGGGAAAGCACTGGAGTGGCTAAAATCGGCACGGGCGGGGCCAAATGCCATTTTGGCCAATCAGGTCCTCCTGAAAGAGATGCGCTGAATCAACGCTCTGCATGGAGATGCTGAATGGCAGGGCTGCTTACTGTGCAGCCCTGAGCCAGGAAGCCTCTCCAGTGGCCATCTGAGGAGTGGCCACTTGGGGGTGTCCCTAGAGGCAATGTAAACACTGAATTTTCACTGAAAAGGCAGTGTTTACATGAAAATGCCTAAAGGGAGTTTTTATACTCACCAGAACAACTACATTAAGCTGTAGTTGTTCTGGTGACTATTGTGTCCCTTTAAGTCTTTTCTGAAAGTGATATATCGGAAGAACGAAAAACAGAGAAAAAAGCCCATATGACATCACCACCACGCAGTGCAGGGTTTGAAAACACAATCTGCCTGTTGAAAGAACAATGTAAAAATAACATAAAAATTCCTATGTACATGCTTTTTTTTTTTTCTTTTGAGCACTTTATAAACCAGAAGGGTACAAACTTTTTATATAATTCCAGAGGTTAGAGATAACTTTATTTTCCTCAAAACACACAGTCCCACAGAAGAAGTGCTGTATATTACATTGTTTTAAGAAAAAGAAAATGTTTTTTAGAAAAAATAAAAAATATGAATTTATTAAGCACCTGGTGTGTCATATTCTGTGTCATATACAATCACTAACACACACTTGCATATACTCTCTTGCTCTCACTCAGACACCTCATGGTCCTGTTTGCTTCAGTGCAGTAGAACAGGTGTTGGATCAAATTGTCACCAAGGCAACTGTGGCAAGTAAGCTGCAAGAGTCAGCATTCTAAAGGGTAGGGGAGATGGGGAGATGACGGGAGTGTAACTCTCATTAAGATAAGCAGCTGCAATATGCATATTGTGATATGTTGCCATGATATATCATTTTCGAGCTTCAATACATAGAGTCTAGTGACAATGTCAATTACCATTTGTAAGAATTAGGCTGCGTGACATCAATTATGAACATTTCATAAAAAAAAACAAAAAAAAAAAAAAACAAGCAGATCATATAATATCTATTACAAAAGAAAGTTTCCAGATTTACTTATTTGGCCCAATTTTAGTCAAGTTTAGATAAGATTCCATTTAGGAACCCCTAAAACATAAGGATACTACACTAATAAATACTTAACAAAAAATACTCACATACTAAAAAGTACTAAAGTTGCAGTTCAGAAAGTACTTTGATAACATTTATTTTAGAATTAGTGACCAAATAATTAATATGTACAGCTGTCAGAGGGGAACCCAAATATTTATAAGCGCACTATGCAGTAGAGACCCCAGCAAAAATGCTTCTTAGGTTTTACAAACCCAGACTAAAAAAAAGAAACTCATTTAAAAAGTATATTTGCCAATTATTGCAACATTTCTAGGAAGCTATCAGAGAGATAAGCAGACAGTCACATCTTATCTGGAAATAAATAGTTTTTTTTAGATCAGGAGGTATTGTAGGTATTTAGTTTTAGGATTCACACAACCATTATTTTAGGAAAATACACCATTTACAGTATACAGGATAGATAATTACAGCCAAAGGGCAGCTTTTTAAAAATTCTAACAAGTGCATACAGCAAACATGATTAGGTAGAAATTATCCCTTAACTTTAGAAGTAATTTTTTGTAACCGAGATAGACAATTATACTCACAGACAATATTTAATTTGAATGTGGGATTGCATATTTTACCTGTCATATGTGTTTTTCTCCTGTGTGCGTGTCTGCTGTGTTTTGTTCACCACGGCTAAAGCTCTTCTGCAGCACTTCCCAGTTTAATGAATCCGTTACGGTCTCTCCAACCTACTGGAAATTGCAAAATACTTCCCTGAGCATTGAGTATACATGAGAGAGGAGAAGGAGGGGACAAATGACACATGAATGCACCCACAACATTGTGGCAAGTGAAAACACACACATGCCCATGTGACAGAAAAATTGTTTTATTAATTCAGATGACATACTCACTATAATAAATCTATATACGTATATAATATTCTAAGTTAGGATAGTTGAAGACTTTGCAATTTCCTAATGATCAAAGACACTTCAATTTCTTGTTACTGACTAGAACCCCCATCACAGCACTCCCCACTCTGCAAGTATTTAATTAATATTGCTTCTTTTGACACACTGTACCATTGTCAGGTTACCTTGCCCCGGGTCAAAATGTTTTGGTCATATACATCTTCCCAAAGTGTCATTTTTGACGCACAGCTCTATTAAAATATTCTACATACACAGCCCTAGGCCAGTTATTTATTTATAAAATATTTTACCAGGAAAGATAGATTGAGATTTCTCTCGTTTTCAAGTATGTCATGGGATTCCTGGGTGGCATTGTTCTAGTACCAAACACCTATCTGCCTACACATATATTTGGAGTTGATTTTCCTATTTATAGCCAGTCTTGGGCTGATCAGTGCCTAGGCATGGTTCTTGTTAGCTCAGGCATGTGTTTCATTGAATTTTTCTTTTCCTAATTTTTCTTTTCCTATATCTTGAAATTGCTGTCTTTAGATTTCCTGACATTGACTTACTACCCAAAATTGTATGCTTCCACATCCTTAACTTTGGCTTGTACATTGACCATGATTATCTGTTTGCAGGTATTTTATTTACCCATCTTTGGAGCATTTGTTAAGCTTGGACATATCTATAGATTGGTAATACAGCTACAGGTCCTTCCCCTTTATTATTATAATTAGGGCTTTACCTGCTGTTAAGTGGTGGATGATATACAAAAATTAGTACCAGAAACCATTAGGTGTATATATAGGGATATACAAAAATTAATACCAGAAAACAAACACAAAGTCCTCTCCCACTAATATTAATAGACACCCACCCGATGCCAAATGGCTGTCCAGTCAGTAGTTTTAATAGATCTTTCACAATCTCAAAATGTGCTATGCTTCTTTACCCACAGGTTAAAATGTGAAAATTAGAGAATGCACAGCAGTATATATGAATAAGAAAAAAAACATTTTCACAAATATAGAGTGGGAGAGAGGCAATAAGGTCACTCATGCAGGCTCAATGTGAAAACACTTGCTGGCAGCTCTTTCAGATGGCAATGATGAAGGGGTGGGGGCTAGGGGGGAGGACATTAGGTCCCCCCCTTATTCCAATTTAGGGTCCCCACCCACCACTCAGGGGTGGAGGCCAGGGGGGAGGACCTTAGGCCCCCCCCTTATTAGTATTTAGGGCCCCCACCCACCGCTCAGGGGTGGGGGCCAGGGGGGAGGACATTAGGTCCCCCCCTTATTCCAATTTAGGGCCCCCACCCGCCACTCAGGGGTGGGGACCAGGGGGAAGGACATTAGGTCCCCCCCTTATTAGTATTTAGGGCCCCCACCCACTGCTCAGGGGTGGGGGCTAGGGGGGAGTACATTAGGTCCCCCCCTTATTCCAATTTAGGGCCCCTACCTGCCGCTCAGGGGTTGGGGCCATGGGGAGGACATTTATTAGTATTTAGGGCCCCCACCCGCCGCTCAGGGGTGGGTGTCGGGGGGAGGACGTTAGGTCCCCCCCCCTTATTTTACCCTTATCTTCACCCATGGAGGGCTCCGCGAAGACTGAGCTCTGCGGGGCGGGGGAAGGCTTATAAAGCCTTGCCCCGCCCTGCAGTTAGGCTCAGAGCACTCTGATTGGTGGGTTTAAAGGACCACTCTAGGCACCCAGACCACTTCAGCTTAATGAAGTGGTCTGGGTGCCAGGTCCCTCTAGGATTAACCCTTTTTTAAAATAAACATAGCAGTTTAAAGGGCCACCCATTATCACATGCTTCCCTGCAGCCAATCAGGGAGCACCTTAGACTATTTAAGCCTGTTTTGTTCATTTCTCTGTGCCCTGTCGTGGTTTCCATTGTGGTTATCTGAGAGCGCGTTCCTTATATTGATTCTTGTGTATTTGACCTTGGCTTCCCTTTTGACTATCCGATCTCTGTATTTCTTGACCTTTGGCTTGGCTCCTGACTATTATGATATCTCCATTCCTTGACCCGTGGCTTGTTCATCATTTACGTTATTCCTACGTCTTGTCTTTACCCTGTATTGTGGTTTTTTACCTTTATACGTTAAATCCGGCCATTCTAAGGCCCTATAATACGTCTTAGGTATTTTCCTATTATCTACTTAAGTTCTGCGTGTTGGGCATCTACATTAATCCTGACACCAATTAATTGCGTTTTTGAGCTTTCTGGTTGATCTGACACAGCAAACACTGCATCTACCGACAAGCATATTCCAGAATATCAAGGAGAAGATCAGATGCCTGTTCTTCCAAGACTAACTCACTCTGATGCACTTGGCATGGATGTTTGGCTTACTCTTGGTGTCCATTCAAGCAATTTTTCCTGAACCCTTGCATTACTATGGCCTCCAACATTTGAAGGCATTAGACATGTGCAATTCGTTTCGGTCCGAATATGAATTCGGATGAATTTCGGGCAATTCGGACATTCGGGTACTTCGGAATGTCCGAATTGCCGAAGTGCCGAATTTCTGAGGTTCCCGAAGTTCTGAAATTTCGAAATGTCGAAGTGCCGAAGTGCCAGAGGTAGCCTGACTGCCATTAGGTACCGAGATGAGATCCTCAGACCTCTGGGTTCTTCCTAATGCAAGACAATGCTAGACCTCATGTGCCTGGAGTGTGTCAGCAGTTCCTGCAAGACGAAGGCATTGATGCTATGGACTGGCCAGCCCGTTCCCCAGACCTGAATCCAATTGAGCACATCTGGGACATCATGTCTCGCTCCATCCACCAACGTCACGTTGCACCACAGACTGTCCAGGAGTTGGCAGATGCTTTAGTCCAGGTCTGGGAGGAGATCCCTCAGGAGACCATCCGCCACCTCATCAGGAGCATTCATAGGCATTGTAGGGAGGTCATACAGGCACGTGGAGGCCACACACACTACTGAGCCTCATTTTGACTTGTTTTAAGGACATTACATCAAAATTGGATCAGCCTGTAGTGCGTTTTTCCACTTTAATTTTGAGTGTGACTCCAAATCCAGACCTCCATGGATTGAAAAATTTATTTTCAGAATATTTAATTCATTCAGATCTAGGATGTGTTATTTTTGTGTTCCCTTTATTTTTTTGAGCAGTGTATATAGTATGTACACCAGATGATAAAATAGAAGAATAAAATAAACACACCAGATAATAGAGTAACAATGGAGCATTTAAACATCAAATTCAAAACTTAATCGTTATTAAAAACAAAACATTGTTTATAAGGTTTGAATAAAAGTAAAAACAAACTCCTATGGTATAATAATCGACATTTATACGATATTGCAAGTCATGGTGCTAGGATTTGATAACTGTGGAACTAACATAAATTGCTTAAAAAGATGTATTATTACATAAAAATAAAATTTTTTAAAAATCATCGGGTTGGAAAATTGTACATAAAATTAGATATAGAAAAATAAAATGAAATAATGCAAAATAAGATCGACTGGTCCTTGGTAATGAGTTTGCTGAGATTGGATGATCCTATATATCAGCAATTTGTATTAGCGTACAATTAATATTACCTTATGGTATAAGCCATAAATTCATAAATGGGACCTGTGTATAAAGTATAGAGACAGGACCTTATGTCAAATTTGCTGTGCTGTGATAAATTTATCTGTACTTATTTATTTTTAATTATTTTTAATCTTTAATTTTTTACCATCTATTTTTATACATCCCATCTCCCCCCTTACCTTTTATTTTTATCTTTCTTCTTCTTTCTTTTTTATCCTTCTCTATCCTGGTCCTTTTATTTATAGCTTTTAGGAACCACCTACTAACCATCATGATCTACCTCTTAGGATTCACTACAGAACACTGATATTATGCACTATTATATCACACTATGCACTTTCTTCTCCAATTTAGGGGTATATCCCTTTTTTTCACTTCCTGCGCATATTATTATTACAATTAATCTGGTTCAATTTAGATTTTATTGCTTTTACTAGATTTCTTTTTTTTTTTTGTTAATCAGATTTTTATTAGCAATTGGGTACGATAGATTTTAGGGCTCGCAGGCCCACATCAGTCAAACAGTGAAGGTAGCAATTTTGAAGTATAACATATACATGTACATATGCAGGGATGTTCCCTGTTCCAATATACAACCAATGATAGGGTACAATTATGTTTATTTTCTAAAGCGTGAATTGCAAAATATTATCGTCACAGTATATCCTGGAGTTAGGGGCTTCCAGATAAAGCTAGAGCTACATGGGTATGGTAGCGTTCATATGTACTCTAAGGATGCGGTTCCTTGATAGGAATTAATCCAGAGTAGTTGTCGATGAATGTATGTTGTGTGTTTCGGTGTGAAGGATAGTATCCTAACTAGTGGTCATGTGTAGGAGTGTGTGGTATCTGTCTGATACGAGATCCACAATGCAGGGATATGGAGAGTGGTGAGAAGAGATCCGTACGTACCCAGTGCTTAGTGTAGTCAGTTTACCCCCTTTTAATCCATCTACAACCGACAGTGACCCTGTCCATATGGCAATCGAGTTGTTTCTATTGAAATGGGCTTGTTTGGTCGGTTGTGCGATGTTTGCGTCCTTTTCCCGTGGGTTAGAACCCATCCGAGTTGGGTGCGGTAGCTATTAACCTAGTTGAGGTTCTTGTTATTTATCATGTTGTCGTATTGCAGTATGCCAAAATGAGGTCAACCGTGATGGCCCTTGCTTGGGTCTGTGCTGGTGCGGAGTATGTGTTTTCTAGGGTTCATCAGGAGAGGTATAGTGTCGTGGTGTATGTGTGTGTTGCAATGTCTCGGGGCTGCCGCACACGTCCGTTAATCTGATTGTCAGCGTTGTCTTATAGAGGTGGTATGCGTGCCATGTCCAGATGTGCTCAATATGCCCCCCCTTGTGGTTCTGTGGGGATATGGGCCATGCCCTAAGATGTCCCCCTTTGACCTATGGAGTTACTGCGGGTCAGGGTTATCCGTCGTATCGGTTGAGATCTCGTGTTCTTATTGAAGTGGCGGGGATGTGTTTATCCCCCAAATGTTGTGGATGGAGTGTTAGGTGTATCGATTGAATCTGCGATCGTCAGGTGATCGGTACAGAGTGTGCTTCATGTCGCACGGGTCTAGTGAGCTCCATATCGTCTCCCTGCCCTAGACCCCCCCCCGGACCCCCCTAAGGTCGTGAGCGGTATGTATACCACGGTGCCCAGGCTTCAGCGTGTTGAGCTTCCCTGCCCGTCATCTCCGCCTTCAGAGCTTCCGCTGCCCTGATATCCTCAACCCGGTGGATCCATTCCTCCCTTGTCGGGATGTCTGGTTTCTTCCAGTATACCGGTATGAGCGATTTGGCCGCATTCAATAGGTGACGCATGATCGATTTTTTGTATGTGGATAGTGGTCGTGTGGATATGTGTAGCAAGGCTAGTTCCTCTGACCATTCAAGGTCATCTCCCAGGATTAGTTGAATGTCTGATTTGATCCGGTCCCAGTATGGGGCAATGTGTTTACATTCCCACCATATGTGGTGCATGTTCCCCCTATCCTCCTGGCATCTCCAACACGTTGGTGGCGTAGTGGGGAAGATCCTATGTAACAGTACAGGTGTTCGATACCACATGGAAAGCAACTTGTAGTTCACCTCTTGATAGTGAGAGCTGGAGGAGCTTTTGTGCTGCCATATCAAGGCCTTGTCCCATTGTGCTGGTGTGAAGGACAATGGACGTTCCCAGTGTCGTTTGAAGAGGTTGTTTTCCGAGGTGGGGCTGGTCAGTATGTATTGGTAGAGGTTCGAGATTGCTTTCCCTAATGACGTGCCCCTGGAGCAGAGTTGTTCGTACCATGTGAGGTCTCTTCGCAGCTTTTCTTTGTGCGGGAGTGAGTTGAAGTAATGTTTCAGTTGCATGTATCGAAAAACCGCCATGTGTGAGCGCGGTCGTGATTCCAATAGCGCGTCCAGAGTCTGCAGGGCGCCATCCCGAATGACCTTATGTATTGGGATGTATTCTGCTTCACCCAAGAATGACCAGGCGTCTGGCGGTAGACCGCCTCCTATACTGGGGTTATGAGCAATCGGCAGCAATGGGCAGGGAGTCGGGGAGATTTGCGGTGTTTCCCTGAGTTGTTCCCATGTGAGGAGTGTTTGTGTAACTGGGTCATCGTCTCCTCTTCTGTTGCCTCTCGTTGCCCGTCTTTTCCAGATTGCCGCCTTCAGTTTTGCACTGTCTCCTTCTTGGTCTAGGATCACCCATTGTTTGGTCGTCTCTAATTCGTGCCACTCCAAAATCCGTTGTAACGTCGCTGCTTGGTGGTATTTTTTAAAATCGGGTAGGGCTAAACCCCCCCTATGTCTGGGCATGCACAGTATTTCATGGCGTATCCTGGATCTTTCTCCCCTCCATACATGCCTGATTACTTCTGATTTCAGAGTCGAGAAGAATTTTGCCGGCGGTGCCATCGGTATAGTCTGGAATAAGTATAGTGCTCTCGGGAGAACGTTCATTTTAAGGACCGCTATCCGGCCGTGCCATGTGATATGTGGATAGGACCATCTTTTCAGGTCGGATTCAATGCCGTGCAGTAGGGTCGTGAAGTTGCGTTGGTATATGTCCTGTGGGTTTGTGGTGATCCATATGCCGAGGTATTTCATTGCTCCCGTACACCATCGAAATGGGAAGAGTGGGCCGAGGGATACGTAGTCCGCTATGGGTATGGTGAGATTTAGTGCCTCACATTTTGCTAGATTGAGTTTAAACCCAGAGATTCGGCCGAATCTATCCATCTCAGAGAGTATACATGGCAGTGTGATCCAAGGCTGGGAGACAAAGAATAAAAGGTCGTCCGCATAAGCAGCCACCTTATGTTCCGTGTCCTGCCAGGTGTAACCGTGTATGTCCTGACGGTCTCGAATCGCTTGTAGAAGTGGCTCCAGAGAGAGTGCGAAAAGAAGCGGAGATAAGGGGCAGCCCTGCCTGGTTCCATTCGCAATTCCAAAACTCGTGGTCAGCGCTCCATTGACGCGTACCGTCGCCCTTGGTGTGCTATATAGTGCAGTAATCCACGCCATGGTTCTCTGGCCAAGACCCATAAACCGGAGGGTTTGGAACATGTATTCCCAGTTGACCCGGTCGAATGCCTTTTCGGCGTCTGTGGACAATAGTAGGAGTTGTTTCCGAAACTTCCGTGCATGATGTTGTATAGAAAATAGGCGTAATGTGCTGTCTCGTGCCTCTCGACCTGGGATAAATCCAGTCTGATCCGCGTGGACAAGGTTTGGTAACGTCCTTTGAAGTCTAGTTGCCAATACTTTCGTCAGGAGTTTCGTGTCCACATTCAGCAGAGAGATCGGGCGATAGCTGCCACATTGTTCTGGGTCCTTCCCGGGTTTGAGCAAGACCGCGATTGTTGCCGTCAGGGACTCCATGCCAAAGTGTCCCCCCTCCGCAACTTTGTTTACTGCTTTCGTTAGCCATGGTAGGAGTGTCGTAGCAAAGTGTTTATAGTACCCTGTGGAGAACCCATCTGGTCCAGGGGCTCGTCCAGTTTTCGTGCCCTTCAACGCTGCGGCTAAGTCCTCCGTGCTAATCGATTCGTCAAGCATATCTGCCGTCTCAGGGTTCATCCGTTTCCGCACATTGTCTTGCAGGTATGTTTGTATGAGTGATGATGATTCCCGTCTATGTGCTGTGTCCTCTGGTGGGTAGAGGTTATAGAGGGAATTGTAATATTCCCGGAATTCACCTGCTATTTCTTCAGGATATGGTGATATACTGCCCGTTGATAAGCGAAGTTTCCTCACTTGAGTGCGTGGTGTGTCTCCTTTCAAGAGGCGGGCGAGGAATTTCCCACCTTTATTTGCATGGGTGTAAAAGAAGGACCTTGATCTTTGGAGTGAGCGGTGGTGTCTTTGCGTGAGTAGGGTCTGCAAAGTTCGTCTGGCTTCCATCAGTTCACCATATGTTGAGGTTAGGTGGGAACGTTTGTGTTGGGATTCCAGGCGTGTGATGGATTTATACGCGTCTGCCATCGCCCGGGTGGACTCCTTCCTTTTGCGAGATGCAATGCCGATGAGGGTACCACGTATAACACTCTTATGTGCTTCCCACACCGACACCGGAGATATCTCATCTGTTCCGTTCTCAGCAAAGTAGTTTTCCAGTGCCTGCGAGATCTCCCCTCTTACCCCAGGGTCCTGGAGCAGGGATTCATTCAGGCACCACGTCCATGTTGCGGGCTTAAACAGCGGGGATTCCAATTCAACCCGAACTGAGCCGTGGTCCGACCAGGTGGCCAGTTCTATAGAGGCTGTGCGCAAACTTCCCTCTTGCTTGATGAACACGTAATCTATGCGGGAATAACGTTTGTGGATCACCGAGTAATGTGTGTAGTCCTTGATAGAGGGGTGAAGCGTCCTCCAGCAGTCCACCAATGCTAGTTCACCTAGCGTTTTGCGAATGGACCTAATGCAAGATTGTGAGAGGCAACTATGGCCAGTGGATGAGTCCATGAGAGGGTCTAATGGAACATTAAAGTCTCCCCCCACTATCAGTGCTCCCTCCGAGAATCCATGCAGTTTGTGTAGTGTCCCGCGAAGAAATTGTGCTTGCTTTGAATTGGGAACGTATATGGTCGCGAGAGTGTACATTCTGTCGGCTATCGTTCCTTTCAGGAAAAGGAAGCGCCCTTGATCGTCAGCCAATCTGTCCAGTTCTTGGAAATCTAGGTTTGCAGCAAGCAGTATCGCAACCCCCGCCCGACGAGCGGTCGGATGATTGTTGCAGTAGTGTAATGGGTGATGAGCGCTTCGGAGTTTTGGAGCAGCGTTCTCCCGAAAGTGAGTTTCTTGTAGCATCGCTATCGATATGTGTTTCTGTCGCAGGATTCTTAGTAGGTGAGAGCGGCGTTCCGGTATATTCAAGCCTCTGCAGTTGAGGGTCATGACGGACAGGGGAGCGCGATTATACGCCATGATTTCCTCTGCGGCCGTATGCTCCGGCTCCCAGAGGGGGTATCCAGGCGGGGTGGGTGGCCAGGGAGACAATGCCAACTAGTGTGGGCGTACGCGTAACTATGAGGTGTAGTGTCCTATGCGTCCGTTTCAGTGCTAGTTATGGGTGGGTATGCAAGCGTCCCGTGAGCTATGGGTCTCGTTCAGGAGGTGTCCCCCCTCGTTATCTGGGTCAGGCCGGAACGTGTGCCGCAGCCGCGAGGGTTGGTGTAAATGTGGGTGAGTGCGTGTGGGTGTATTTAAGGGTAGTATGCGATTGGTATCGGTAGTAGGGGACTGTTGATTGTGTGAGTAAAAAATAGAGTGGAATATATATAATAAAATAAGGGTGATCCGAGTGGGTCCCTCCTTTGGGGTATGTCCCCAGCGGGGTAAAAGGTGGGTATAACCCCGAAATCTCCTAAAAGAGGAGAGTCACTTGCGTCTCAATAGGAGTGGCCAGGTGTCACCCCGATAACCAGATCGGTGGGTGAACGAGCCTGTGGCTCCCTTGAGGATTCTGCACAAGTGAGAGTATAGAGCAGTGGTCGGAGTCCAAGCCCGAGTAGGCGTGGTCTGTGTGTCGTGGGTAAGTCGGGTTCCCGTCTATCTCGTTCCAACCAGTGCCCAGCCCAAGTGTGTATAGTCGTGGGAGGAGCAAACAATCAGGGGACCAAACAGAAATATAGCAGGTTAAACGTTGTGATCGTAAACAATAACAGTATGAGTATCAACAACAATTGGCGATGTCATTTATCCACCTTCCCCCCCAGCACTCCCCACCAGGAAGTCTAACCACCCGCTCCGCCCCGGGGCAAGCCCCCCATAACAATTGTGTCTCCCACTCATCTTCCAAGATGTGTCATGAGAGATATAACGATCCCAAATCTGCCCGGGCACCTAGTGTCTGATCGATGAGGATACCTAGCCATAGTGTCTCTGTCCTTCCTGTTGTGTGCTATGTTCGGGGTGAGGTATGGTAAATCCCAGGGCATCTTCCCCATGGTTCCTACTGAAAGTAGTTAACTCCCTAAAGTTCCCGTGGAGGTGTTCCATTTGGCTGGCCCTCTCTAGCCCTCATGTTCCCGGTAATTACTCACACACCCATCTGTCCCTCTGGTACAGTCTACCTATTCAGGAGACATAGCCAAAGTATCAGCAATATTTAGCATAATAAATAACAGAGGAGAAAAAGCAATTAAGCGGCACAACTTCAAGTAAAGATACTTAGCAGGTGCGGATAGTTCTGGGTTCGCTGTTAATTTCGTGCATGTTGGTGATGTCACAGGTAATTCCATTCACGGCACTAATCCATGCATAGTCAAGCCAAAGCAGCCGTGGTCGTGTCAACGCAGGAACAGAGTATGCCCAGAGCTCCCCCCTAATCACCCCACCACCCCAATGTCACATCAACGGGCCCCCGAGAACGCTCCTGGAGGGTCATGAGACCGTGAGGGCAAGGAGAGGCACAACGGGGTCATTATTATAAGTGCACAAGAGGGAGGTCAGTCCAGGTTGTAACGTTGCCAGGTGTGCACTCAGTCTCGGGTAGTCGCTATTCCCGTCAGGTGGAGTTATGTTCGTGCATATTGTGGGGTAGGATCAGTCCCTACTCTTGCAGTGTTTCCCAGGTCCATCTTGACCTTGTTCAGTACTGTCCAGTCTCGTGATGATATCAGGACCGTTGTATGCGTATCGGCCGAGCCCCTTAGCTCGGGTCAGGCGTTTTTTGTTTTTTTTTGCGTTATGGATGTGGGGTCCCCGGGGGCAGATAGGGCATCAGCAACCGGGCGGATCAGCGCTGTCTGGGCGGCGGTTGTTACTCTTGAGCCCCTCCTGCGTCTTGACGGCGGCGAGGTGGGCCTTGTGGGGACCTTCCCCTGCGACGGCGGCGTGCGCGTTGCGGTCTCGGGCCGACGTCTAGTGGTCCCAGGACCCAATCAGGTACAGGTACAGGCGGTAGACCCAAGTCCTCTAGGAACCTGGGGACCTCTTCCGGCCAGCGGATTGATACCCAGCCGTTCTGGTGTCTCGCCAGGAGGGCGAACGGAAAGCCCCATTTGTAGGTGATGTTGTGGTCCCTTAGGAGCGTCGTGATGGGCTGCAGCGCTCTCCTAGCTTCGAGAGTAACTGGGGATAGGTCATCAAATAACGAGATACGTGCCCCTTTGTGTTCCCATGTGGGATGGGATCTGGCCGCCTTCATGATGGCGTCTTTCACAGCAAATGAATGCAGGCAGCATATTATGTCCCTTGGGCCCTCCTCTAGGGAGCGAGGTCTGAGCGCCCTATGTGCCCTGTCATACCTGATCTCCATTGGGGTGTCACCGGGCAGAATCAGGCGGAAAAGGGCCGTCAGCTCTGTTTCAACATCTTCCTCACCTTCAGCTTCTGGCATACCGCGCACGCGGATGTTGCAGCGGCGCCCGCGGTTGTCGAGGTCTTCTACCGTTCTCCTGAGCTGTAGGAGCATGTCCCCTTGCCTAGCAACGGCCGTGTCGGTTGAAGTCAGCCTGGCATGGTGGGCCTCGTGGGAGCGCTCCAGGGTAAGAACTCGGGTACCCTGCGCTGCCACCTCCGTCCGAATTCCGGCCATTTCAGCTCGCAGGGCATCCTGTATAGTGGTGGTAAGTACCAGTAGGTCGGCCTTGGTGGCCATGGAGGCCGCGATAGTGCGGATTTCTTCCCCGATACCTTCCAGCGTGGAGGCAGAGGGGGCTCCGGTTGCGGAGGAAGCAGACGCCATTTTGGAGCCTCTGGCCTCGCCGCGTGTGTCTGCCGGCGTCTGAATATAATCGTCCATCGGGCCAGAGTGTTGCGGTTGTGATCCCCTGGGGGTCCCTGGAGGTTCACCCCTTCGGCTCCGACCCATTAGCGCTGGTGAGTGCTTTTTAATAGGGCGGTGTAGGGACCGGTGGAGCGGAGCTCGCAGCTTACACGTCCATCTCGGTCGGCATCCAAGCCACGCCCACGCTTTTACTAGATTTCGTCTTATATTGCTCCCGATTCATTCCATCACAGAGGAGCTTCTGTATTCATTTTCCAGTTTATCCTTGTTTTCAGACTTCCAACTTTCTTTTATACATTTGTATTACTCTCTTATGTAGGCTGTTACACTGATAGGGTTAAATTCACATGGAGATATATCCCCTCTCCATTCACAATTCTTTCGCTTAACTAATTTGTATCACTTTCATTGCGCTGTATTTATCCATTTTCATACCTAAATAATAGTTTTATAAACAAATGCTAACATATGTCTTTCATTTCAGAACGGACCATCAATATGACAAAATATTAAATGGATGTGGTATATATTATACTATTTTAGTGAGGTCTGTTATGTTCTCTTTTATGTACTTATGTCTTTATGTACGTTGTCATATTTGTTCTGTCACGATGGAACCACGCTAAATTCATTATCATATATCTGTCATTCCACTATCAATGAATATTTTTTTCCCCTAACAACATACATTCCACAACTAGTCATCACTACATTTGAAGCACCTTCCACAGCAAATTTGACAATGTATTTTATTTTTTTTTAATAACGATTAAGTTTTGAATTTAATGTTTAAATGCTCCATTGTTACTCTATTATCTGGTGTATGTATTTTATTCTATTTTATTTTATCATCTGGTGTACACACTATATATTTAAACTATTATATTTAAACTATTATATGTTTTTATTACATCAGACTATGAATAGTGATGTTGATTATTAACAATTAACAAAATGTATATATAAAGAACGATTGAAGCAATGCTCCATATCCTGTCTCTGAAGAAGTAGGGCGTTCTCCTACGAAACGCGTAAGACAATTGATCCATCAGGATACAGATCCAGTCAGCCTTTACAAGCAGAAGATTACACCCAGGACCTTTGGTATACCTCTGAACTGAAACCATCTGTTGTGTACGTCCCCCGGAGTGAGGTCTTTGCCGGGACGCACACTCAGACTCACGCCGCCCTCACCGGAAGTCGGAACCCAGGAGGCAACCTGTTAGCACAATCTACATCCATCCTAGTCTAATCTGAAGGTCTCTGAATACTTCTGACTTTCAAAAGACTGGCAATAATTCTATGAACTATTCCTGATCTGTATTTCTGATATTTTTTACATTTTTAACATTTTCGTTTAATAAACTGGTTTTTGATACTTATACCCAGTTTTCACCATTGCATTATATCTACAGCGATACATTGTTTGTATTGCCTTTGCATACAGTTCCTTATACTGCACTGCTACATCATTCATTTATTTATTTTTATCTTTGTCTTTTACAAAGTATATTATTTGGAGCAAGTATCATCTACCCTGTATTGCATCAGGGATAGAGATACTTGCACTTCACATATGTTTGCTACATACAGACCCATCATTATCTATTAACATTTTTCACTTTAAACCTATTTGTCTTATCCATGTATTTGATCTATTTGTATCCATCTACATCTTTTTCTCCCTTTTTATCTTATCAGATTCTCTTTCATTTTATGTTTATCTTCTATTTGCTGTGTATCTCTGACTCTAATCACATTTCTTAAAGGCACAGTACTTATTTAAGACATTTCAATTTACTACTTTTTAACTTTTTTATTTTATTTTGTTTCTCTGCACCACACCATTGTGATTTCAGCATAACATTCACTTTAAGTGATTTACATCAGTATATCTGATTTTTATTTCTTTTCTTAAAGGCACAGTACCTATATTTTATTTAATTTTATATTTTTTTGTTTCAAGTGTTTCCTTTGTTATTTTCTATATAGGTTTTAGTGAATTCCTATTTTTTCCAGTTTGAGCGGCACAGTGTTAGTCAGACTCCCTCTCCTCTGTGTATTACACTAGGTATACCAGAACCATATATCTTCAGAACAAGATACTGGCCTGTCCGATATAGATGCAGATTTGAATTCCCAACATCTAACAGACTCTAAGAATTAGTGCCTAGATGTTACTTGTTTTTAGTAT